GTGGTAGTGCGGTGATTGTAGTCGCTCACTGCAGAGATAGTCTCGTCAGACAACTGGATACGTCACGCGTGAGAAAACTTGTGACGTCACGCGAATTAGCTTTTATTTGTAACCTCTTCAGTGAACAAGAGCAACTAAATTTAACACTTACTTGGAATCGCCAACACATATTCCGAGTTGGTTATTAGCACAACTAGCTTTAGTGATGACAAATCTCCAGGCGTAGACCCCGTAGCCGAGGGCGATGGACCCCAGACAGTATCCTCTTCCTCCCAGGTTGTGTACAACCGTCTGGCCTTCCTTGTTCCTGCTCAACTCTGTAGTGGGTAGGGTGAGAGGAGCGATATATTGTGTACAGTACAATGTCAATAGGACTAAAGTTGATTCACGATGTCAATCCTTCGCATCTCGCCGATCTGTGGTTGCGAGAAGCATTATTTGATGCGCGCGCGACCCAGTAGTGCATCGCGCTACAAGACTAAAGTGAACATTGAGCGGGCAGAGAAAGTAAGTCTGAATTGGAGTAGAGTTCTAGAAACATATTATAAGTGATACACATTATATTATGTGAGATTTACCTACAATTAACAGAGTTGCTGGGTTGAAAGTGGAGATCAGGAACTCTGAAGCCTCATTTTGGGGCGTGTCCTCAATACACGGATACTCTTCACCCGGCCACACCAGGTGAGGTAGTGTGTCCAGCATGGACTTAACTGACAATATAGTGATTACCTACCAATTACCTACCAATTACCTACCAATTCTATTGAGAGCCATGTCAGTCTTGGGTCTGCAGTGCGGGAGGACCTTTTGTAGCAGCTGTATCGCTGGTAGCCTCACATGGACCTGACACAGTTTCGTTGTTTTATTCTGGAGGCTTTGAGATGTACAGGAAACCAAGTTATCAAAATCAATTTTATGGTTGCCAAGATGATGGAAGATCGGGGTTAAAGAAAACAAACAATTCATCACAACGTTTCTGATAATTGTATTTTATATCTATATTAGTATTACATTCTTAATGTTATTTAGAATGTTGATACAGTCGAGAACATTCCACCTGAATCTCTATCTCGCCTTGAAGGACATGAAAGATCGAGATAGGCCGGATATTTGCATAAAAAGATCAGCCCACCCCTGACTGGACATGTACGTGGAGAAGAAGGAACTTGAGCTGATGAAGTTCAAATATCCAAACAGCTGAGATAGGGTTGCGATTTGTCAACAAAACTCCTAACATAAGGCAATGAATTACTCGCTAATAGCCCTTATTGCTATATTATAATTTGACCAAAACCCATAATCATGGGTAGAGTGTACCGCTGCCAGTGTCTCTCTTTTCCAAACAAAAGGAAATGATATTAATTTGAGGAACCGTCCGCTAATGCAAATTGATACCGAGAATGAAATCGGTCGCTCACTTTTTCAAATCAATAAGCTTTATTACAATTCGTAAGCCGTGATCGAATGGAAAAAGCGAGCGACCGATTTCATTCTCGGTATCAATTTGCATTAGCGGACGGTTCCTCAAATTAATATCATTTCCTTTTGTTTGGAAAAGAGAGACACTGGCAGCGGTACACTCTACCCATGATTATGGGTTTTGGTCAAATATCATCTCTTTTTGATTATAATGTCAGGATAATTTACACAATCGAAACTTCATTAACAAGGAGGTAATTCCGACGATTTCGAAATTCTGCCTTGGAAAACGTTTCCTTGTGTTTAGTTAGGTATATCTGTCGATAACCGACTGAATATGGCACTTTTTACTCATTCAAGTTGGCATTAAATTCATATATAATGCCATTTAAATATCGTGGAAAGCAGAATATATTCGAAATCACGAATGAGCAAAATTCTCACCTTTCGCACGTGCAAACTTTGAGCGGACGTTGCGTGCGCATACAATATTGAATCACCGTAAATTTTTGCATAGTGGTATTTAATATATAGTTTAATAAGCATGCAAAGTTTCAGAAGATTTCAAAAAGAACTTGGATCACAACGGGACTCCAAAGTTGATAAAAATCGTGAAAATCAAAATTTTTAGTGATTTTAGCTATTTTAAATAAATTTGGGCGTGTCCCCACGTGTGCAACTTTTCGATTTTTAACTTTAAAACTAGCCTATAACACAATTTACACCTTTAAGAAGCAAAATTGAGCTCCACAACCCAAGGGATGACCCAACACCAGAGAATACTAATTCACAACTTTTGTGTTTTTATAAAATTATTCTTCAAAAAAGCACTAACTTCAATAGCAAATATCTTTATGAAGGAGCAAGGTAGGAAACTATTCCGGTAGATTTTCGGAATGCTTGAACAATTATCTAAGGTGAAAATGTCCTCAGATTTCGAATAAAATTACTCCTTAATAGCGTAAAATCGATTTGAAAAGTTGTTACTTTGTCAAAAATCAAGTTTTAAAAACACTTAATTTGATGACGTCATCAAGTGATGATGATGACGTTAAATTATTTTTCAATACAATGTAAACTAAAGCTTAAACGATTATCTTTAAAACCTGTGGTTCGAGATGACTGTATCGTTTATACTTTCGAATTTACGGACACTTAAATGTAGGCTACAATTGACTGCAAAAAGCGTCTATACATATTATATATCTTCACGACAATCTGTTGTAAAACAGGGGTTCCAGAAAACCCACTTCACGATACTCCTGAAACATGAAATTTTTTTTACAGTCGATTTGGACAAGGTCTAGACGCCCTGCAAAGTTTCAGATCTCTAACTCAATTTTAACATGGTTTTTAAGGCACCTGAATATGGCGATTTTGGGTTTTTTACCTAATTTCGTATAACATGCTGGCTAGGCGCGTATTTTGCGCAAATTTCTTAAAAACCTCCATATAACTATTTCTTATTCCTGTCATCTTTAACATTGAATTAGAATGTTTTGAACTTAAATGTACCTGCTCAACTACTTTCGATGAGTCTTAATGCCTGGAAATCAATAAAGGGGATATAATAGTATAGGGGGTAAATAGTATTGTGAATATAAGGGCGACGGTAATGCTTGCCAGCATTGTGATTAGTCGGAAATTTAATGTAAATTGCGTTAACTTTAAGAGTGCAGCACAGTTTGTTTTCAAGATAAGAAACACGTGACCCAATAATAACCTTAGGTCACTTTTAACTTTTTAATTACTTTTAGTTTTATAGAAAATAAAGGGAGAAAGTTCTTCTAACATACCGTACTATCTTATAGTTATCAAATACCTGGGAAATATTGTTGTGTATACAAGTTGTTGACTGAAGCGGACAGAAAGTAGTATCTATATACCCTGTGTTACTCATGCCACCGTGCGTTTCCCCCGACAACAGTCGTTCACTTGCCTGAGCCAACATTAATGGGTCACTTGACATTCTTTTATGGGGTGGGTAAAGTATAAACTAAAAGATTGGAGGGGTTTTATGGGCATGACTTAATAAAGTTAATTTAGTTTAACCACAGATCTATATAGGTAACTGTAAGTATATAACATAAGTCGTTGAAGTCCCTGAATAATCATGAATCAGCGTTGAACATCCGCCAATCACAATTCACATAATAGTACAATTTTCTCCACGATCGTAGTAAATATCTTGCCACACTCGTTAACGGGTGATACTCGTAAAATATCTGTTCCAACTCGGCGCGCGTCCTGGTAGGTTGTAAACCTACAACACACGATCGCTACAAAACACGTGAACGTGCCTTATAATATTACCAGCTCATCTACCATGTAGTACAAATGAACCCCTATTTCCTATTGATGAGCTCTTCATTTTTGATCTGTACATGGCATGTACAGATCAAAAATGAAGAGCTCATCAATAAGAAATAGTGGTTCATTTGCGGCCACCTCCAGCTCGAAACGGTGGAGATCCTTTGTGCAAGAGTGATAAAACGCGGCAGGGGTGTGAAGAGTTGTGACGTCACACAATGAATTTTGCATCTCGTCATGCATGGTGTGTGAGGGTGGATCAAAAGGCACGTGAGTGGTAGTTGATCTGTGAAGATCAACTGATTCCTGTAATAAAATTGCCTTTGGTGAACGCTTTCTCTGGTTTTAGATATTTGCTATAAATATAATAAAAAAATCCAGTTCGTTATGTTTTCCATCTTAATATTCAATATATTATACGTTCTTATACGCAATATAGCCTTCTAATGTCTTTACATAAACACTAACAACTTACTTGAAGTTTCGGGGTGAATTCTGAAAGCATGGTTTCAGTCTTATCATGTCGTCAAGTGTAAACCGCTTTTTGGCTCATCGCAAAACTAAAAACTAGAGTCTGGGGTCGAGAGATAACTATTCTTGAAGCGTAACTAAACACTATGCAACTGTAACATCCCTATTTCCTATACACGCGCGCATAGCCGTGACAATGTATATTATGTTTTTAACCTGCACAGTTAAAACTCGACGCACTTGCACGTGCAGATTCTTATGCCGCGCAAAATTCAAATAAAACGTTTCCACCGTACAATTTTCGTTTAGTCGCGCGTTGGTTTCTTGCAGCTATCATAACGCGTCGCAGATCTTGATTACGTTTTTTGGATTTTATGACCTTCGTTCAGCTTGTTATTATTTCGATACCCAAACTTTCCATTTTTTTAATTTGAAGAAGACATGATTTTTTCAATCGGGAAAAATTGTTAAGTTATCAACACTGAACTCGTTTTTAATGTGTATAAGCTGCAACATCTAAGTTCAATAGACTTACTAAGTCATTAGTCATATATGCCAACTATAAACAGCTATTTACTGCAAGCATTGCCGCGAATTTGTTTTAGTTCACAATAAAAATTTAACATTTTGAATTACATTATTTGTAAAATCATATTCATATTAACTGCGATTTGGTTTAAATGGACTATATTTCAACATCCACCAATAAATATCTAACAGTAACTCAAACTGAACACAAATTAAATCATTGAACATAAATTAAGATGGCTCGATAAACCCCGAAAAATCTCTTTATTAGCTTGATGACGCCTGCAAGTGAACGGATGATGAGCATAAGAATAGGGTTGTTACTCCTGTGTATCACATTGCTGGTAGTAGAATTAGGAGGTAGGTATTCAATTTCTATTTCATTGCAATGTTCATGTTTTAGATTGTAATCTTTGGTCAGCGTTTTCGATGCAAAGTTGAACATATTGTAGTGCCTAACGTGAAAACCTATATTCGGCTTAAATTGCAGTTTTATTTTTAAGGGGCAGGGCCAATTTGTCGGCTTAGATTTCAGTTTAAGTTTAGGGGCAGGGCCAATTTTCTATTTCTTCATACTGTTCAAAAGGCAGTAAAAGTATTCGACACAGCCAATAACGTTTCAATCGGAAATCATTTCGGGCTTTCGCGGAAAGACTTGTTAAAGTTAATGTCGTGGTGTCAGTAAAATGGTATCAGATATAAATATTGTCTCACTTTCTATACAGTATGATTTTTTAATAAATTAAACAACAACATCTTTCAGCAAAGGAGTACGAGTGTCACGCTTACGAATTTGATGAAGGCAAAAATCCAACGCAAAAAAAGAATACCATGCATACCTGCACGACAGAATCAATTGACGAACTGGTAATTTGCAATAAACCCGCTTACACAACAGGATACTTCTTTGACTCCCCTCCGAACATACCAACAAACCTTACTTATACTAATATTGACACCTGCGGACCTTGCAAAAGTGATTCAACAGCATGTACCGAGTGTAATTTCGAATTCTGCAACAAAGATGTCATACGATGCTTCCAGAGCATACATGGAGCTGTCAAAGCAACCGAATGCACAAGGTCAGAGGGAGCGGGACCAAGGTATACAAAATGCCGGAAAACCACATTCAATGATTATTCCGTAAATAAAAAATTGAACTATGGTTGTGGTGGATGCAAACACCAAGAAAATGGAGGTGACAAGGGTAAATGCGAGGAGTGTGAAGGATCAACAACTGAGGGTTGTAATGCACCAGTGATACAGGGACAAGATTACAAGTGTAACAACTATACTTGGGACGGCCGCTTTATGAGAGGACTCTACACATCAACGGAGATCCTTTGTAAGCGCCTCCCTGGTTCAAATTCAACAGCAACCTGTAACATGCCCGGGAGCCAGGAAAAAATGGACTTCTACACCATGCCGTTTGCATATCAGCTTCTCTGTAACTTCCTTCCTGATCCATCACCGGGCATGGACAACACCGTCTGTGACATACCACCTGCGTTCGAGAAAAATCGGGAGGGCCACTCCATGCCGTCGGGATGTGGGCCATGTGAAGAGGGCAAAAAGAATAGTGGGACTTGTCAAGATTGCGAGGGAGACTTCTGCAACCAGTTGTTCTCGACTGAGAGTGGCCCGGAGTTTAGAGTTCAGGCATCAGATACTCTTCTTCTATTGCTCTCTATTGCGTATATTTTCAAATAAACAACGTAAAAAATTGTTTACTAAACCAATCCTTGAATAGGTAACCGGACAAGGTATTGTATACAGTATTGTATTGTGTAGTAATAGTATAATAGAGTGTACTTTAACCTATTTTGTTTCATTGATAGTATACCAATGTGGTTATTTAGTCTATATTTGTTTATTTTAATAATTTAATTATAATTGTATTGTATCTTCTATTGAAACGGCCGGTAATTATTCAATTTTCCAATACACGAGTTTTCCTTGTCTGTTGTCCCGGCCCTGGTTTGTAAAGAAAATTTCAAGAAAAATATATCTTTACCTGAAACTTTGTAGGTCACCAGTTTATTTTTAATAATTGTTTTTAGTTATTATTCTATTTCTATCATTAATTATTCGTGCAACAAGATGATAAATAATTGAAAGTGAATAAATGAATGCACCAAGCACCTCCTACTTCCTAACGATTTGTTAAACAATAATTATAAAAAAGAATAAACAACTAATAAACTAAAATCTCAATGCGCACCCCTTTGAGCAGGTTGAGAAGCAAACTTAGTTGTCTTCTCAGAAGATCGAGGGAGTTGGGTATCATGTCCAATGTGTCTGTTTTCCCTCTCCACATCGTACCTGAACAGTGGCCAAGTAATTTAAATGAATTGTTCAATCGATTTACTTTAAACCTCCAAATTAGGTACCATTTAATTTTAACCGAGTGATAATGAAGCTGGTAATTTGTTTGGTTTTCCAAAAACTTTAGTGTATTGAAACGTAACAATAACATTATTTCTGTTATATCGATGATTCGACTTGGCAGACCTGGCCAAAATGATAATCAATCTGAAGAGTTCACCAGATAATTGTGTTGAATAACGCACCAGGGAGGTTGCCGTTGAGGGTGTGAATGTAGTTCGGAAGGGGGAGTAGAGAGATAGAATTAGAAGAGAGAACTAATTGTGCCATGTGTAGAACTGTTCGATAGAGCACGTATAACATTAACCATTAACTAGCCTGAGTAATGTGAAAATTACGTATAGTTTAACTTTAAGTTAACTACGAATTGAGAATTCCTAAATAATATTTTAGCATCGTATTTGTTTGACTTATTAACGTTCTATTCAGTATTTTTCTAAGTCGTATTCGTCTTGGAAAATACTGAATTTTGCCGTGTTTGGTATATAATCATTACCAAAGATAAACAATGTCTTACTTTTACCCGGTACACGGTAATGTTATAGTTATCTTTGTCCACGTACCTCACTAAATAATAGACTGTGTCCAAATTATTTCTTGCGCATCGATGATCGACTTGTTAGTACTTGCAGCGTTTTACTATTGTCATTGACACACTCAATAAGTTAAAATTAGTGGGGATAACCTAGATAAAATGAGTTATACCTGACGGTATCTATAGTACTGATGACTGTTTTAGGCTGGCATTCTCTGAGTAGTGCTTGTAGTTGTAACACCGAGAGAGAGAGCTCAGAGTCAGACGATGCGCAGCGCTACATTGGTCAAATAAATCGTCAATTTTTACCATGCAAAAATCCTACTCATTTATTAAAAACATAGTATTAGTATGTAAATATGTTGTACTTTTTCCAGTCACACTTTTCACTATAGGGCCTGTCGTGATATCATGGATCGCTTAGGTTCCACCAGGATCTGGTAGTCCTCATAATTCTGCGGCCTCTATGTGTCGTCATCTCGCACAACTCCGAAAAACCGTCGTGAGTTTGGCATGTGAAAATGTGCAGCCTTCCAGACATCGATTGGGTTAACGAGTTGTCGTACGTCACCTCAAGATCGGGTGACAGGGGGCTGAACAGGCCAGAACCCAATTGATTGGGTCTGAGGTCACGTGATTATGAGCCTGAGGTCACGTGACTATGACGTCACCAGAGCTCGTTCTCCGTTTCCCGCTCTTTGGACCAGGTGAGCTTGCATGCATGTGAAAGTGGGTGTAAGTACAGCTGTACTGTAGTTACATCCAATTACCCCTAATAGAACGAAGATTTATTTTCTGACAGAAAGCTAGAAATTTACCAAAATATCGACTTTGTTCAAAATTTATTTTGATGACCACTCCTGACCTAAAATTGCACGAGAAATCGATTAAACTTGGTTTCAGAACTCAACAATGCTTCCTTATGCCTTAAAATCCATGTTTTATCGATACAATAAACATTTTGATCCTGTGGATTAATTAGTAACAGGTAACAAATGCACAGAAAAAACCATCGCACTTACATTGCATTCTTAACGGGTCGATTTCGAGTGACCAATAATCGTCGTGATGATATTTATACGTCATGCGTTCCTGATCATCATCAGCAATCAAGAGACAGGATCGGCGGTTGCTTCAAATCAATGGTTTACGTTATTTTGTGAATTCGACCCCTGTTTTAACGGTTATCAGACTTTGTAATTGAATGTATTGAGGATATCTTTACAAATAAGAGGACCAGTAAATAAAATTGCTACAAGTGTTTCTCTCACTCACTTTCGATAAGACACAATGAAAAATAATGAAAGAATTTTGTATCACGTTGTGACCCCCACGGTTGTTTCACTATATGGTCCTGACGATACAGGGGGAGCCGCGCACTCGTGCTGCGTGCGCGCGGCGGGTCATACAACGTATGACAATAAGAATTAATGACAATGGTACTAGTACATCGCGCGTAGCAGTGGCGTAACTTAGGGCCCCGCAGTACCCTTTTTTGCTTCAGGGGGCGCAAAAAGCTGTAGGGGGGGCGAAAATAAGGACCCGACCTTTTTTTTTTTTTTTTTTTTTTTTAGGGACAAAAAATGTTAGGGGGGCGCTATTCGTCACTGAGCGGGGGGCGCCAACAAGCAAAGTTTCGCCACTGGCGCGTAGGGAAAATTAATCGTAGGGAAAATTAATCGTAGGGAATATAGATCTGCGGGGCAGCATTAGATTTAGGTTAAGTACCAATGAAATCTTAATCACGGCGTTTTCGTCACGTGACAGTCGAGTGTAGAGTGAATAATCATCATCCAGAGATTTACAATTTAGCACGCTCGTTCAAAACTTGTGTTTAATTGATTTAAAATTTAAAATTGCAAATTGATTTTCGATGATGTATTAGTTTGTTTTAGAGACTCCATTATCCATCATTAGCTCATAATAGACATAATATCACTCACTCACAAGCGAACATGAAATTATATCGATTAAGAAGACAATGTTGACTGCAAAGATAGTTTTGGTTTTGGTTTAAAGAGCTTATACACGTCACATAAGTCTAATATAGGACTTCTAGGCAATGAGCTTGGTTGACTGCAAAGATAACTACAATAACTTTTAGTTGGGCAATCTACTTGAAGTCTACTTAAAGACTGAAGTACATACAAATAAAATATCATTGCTTTATAGTAAGGGGAAAAGTGGCATTCCGTTGGATTCGAATGTTCACAAGGATTTCTCAACGGAATATGGTAGTTAGGACCCCTACGAACATAATTAGACTTGTTGCCAATTTTGTATCTCAACGGAAACACCACTTTTACCACTTTTTACCACCTTTGTACCACCTTTCTGGTTTGCCAAATATCTTTAGTTGTGAACATCATAGAAGGCTGCAAATTAACCTAGAATGTTTATCTTATCAAGGAGTAAAACTTTTGTATCAAAAGTTTTTACATCGGACAATCAGCTAATTGGATAATTACCAATTAGTTAATCACCAAAAAAAGTGAAAAATTTTTATTGGCTTAAAATGATTGAAATCGTTTGAAACACGGAGAAATGTAGTTTTTAGAAAAACTTCAAAAATTTTTCACTTAAAATTTTTTTTCGAGACTTCAAAAAAAAAAGTTTGAAAATTTGAAAATATTTTTTTCCGCCAAAAGTGATCGAATTGCATGAAACGTGGATAAAAATGCCTTGCAGAAAAATTTCGAAGATTTTTAGATTGAGGAATACTAAAATCATCAATATTTGAAGTTGGAGTTCAGTAAATCTCGACATATTTTAGTAATTAGGAATAGCTTAGCGGAAAGGGCTGGACCTGAAAAAGGTTAACCACACAATATTAGAGTTTCATAACTAATTACAATACAGCTTTATCAAATTCCACATAAAGAAACAGCACAAAAGGACCATTTAAGATCGAACCGATTTTACCTGCTGTACTATCATTTTATTGATTTCAATGATCAAAACCTCTGTCAATCTTGCCAATCTATACCGGGTATCTGAATGTACCGGACCTCTTATTTACCTCTATAATTAGACCCAGTTGTGCAAGAAATGCGATTTCTCACAGGGGTTTCTTTAAACTGTGCACTTTTTATCACTCTCGCAACTCGCAAGAGGCCTGGTATTATAGGAAGCGAGGTAAATATACCTTCCATCATCCATTGTGGCTTTTTTGTATTGTGAATGCGCATGCCGCTTCGTTTGCTATGCCATATACCTCGAATAACCCCCATATGTCATTGCCAGGGTCGGGATAGAGCTGGAGATAGCATTGAAAAGTTGCTAGAAATAGCTAGATTTAGAGTAAACTGGTGGTAGCTGGGTGGTGCTAGCATGGATGTAGCAGAACGTAGCTACACGGGGTTTCATTGGAGTTGGTTATTTTAATGGCCAAAGAGTGCCGGAACTAAAGTTACTTAAGATTGCAGTTTAGGGGCAGTGTAAACCACGGTGTAGTCAGGGACACAGAGCTACAGTGCAGGAGTACTGCAAAAGAACAGTGCAAGTGATACAGTCTGCAACAGTAAAACTCCGAAGAAGGAGATAAGATTGTGGCTGCAGAGGAGGAGAGTAGCTGGAACCTGATTGTGTTTGTGTTGAAAGAAGAGGAGGAAGAAGAGTTTCCTGCTCTGGTAACTGTATTTTTGGAAGAGGTGGGGTGAGAACTTATTTTCAAGCGACAAGGGTGGGCTGGAAGCAACCAGATACAGCTATCCGACCTATTAAGATCACCGTCCTGAGCTTAACAGCATTTCATCAGAATCTTATGAAAACAGAGAGACTGACCCACCCTTTTTAGATCCAACGAAACCCTTTATATAAATCGACTTTTCTGCATGAATTACTTCATGGTATCTTCTTATCAAGGCTACAGACCTTGCCGTACCGGATTTATTGATCAAAGTGAGTCTCTTTAGCCCTCTTCTTCTTTAGAGCTTTAGGTTAGTGATCAAACTCTTCGCTACTCGCTCTTCACTGGATCTATCAGGACAGATTCACATCTTTTTAGGTCTCAACCAGCCTTAGTTTTCCTGTTTTCATCATGTAGTACGTTCTGCTACCTCCATTTTAGCACCACCCAGCTTCCATCAGTTCACTCTAAGTCTAGCTTCGTCGGCGTTTTACTGTTGCAGACTGTATCACTTGCACTGTTCTATTGCAGTACTCCTGCACTGTAGCTCTGTGTCCCTGACTACACCGTGGTTTACACTGCCCCTAAACTGCAATCTTAAGTAACTTTAGTTCCGGCACTCTTTGGCCATTAAAATAACCAACTCCAATGAAACCCCGTGTAGCTACGTTCTGCTACATCCATGCTAGCACCACCCAGCTACCACCAGTTTACTCTAAATCTAGCTATTTCTAGCAACTTTTCAATGCTATCTCCAGCTCTATCCCGACCCTGGCAATGACATATGGGGGTTATTCGAGGTATATGGCATAGCAAACGAAGCGGCATGCGCATTCACAATACAAAAAAGCCACAATGGATGATGGAAGGTATATTTACCTCGCTTCCTATAATACCAGGCCTCTTGCGAGTTGCGAGAGTGATAAAAAGTGCACAGTTTAAAGAAACCCCTGTGAGAAATCGCATTTCTTGCACAACTGGGTCTAATTATAGAGGTAAATAAGAGGTCCGGTACATTCAGATACCCGGTATAGATTGGCAAGATTGACAGAGGTTTTGATCATTGAAATCAATAAAATGATAGTACAGCAGGTAAAATCGGTTCGATCTTAAATGGTCCTTTTGTGCTGTTTCTTTATGTGGAATTTGATAAAGCTGTATTGTAATTAGTTACAAAACTCTAATATTGTGTGGTTAACCTTTTTCAGGTCCAGCCCTTTCCGCTAAGCTATTCCTAATTACTAAAATATGTCGAGATTTACTGAACTCCAACTTCAAATATTGATGATTTTAGTATTCCTCAATCTAAAAATCTTCGAAATTTTTCTGCAAGGCATTTTTATCCACGTTTCATGCAATTCGATCACTTTTGGCGGAAAAAAATATTTTCAAATTTTCAAACTTTTTTTTTTGAAGTCTCGAAAAAAAATTTTAAGTGAAAAATTTTTGAAGTTTTTCTAAAAACTACATTTCTCCGTGTTTCAAACGATTTCAATCATTTTGAGCCAATAAAAAATTTTCACTTTTTTTGGTGATTAACTAATTGGTAATTATCCAATTAGCTGATTGTCCAATGTAAAAATTTTTTGATACAAAAGTTTTACTCCTTGATAAGATAAACATTCTAGGTTAATTTTCAGCCTTCTACGACGTTCACAACTAAAGATATTTGGCAAACCAGAAAAGTGGTACAAAGGTGGTAAAAAGTGGTAAAAGTGGTGTTTCTGTTGAGATAAAAAATTGGCAACAAGTCTAATTATGTTCGTAGGGGTCCTAACTACCATATTCCGTTGAGAAATCCTTGTGAACATTCAAATCCAACGGAACCCTTAAATCGACCACTTTTCCCCTTACTATTAGCTGAAACTCGAAAAGAGGATACAATCCGCCATTCACACAAAGCAACTAAAAATCAAAAGATTGAATCAGAATAACTTAACAAGAAACGAATCTTTTATTAAAACTTTAAAATAACTAAATGTGATCATCTTGTTTCTAAAACAAACGTCTAAATAATTGAAAAGCGGATACAACTATTGACCCTAAAATAACACAACCACAATAGTAAGTTATCTATTGCTATCACATTTGTTCACACAATTCCCCCGACATTATCAGTTTCACAGATAACTAATGTTTCTGCTCGAAATTTCTGTATTCTTTAAGATCCTTTAACACGTTACAATAGGCAATGGTGGGGTCCATAAAAGTGCAGGAAATTGATTGCGTAACGCGTCAAGAACATAAACTTGACTCCATTTAATTGTGTTTATTCTTGGAAAAATTCAAAACCGAAAAGAAAATAATGTCAAATTCAATAGTTAATCCATTCCTAATTCCTACATATTCTGACAAACTTATAAATCACATTTTTTTTAACTTAATTTTCTTGACACATGTATTCCATTATAAGACACTGAAAGGTGTTCTTGCAATCATAGCATATTATATCAAGAGACGGTTTATAAACGAACTTAAATCTTAATCGGCACTTAATCAAGTACTACATCAACAAAATTGGCAACTATATGAGTCTAAGAACGCTCTTTGGCTTTTTGGTATGACTATGACATCTATCAAAAGCTTAGGAGCCATCTACTTATATTAGGACGACCGCCAAAATCGCCAATCACTTTTTCGTTAATTCTGCCAAAATTTTCAGAAACCAGCCCCCCTCCCCCTGTCCGGATTTGTCCGAAATTCCAAAACCACCCTCCTCCCAATTTGCCGGACGTTCTAAGTAGATGGCCCCTTATGACTTCAATATTCATGGCGTACCTACAAATCTAAGATCTAATAAATCTCAAACGGTCAAAAAAGACTCATAATCACATGATATCACGACAAAATCATGTAAACGATAAAACTTCACATAGTCACGTGATCACACGAAGAATTTCCATCCCATGACCGAGAAGAACTTGTTGAGAAAAACCTCCGAGTCTAGACAAGCTATGTGGGCAGCTCGACCAATCATGGAGTTAGCGGAGCCCTGTTCCAGGGCGTACTGAATACTGTACCTGCAGGATATTATTAATTATTATCACATTTTATTAATTATTATCACTTTTAGGGGATATTGAATATTGATTGAGGTATGTTCGAGTTCCCTCGTCTTATTATTTAGATTTCGCCTTCTTCGAGATTTACGAGAACACCCGTAAAGTATAGACTGCAGGGCTGTTTTCAAAAAACCTTTTTATTTGGATCTTCAGTTATAAAAAGTTCCAAGTTTGTTTTGAGGCATCCTGAGAACAGGCCCCATAGGTAACATTCTGACTACCTAACTCTAGATAACTTAACTCAATTAGTTTGTGGTTGAAAATTACAACGGTCTCCTGTATGAAGTATGACTGAATTAATTATGGAGCCACCAGAATATTTTGTTCAGATTTCTGCACCAGATTTCATCAGATTTTCTTTCTATAAAATCACAACGGTCTCCTGTTTTAAGTATGACTGAATTAATTATGGAGCAACCAGAATATTTTCTTCAGACTCTTCAGAATGCATTTCTTGTATCAGATTTCTCTCGCTTCGTAGTATTCGCAGCTTATTCCTGGAATAATCAGATTTTCTTTCTATAGGAACAAATCTGATTTACAATACTGAACCTGCAGAAGGGTGCTTATGATTTGCCGTGCAACTGTTAAAATTAATATACCTTCGCGACAGATTACATTTTTTCTCTGCCAAAGTTATCTCTGCCAAGTCATTAGTTTAAGCTTCTTTTTTAATCGCTTGTAGTAAATGTCGCTTTATCATACCTATATTTTACTGCCTCGGTCCTATCTTAATTTAGGAGGCACTGTTACAACAACAAAATAAGCAACTTCTACCTTACTATCAATTTAATTCATATATAGTTCGCTCTTCCCGTTACGTCTGAGGAATACAGAGCCACGTAACCCGTAACCGGTACGTGTTTGATATGTTACCTGTAACCGGTACGTGTTTGATACGTGACCTATTACGTTAGTTTTGCAACTTTATAGTGATAAATGTCGTTTATCTCACTCCTTTGGGTCTCTGTGACCGTAATTAAGTTATTATTACAGCAATTCGAGTTATTCGACATCCTAGTTCTACCTAGATTTAATTTATACGTGGCTTCTGTTTATTTGCCCGATACGTGACCTGTAACCGGTACATGTGTTTGATACGTCACCTATTACGTTAGTTTTGCAACTTTCTTAAAATTTTATAGTGATAAAGGTCGTTTATCTCACTCCTTTGGGTGTCTGTGACCGTTATTAAGTTATTATCACCGCAATTCCAGTTATTCGACATCCTAGTTCTACCTAGATGTCGTTTATCTCACTCCTTTGGAAACGTGAAGAAAAACAATGTGTTGACCTTTTGCTTAGCAGAAGACGATCGATTCAACCCCAGCTGTCTCAGCTATCAATTTATCAGTTGCTCGAAGGCTGGTCTTGTTTCACGGTCTAATCGGGGGGGGGGGGGGGCCAATGGCATAAAATGGCATAAAATGGCATAAAATGGAGACTTTTTCTATGGAGAAAATGGAAAAACCCATGAGTAATTCTCCATTTTCTCCATTTTATGCCATGAATTTTGTCTTCGAAATTTCATCTTTAACACCATTTAACACCTAAATTGGACATCCTAACATGTTTATTTACGCTTACTAGGGGCGTAACAAGCTTATGAAAGCTCATAGTAGGCTACTAGATGCTTATACTAGGTTAGTAGAGGCACACTTCAGGCAAACTCATAATTACTCAAGCCTAGTGTAAAGTTATTTCTACAGGCTACAGCAGGAGTGAGTAATAGGGGAGAGTAATAGGCACTGAGAAGTGAGACCTACATCCTCGAAAGTCGAAACCAGCTCGCACTGCAAAGGGGAGGCCTGCCTTCCGAGATGCATTACCAGGGGGAAGCCTCGAGTCCAAATTTGTGTATCGAGGGGTAGGTGCAGACTTCGTTGACCCGAAAAACCAAAAAAATATTTTCGGCTAATAATGAAGAGGGTAGCATGAAACGTGGAGAAAAGTGGTTTTTAGAAAAACTTTGAAAAATTTTGACTTAGAAAATTTTCGGCCCGAGTCATTCTCGATACGTACCTCTCGCATCGAGAGCTCCCGATTCCGAGCTCGTGTTGCAAAGGGGAGGCCTGCCTTCCGAGATCGCATTACCAGGGGGAAGCCTCGAGTCCAAAATTGTGTACCGAGGGGTAATTTTCTAAGTCAAAATTTTGCAAAGTTTTTCTGAAAAACACTTTTCTAGTTTTCTCCACGTTTCATGCTACCTTGTTCGTTATAAGCCAAAAAAATATTTTCGGCTAATAATGAAGAGGGTAGCATGAAACGTGGAGAAAAGTGGTTTTTAGAAAAACTTTGAAAAATTTTGACTTAGAAAATTTTCGGCCCGAGTCATTCTCGATACGTACCTCTCGCATCGAGAGCTCCCGATTCCGAGCTCGTGTTGCAAAGGGGAGGCCTGCCTTCCGAGATCGCATTACCAGGGGGAAGCCTCGAGTCCAAAATTGTGTACCGAGGGGTAATTTTCTAAGTCAAAATTTTGCAAAGTTTTTCTGAAAAACACTTTTCTCCACGTTTCATGCTACCTTGTTCGTTATAAGCCAAAAAAATATTTTCGGCTAATAATGAAGAGGTTAGCATGAAACGTGGAGAAAAGTGGTTTTTAGAAAAACTTTGAAAAATTTTGACTTAGAAAATTTTCGGCCCGAGTCATTCTCGATACGTACCTCTCGTATCGAGAGCTCCCGATTCCGAGCTCGTGTTGCAAAGGGGAGGCCTTCCGAGATCGCATTACCAGGGGGAAGCCTCGAGTCCAAAATTGTGTACCGAGGGGTAATTTCTAAGTCAACATTTTTCAAATTTTTTCTGAAAACCGCTTTTCTCCACGTTTCATGCTACCCTCTTCATTATTACCCGAAAATTTTTTTTCGGTTTTTCGAAGTCCACACCTTCCCCTCGATACACAATTTTGGACTCGAGGTAATGCGATCTCGGAAGGCAGGCCTCCCCATTGCAACACGAGCTCGGAATCGGGAGCTGTCGATACGGGAGGTACATATCGAAAATGACTCGGACCGAACATTTTCTAAGTCAACATTTTTCAAAGTTTTTCTGAAAACCACTTTTCTCCATGTTTCAAGATACCCTGTTCATTATTGGCCGAAAATATCTTTTTTTTAAATAATTTTTCTCGAAATTCTAAATTTTTCAGGTTTTCAATGGCATAAAATGGCATAAAATGGCATAAAATGGCATAAAATGGAGACTATTTCTATGGAGAAAATGGAAAAACCCATGAGTAATTCTCCATTTTCTCCATTTATGCCATTGGCCCCCCCGTCTAATCTTATTTATTTTCCGTACAAAATACCAAAATTAGTTCAATTAGGATTATAAATGTCAGAAAAATGATTTAAATGGCAGCTTTTGTAGTTAATAATTTTCTGAAATAAAACGTACGTAAGGTATTTTTTAACAACATGCTAAAGTTTAGTTTGGATATTTGCCACTACTGAATATTATATAATGTTATCTCTACAACTTAGTTTTATTGAAATATGACGACCTTAAAACAATCTGAAAACTACGACTACTCCGAGTACCTGATACCACACGGATCACTTAACGGAGTTGCAATTCCGGGCTTCGTGACTCCGGAATTCCGGGCAGAATTCCAGAAAGACTTTAAACTCCGTCCGGAAAGCGACATATTCATCGTGACATATCCCAAGAGTGGTACTACGTGGATGCAGAACATTTTAAGGAAGATGTTATTTACTGAAGATACTCAAGAGTGGGCGGAAATGCCCCTAACTGAACGGTTCCCATGGGTGGATTATATACCTAGTTTATCGGTCACCGATTTGGAGAAAGTACCTAATCCTATAGTGTAAATGCCACAACCATTCTCCTCAAGAGATGGACGATCAAATCTTCAAAGGTTAGTTTAAGTTTAACAAGATTCTAGTTATTTTCTATTTTCTATTAGGTTACAAGTCTTTATGGGTATCAATGTTTATGAAATTTTATGTAGTTCTTCAATATTAAAGTAAACATCAATCTCAAACAAACAAACATTGCAGGAAATAGAAAAGCAAAGATAGTCTACGTGGTCCGAGACCCGCGTGACGCTTGTGTTTCCCTGTACCATCACCTACAAAAAGCAGGAATCTCAGACTGGATGAAGAAGGCCAATTTCACAGATTTCTTTAAAACTTACTTCCGGGATGGAAAAACGGTGTTTTATGGGCTCTGGGAGGATCACGTTAACAACTGGCTTTCTAGTCGAGATGAGTACGATATATTGGTCGTCCAATACGAGGATCTAATCGAGGACTCCTGTAAAGAAATATCCCGAGTCGCAGATTTCATCGGCTGTGATCTAACCCCAGAGGCTGTCCGCGGAATTGCGGAGAAAACTTCGTTTGCAAATATTAAACATCAGAATTTGTTTAAGGAAGACGGCCACGATGGGGTTCATGATAGTTTTCTCCGTAAGGGAGTGGTTGGTGATTGGAAGAACCATTTTGTGGACATGGCGGACGAGGAAATGATGCGCAAAATTGCTGACGATCTCTACAAAAAACACCAGATCTGATTTTTGTAAACATAAATATTGCTTACGTAATTCACTAGTTTAGTATTAGTATTGATTTCTGGTTAAAAACTTGTGTAATTGAAGTAGATTTAATTGTCAAATGCTGTGTCAATTTGTTTTAGATAGGCAATAAAACTTCGTAATTACTGACGATGTTAAAAAACTACAGGCTAAGCAGTGCTACCTTAGGACTGTCACACTTTTTTTTAAAAAGTGCTATAAACCAACCTTGATATACTACAATTAGGGTTGTCTATCATGGGTTGTACGATGTTGTGGACCATCTCTCTGTAGACGTGACCATTGTAGCTGTAGTCTCTCTTCGCGTCGTTACAGATCTCTATTCGAGCCGAGTGGAATGGCACGTATCTGAGGAATATAAAATTGAAACTACTTAGATGAATGAAATTGACGTTTTTTGTGATGTACGTTAATACCAATATGGCTAAACGTTGAATAATCCACTGGACGTTCACGTTTAATTTTTAAACAGCACCTTATAATTCAAGAAATTCAAGAACAATAATCTATACATAAATCTAAAGAATTCAAAGAATCTAAAGAATCTAAAAAATGTTTGACAAACCTGTCCTGCTGAGAAGAAACGAGGACGATGTTGGTGAAGTGGTGGAGTTTATCATTACAACTCAGCTTGTACACGTACGTTTGCTTTATATCGCTACTGTCTTTCATTGCGATCTAAAATTTAAATTATTTATGTAACAATTTGTTTTTATCTTTGGGAATGTAAAACTATCCTACAATCTACATACTGACGATATAGATATAATATTTTTGCTGCAGGAGTTCGAGGAATGAGTCATTTTATCAAAATCATGTTTACCCATAATTTCCCCAGCTACATATGTTTATAAATTGAAGTAGTAATTAGCAATTAGTAAGCTATCGACCTGCTGAAGGGATTTTCCAGCTTTGAGTCGCTGCATTAGCCACAGTCCTCCATTAACCAGGTAGCTGGGCGAGTACATCATTCCTAGATGAGGACCTGAAATGAACTATTTTAGATTTGCAAATCTTATGTATAACAATATTTCAAATTACGATAGGTCACAGTTCTATTTCGTTAGAGAGGAGAGATGTCAAATGAGCGTGCACCGGCTCCCCACTAGAGATCACCAATCTCACTCACCTGACAAGCTGAGGAATGTGTGGAATTTGGAGGTGTATCTCTCCAAAAGAGGATCTTGTAACGCAGCCCTCACCACCAGTGTGCCCAGACTGTGGCCGATAAAACTGATTCTTTCGTACGGTTTTGGGGAGCAGATTATCGTCTGGACGATATCGTCCGCTAATAGTCTGAAAGTTTAAAAGTGACTAATGTTGAAGGAAAACCCTTGGTTGTGAAATAAAATGAGCTATACAAGTTGATAGTTGATACTTCACAGTTCACACGAGATCAAAATTAAATCTACGCTAATTTTACCTTCCCATTTCCTTTATATCCTGATACGTGTCCTCCATGTATGCGTCCGACATTAAGAAGTGCAGGTCGCTCTTGGGAAGGGCCGCTTGAAGGAATATGCGGACTTGTCTGAGGTCGTTAGATGCTCCTTCCAGTCCGTGCGCGCACACCACCAGGTGAGGCGAAGGGGAGTATGTTGTCGCCATCATTCTCGAGCCTGTGCAGTGGTTTTAGGGCTCAATTGTTTAATTACTTAATTGTTTAATTGTTAATTAATTGATACTTGATACCTATAGTGGATCGCCTATATACTAGTCTGTATCAATAACACATTTAGCGACAATTTAATGTTCAAATTCCTACCTTCAGTATCAGTCAGGAAATACATTGACTCCATTAAACTAGACCCGATGAGATCCCTCCTCGCTTGTTCAAAGTTCACATGCGTTACCTCCGACTTTAACAAACGTATGGTTTTTCTCGCCAGATCGTTTATTGTCTTGTGATTCTCAGGGATGAGGGATACTTCGGTGAAGTTAGGTGGACGAGGCCTGGTGGGTCGATCTGTGGAGGAAGTGGGTTGGATGGTGATGGTGGGCTGAATGGGGAGGTTTGGGTTGCGTGCGGAGGGTTCCAGATCTACTAATAGGAGGTTGTGCGTTTCCTCTGTTGTCGTGTAGAATGTGGAGTTAGAACCTGGGACATGTTAATGGATAAGTTAAATCTTCCTTGATTCTCAGGTGGTGTTCATGTGAATGTGATAAGATAATGCAAGTCACGATTCACAGGGTTGAAAAATTAGTGTTGTCTAAAAATTAAAGTTGTCCCTTTTTAGAACCAAATACATTTAAGAATGTTTCAAATACCCAACCCATTATTGGGGGGGGTGTCATGTCCGTCTATGTCCGCCTATGTCCTGTCCTTTTTGGATTCTATGAGACAACGGACGTGTTTTTTGGGACATTGGCGGACACGGACGGACATTGGCGGACTCAGACGGACATTGGCGGACTCGGACGGACATTGGCGGACTCGGACGGACATTGGCGGACCCGGACGGACATTGGCGGACTCGGACGGACATTGGCGGACCCGGACGGACATTGGCGGACTTGGATGGACATTGGTGGACATTAGCGGACATTGGTGGACATTAGCGGACAAACATTTTGAGGACTGAAGAGTACTGAAGAGTACAGAAGAGTACTGAAGAGTACTGAGGAGGATGGCTGAGAAGGATGGCTGAGGAGGATGGCTGAGGAGGATGACTGAGGAGGATGACTGAGGAGGATGACTGAGAGGGAGGAGAAGGATCAGGAAGACCCAGGAGGAGGAGGAGGAGGAGGACCCAGAAGGAGGACCTAGGAGGAGGAGGAGGAGAACTGAGGAGGATGACTCAGGAGGAGGAGGAGGACTCAGGAGGAGGACTGAGGAGGACTAAGAAGGAGGAGGACTGAGGAGGATGGCTGAGGAGGATGGCTGAGGAGGATGACTGAGAGGGAGGAGGAGGAGGAAGAGGAGGAAGAGGACTAAGGAGGAGGAGGAGGAGGAAGAGGAGGAAGAGGACTAAGGAGGAGGAGGAGAAGGACTGAGGAGGAGAAGGAGGACCCAGGAGGAGGAGGACCCAGGAGGAGGAGGACCCAGGAGGAGGACCCAGGAAAAGGCCCCAGGAGGAGGAGGAGGACTGGGGAGGAGGAGAACTGTTGAGGACTGATGAGGAGGACTGAGGACGAGGAGGAAGAGTAGGAGGAGGACTGAGGAGGGGAGGAGGAAGAGGACTGGGGAGGATCAGGAAGACCCAGGAGGACCCTGGAGGAGGAGGAGGACCCAGGAGGACTGAGGAGGACTGAGGAGGACTGAGGAGGAGGACTGACGATGACTGAGAAGGAGGAGGACTGAGGAGTACTGAGGAGGATGGCTGGGGAGGATGGCTGAGGAGGATGACTGAGGAGGATGACTGAGAGGGAGGAGGAGGAGGACTCAGGAGGAGTACTCAGAACTTCAGAAGGAAGAGGAGGAGGACTCAGGAGGAGGACTCAGGAGGAAGACTTAGGAGAAATGAGAAGGAGGACTGAGAAGAACTGAGTAGGAGGAGGAGGAGGAGGAGGAGGACTGAATAGGAGGAGGAGAAGGAGGGGGACTGGGAGAGGACTGGGGAGGAGGAGGACTGATGAGAAGGATGAGGAGGAGGACCCAGGAGGAGGAGGACTGAGGACCGAGGAGGAAGAGGAGGAGGATGAAGAGGAGGAGGAGGACCCAGGAGGAGGAGGACTGAGGACTGAGGATGGCTGAGGAGGATGACTGAGGAGGATGACTGAGAGGGAGGAGGAGGAGGACTCAGGAGGAGTACTCAGAACTTCAGAAGGAAGAGGAGGAGGACTCAGGAGGAGGACTCAGGAGGAAGACTTAGGAGAAATGAGAAGGAGGACTGAGAAGAACTGAGTAGGAGGAGGAGGAGGAGGACTGAATAGGAGGAGGAGAAGGAGGGGGACTGGGAGAGGACTGGGGAGGAGGAGGACTGATGAGAAGGATGAGGAGGAGGACCCAGGAGGAGGAGGACTGAGGACCGAGGAGGAAGAGGAGGAGGATGAAGAGGAGGAGGAGGACCCAGGAGGAGGAGGACTGAGGACTGAGGAGGATGGCTGAGGAGGATGACTGAGAGGGAGAGGGAAGAGGAGGAGGAGGAGGAGGAGGACTGAGGAGGACTGAGAAGGAGGAGGAGGAGGAGGACTGAATAGGAGGAGGAGGGGGACTGGGGGAGGACTGAGGAGGAGGATCGAGGACTGAGGAGAAGGATGAGGAGGAGGACTGAGGAGGACTGAGGAGGAAGAGGAGGAGGATAAAGAAGAGGAGGAGGACCCAGGAGGAGGACCCAGGAGGAGGACTCAGGAGGAGGAGGAGGACTCAGGAGGAGGACTCAGGAGGACTAAGAAGGAGGAGGACTGAGGAGGATGGCTGAGGAGGATGGCTGAGGAGGATGACTGAGAGGGAGGAGGAGGAGGAAGAGGAGGAAGAGGACTAAGGAGGAGGAGGAGAAGGACTGAGGAGGAGAAGGAGGACCCAGGAGGAGGAGGACCCAGGAGGAGGAGGACCCAGGAGGAGGACCCAGGAAAAGGCCCCAGGAGGAGGAGGAGGACTGGGGAGGAGGAGAACTGTTGAGGACTGATGAGGAGGACTGAGGACGAGGAGGAAGAGTAGGAGGAGGACTGAGGAGGGGAGGAGGAAGAGGACTGGGGAGGATCAGGAAGACCCAGGAGGACCCTGGAGGAGGAGGAGGACCCAGGAGGACTGAGGAGGACTGAGGAGGACTGAGGAGGAGGACTGACGATGACTGAGAAGGAGGAGGACTGAGGAGTACTGAGGAGGATGGCTGGGGAGGATGGCTGAGGAGGATGACTGAGGAGGATGACTGAGAGGGAGGAGGAGGAGGACTCAGGAGGAGTACTCAGAACTTCAGAAGGAAGAGGAGGAGGACTCAGGAGGAGGACTCAGGAGGAAGACTTAGGAGAAATGAGAAGGAGGACTGAGAAGAACTGAGTAGGAGGAGGAGGAGGAGGACTGAATAGGAGGAGGAGAAGGAGGGGGACTGGGAGAGGACTGGGGAGGAGGAGGACTGATGAGAAGGATGAGGAGGAGGACCCAGGAGGAGGAGGACTGAGGACCGAGGAGGAAGAGGAGGAGGATGAAGAGGAGGAGGAGGACCCAGGAGGAGGAGGACTGAGGACTGAGGAGGATGGCTGAGGAGGATGACTGAGAGGGAAGAGGAGGAGGAGGAGGAGGAGGACTGAGGAGGACTGAGAAGGAGGAGGAGGAGGAGGACTGAATAGGAGGAGGAGGAGGGGGACTGGGGGAGGACTGAGGAGGAGGATGGAGGACTGAGGAGAAGGATGAGGAGGAGGACTGAGGAGGACTGAGGAGGAAGAGGAGGAGGATAAAGAAGAGGAGGAGGACCCAGGAGGAGGACTCAGTAGGAGGAGGAGGACTGGGGAGGAGGAGGACTGTTGAGGATTGATGAGGAGGACTGAGGACGAGTAGGAGGACTGAGGAAGGGAGGAGGAAGAGGACTGAGGAAGATCAGGAAGACCCAGGGGGAGGAGGAGGAAGAGTAGGAGGAGGAAGCATCTAAATGTTATTTCCATTTTTGTCCGTTTTTGTCCATTTTTGTCCGTTTTTGTCCGCTCTATTTTTTGTCCGTTTTGAAAATATAGGGTACCGAACGGACAAAAAACATGATCCCCCCTATAACAGCAAAAATTGAACATTTTATTTAGCAATTTAGGTGTCCATTAATGTCCGCCTATGTCCGCCTATGTCCGCCTATGTCCTTCTATGTCCGCCTATGTCCGCCTATGTCCGTCTATGTCCGCCTATGTCCGCCTATGTCCTGTCCTTTTTGGATTCTATGAGACAAGCGGACATAGACGGACGTGACACCCCCCCCATTATTGATAGCATTCGGTATTAGCAGTTTATAGAAAATAATAAATAGTCATACACCTGTGAGTATGACAATTTTCCCTTGTGACTTGCCAACACAACCTTTTAGCCAAATTAAATTTTTGCTAAATTTGATTTGGCTTAATTGAGTGACACAATCGCTCTTATAAAGACCAGATAAACTTGGATAATTGCATTATTGTATATCGCAAAGATTTTCGACTACATGCTGCATGCATGATGCATGGGGATCTGCTGACTAGTTCAAGAAATTCCTGGTTTTTTACAGCATGGCCATGACTGGACGCGCGCGCGCCGGCGCGCATGTATACGACAGGCTGTGCAGATTACTTTACATGACTTTCGTAACATGCGCGCGGCGTAAACGTAGTACAACTTTTGTAACCGTTCCAAAAGAAGTTTTGCGCAGCATGATCTCATGTTTCAAATAACATAATTTGCTCACAAACTTGATACACAGATTCTTCTTGCTGCACAAATAATCACATGCAAGTAGCCGGTAACTTCTTATTTTACATGGTAAGTCTTATGGAAGAAATGTGGACTGTGATAAGAGTACGAGACGATGCTCGAAAAATTTGAGTTAAATTTTCCTTTGAAAACAGGAAAATTGTACAGTTTACTAGAAAGAAACCTTACCCGAATAATCCAAAAGTTTACAGTGTAAAATTACCTGAGCCCGAAGTTCTAGTGGGTCGGTCTCCATTCATAACGACAGCAGATCTTGCTCGAGTCAGCTCTATTTCATCTTCCAGCGAATCTGACAGTGCTTCTGATAACTGACTGTCCCGCCACGCCTGTATGGTAATTAATGAAGAGGGGGGGCCTTGTTAAGTCAGGGGCCAGGGAGGGGGGGCCTTGTTAAGTTCACATTCTAATTATATGTTCAAGTGGGTGCTCGTATAACAATTATGTGACAACAGTTAATTTAATTTAACTCGGTACATATTGATGAGTTTTTAATGTAGTGCATATTTTTTAATATGATCCAGTGATTCTGTGCTCATGGTACTAGTTTGATTGTAAAAGCCATTTAAATTCACCAAAGTTACCTTAATAATGTTATCGTCCAACTGAACGACTATGTGCGGTCGTCGCATAATTGGGTCCCATACTTTCTTTTCTCGCATCGCTTTATCAAGAATCTGAATATATGAAGTTCAGTATGCCCAGATTTTAAGGAGAAGAATAATCAGAAAGTAATTAAAAACATGTTAATTGACAATGTTAATTGACAATTGAAATGTAAAATACTAAAAAGGGTATTAAAACCATTAACTCACATCTTTAGGCACACTGATGTTGGGATTATCAGTGTACGGTTCCCAGTTATAGAGATCCTCAATAATTATGGGTATGGAAGTAGCTCCACCATCGTTATCATCTGCCTGTTAAATTTATATTGAAGTATTATTTTTTGGTAATCAACAAATATTTTGACCACTCAGTGTTTGCATCCATAACAAGAATTTCGCCGCGGTTAAACCACGCACGATCAATTTTCCCTACCATGTACTTGTACCATTATGGCATTAATTCTTTTGAGTGAAAAGTGTGACTGGAAAAAAGTGTACCATATTTACATACTATGTTTTTTATAAATGAGTGGGATTCGTGCATGGTGAAAATTGACGATTTATTTGACCAATGCAGCGCCGCGCATCAACAATAAATGAATCCAAAAAATTGCGGAAAATAACTTTGCGAAGGAGGAATTTCACTGTAATTAATTAACACATGGCCAGCGTCGCGCGCAGCATAACAGACGCTTCCTATACACTTAATTATTGGGGAGTGGTCTATATTGCGAAGGAGCAGACTTTTGTCGTCACCGCAGGTCCATCGGGCCACCTCATATATCTAAACCCGATTACTTATTCCCTACGATCTTTTTGCCTTCGGCAAGAGTAGGGAAAAAAATTTCCATACTAAATGTCTTACAAACATTACGAACTTGGATGGAGAAGTTACCAACAACCAAATCAACAATTGGTGCAAAAACTAATTAATAATTTGTAACTAATTAATTGGTTATCAATCATAATTAATTATAGCCAACTTACTTGAAGAGGAAGAGGAGGAATAGTGGTCATGTATCTGGAACCTCTGATAAAGTTACCAACACTACTACTTAGCGTGGAGCTCTGAAATATTTTACTATTTTAAACCTTGCATTCCAATCATATTTTGAAACTAATTCAACATTTTAATCACGTCAAACTGGTAGAAACCAAAAATATTCCACCATCAAGGACAAAAAACCAAGTACAAAAGTCAAAGGACAGACTCACAACTCACGAACAACAAAGACAACAATTAAAAGCAGTAACGACAAAGAAATATGTAAGTAAATACCTTGTAATCACCAGATTTCTCTTTCGGATGTGACTGCGTAAAACAGGCCTCTTTTTGTCGCTCCAGCTGCACTGCTCTGAATCTTTCTAGAAGCACCTGAGAAGAGGAATAATTAATGGATTAATTAATCAATAATTAATCATCAAAAAATTCTCTCGAAATTGACTTTATAGTTGTTTCTGATAGAGGGGAGTGATATCTATCAGATACTTTTGGTTCCATGGAAAAATATTGTTCCTAGCCGAAATAATTGACGGTCAAAGCTAAGGTCAGCGCTTATGTGTTATAATTGCATTGCGCGAGCGATAATTGTATTGCGCCCCCTTAATGACAAATAACCGGTTAATATGGGGGAGAGAAAGGGATAATTTTCATTAACATTTTATGAGTTGCTAAGTTGCTAAGCATGTAATAAATTCTGTCATGAACGATTTGTAATATTGTGCACTCTGCTAGTGAAACTTTTTTTAGAGCTCTGTTTACAAATTATACAAGATTAATAATAATGAGTTTCAGTAGATATGGATGTTTCCGATGTTATCTTTCCGCTAAAGATTGCTTTATTGTCTGTCGCATGAACTGAAGGATACACATATCTGCAATTTTTGAGCACAATATACAAGTTAATGAGTTAGTCTACTTCATACTAGTGTCTGACAATGTGAAGTATTTATCAGATTCAAAGAATTGATTGAATTTCTGTTTCTCTCAAAAGAGACCATTATGGATTGTGCAATATTTCTAGCCACACACAATGTTCTACAAATATTTCTTGGAAATTTTATAATTTCGTCAGTAGACACATTTCCTGGAATTTATCAATTTTACTCTTGAATCGCTGGTCAGAATAGTACTTACATTTTAAATATCTAATTTACAGAAATTATTTAGTTAAGCACCATTGCACAATCCTCTTTACAACGTGTAAGCAGAGGAATTATAGTACGAACGGTTTGAATTATGAATGTGCAAGTTTGATGAGATGATTCGTGTTATTATTTAGTAATTAGTAATTAGTAATTAGTGTACTGTGTAATTACTTGTTACACTACTTACGATATTACTGTGGTCAGATAATTTGGCCTGTCTTCTGTTAAATTGTGGAGGATCTAGGCAAGGCTGGAGGAAATGAGAATAGTTACGGCCTCTTTGAGCAGCACATTATTACAATTATTTCCAATTGAATGCCATGCTAAACTTGCATAATTAATTGATTATTAACTATTGAACAAAAGAACACTTTAAATAATGATCAATTTTAACTTAAATTTGTTACGAAGAAACTTACAGTTTCAATTTGACCAAATAACTCACAACATGAACATGGACAATCCAAATTTCAGATTCACTGTTCCTGCATCGCCTCCCCACGTTAACAAATCAGATAATTACCTGCTGAATGTGTTTGCTGTGTATGAAACACTCGAGAAACTCGAACCAGAGGATGTGGATACTGCGGCTTATACTCTTCAAATCGTGTATCAGTTGATCCTGCGATAATTAATTGTTAATTAATTATTTGTTATTAATTAACATCCAATAAAGTCGGAATGATATCATTTTATAACGAGATCTGATCGTTATCTTCTTACAGCTTTCGATGTAAAATGGTGACATCCTCTGGATCAGGCAGAGGTCGAGTGTTATCAGGATTACTTCTGTAGTAGTTGTACAGCAATACCGCAGTAGTCCCATTACCTTAGTAGCTTAGTATTGCTGTACAACTACTTCAGATATCATTTTATGTCAGTAAGACAATTATTATATTATGTTAATAAGGCACAATAATGTATTCGATAAAATAACTCAAATGGTACAAAATGAAAAAATTATATCCCCGTGCAGGGCCGGAGAGATTCAAATAGTTTTGTGAAACATCCTCAGGATTTCCGAATGGAAATATAAACTTATTTCAGTTGACTCCATCATTATTATTTTGAAGCTTGGGCAAGGCAGCTTTTCATCTCATCGCTTCTGTGTAACAAATAATTTGAGTACAAGAATATAAATATTATGTAACTCTAGTTTATAGTTAGCAGTCACGCAGTACGAGGTCAGGTGTCAAGTGTGGACTAACGGTAAATAAATTAATTTACTTTGTGTACAGACACTTGACAGCAATTATAGAACAGCGGAGAATCTTAATTGTATTCTGCTTTTACTTTTATTTTACTTTGAGTATGCTTTTGTTTGTATCATATGTAACTGATATGTTGGAATGTCGGATATTGTTCACAATTCACAAACAATATCCAACATATGCTACCGAGTAAAATTTATAAAATAATTTCACTTGGGTGCATACTTCGAGGTCACTGGGTTTATATCACGCTGATACAAAATATGGTATTATAATACAACCCTCCTCCAAATTAAAAAAACAGCTGAAAAGTTAACATAATAACCACAACATAGGTAGCTGTGGGACTAACAAGCTGTGGGACTAACAAGTTGTGGGACTAACAAGCTACAATCTAAAAACACATTTTTCTTTCTTAAAACACAATATTGTTACCGCCCAAGATTTTTGGGGCTCTGTGAATTTAAGGTAGAAAATAACAAGAATAGCGCTGTTAGTTTGGAGCGAGCACTTGATTTTCCTAATTTTCCTCGTTTCCCCGAATAGTAAATGAAATAAAAACTAAACTGATGCTTTTAGTGGTACTGGTACTTATACTGCTTATACTGACGCATCTGACGTAAACACCTTATATTAGTAATTAACCAGGTATATAATTGGAACCTGCAATATCGCATGACTAGGTCAATAACATAATATCATATGTTACAGTTCTAAGAAATCCTATATAATCCTGTATAAGTTGCAGGTCACTTCAATATATATTATTATCGTGTCTTCAATAAATATTTTCAAGTTGAATTATCAAACGCTAGTAAACTTAAACTGTTTGATAAAATAGCAGGTTTAATGTGACCAATTCTTCGAAAAATTCGACAGATTTTACCCGAAACTTTGAAAACTTGTGCGAGACATTGGAACTCAGCTCGAAAGAAACTAATAAGGAAAGTCTTCGCAAAAATTGCAAGGTTTTAATGATGATAATAAATTGAAGTTTAAGAACACCACTATTAAGATAAACTTATACTCAGCAGTGTTTAATCTAGTCATCCCGGAAACTATCATGATAAAAGTTAGGACTGCTATCAAATACTTGAAAATATATCGTTCATATATGAGTGTAGCTTAAAATTAAAGAACTAACACTAAATATAGGCCAAAATCAGTCATTGATAAAGTTTGTCAAGTTCATGCTGAGACAATTTAAATAAGAAAGTTTTTAGAAATGATTTAGGGATGACATGTTCATATTAATCTAAGAAGAAATTTTTTAAACTGTTAAGCTGTTAGAAGATAGTTCAAAAATGATTGATTTTAATAAAGATTACTGCGCTTTGAGTAAATCATTACCACAACTTTCCTACAATTGATTCTGCTACAATTTTACCAGTTCCATATAAAATCGACACATTGAATTTGATCCAATTTTGGGATGCAAATTCTTCTACTTGGTTTGTGTAAACACATATTACATACCAAAAATTGTAATATAAAAGTCAAGATGTATTATATATTCATCTGTTATTACATGTATGTAACATCAAAGGGTCAGTATGATTTGATGAGAAAATGAAATATTAATCAATCTGGCAATGGTATAAATGGCACCCCTCAAATATTACATTTGATTGCAGGGCAATTATAAACCGATCATGATGAGTTAAGGGGGTGGGTAGGCTTGGTAATATCAGATAAATTGTCTCCTTACTTTTACTTGAAAGCAACAAACTCGACAAGGATAGAGACACGATAAGCACATGGGACCTCTCTCAGACCGTACAAGTTGCTGTGTGGCACAAAGGGGGAGGTGTTAGGTATTTAAAACTGATGATGGGACTTCCCATTCCATCATACGCTGATATGGGACCAGCCGATAATAAAGAATCCTCAGAATTTTCAGATTGATTGAACTTCTTTTTAGGTTGGTTTAAACTCTCGTGCCAGGTTTTTCAGCTTTTTTTGTTGTTGCAGGTCAGGACATTTCCTCTTCCCACAGTTCGTTCTCCAGACAAACCTACTCCTCGAACGGATGATTCTAGAATTACAGTTCTCAATATCCTACCTGTGTTATTGCACGTTCAAAGATGTTTTAACCTTAATTAAACATTGGTTCCTTTTTCTGAGACCAACACTTTTTTAATCGGTTTTGACCTAGCCTGGTCTGCATCTGTCAGCGGCAGTTCTCTCGCCAAAGTGGCTATAGGCTCTCGGTGTCTGCCACCTCATATATTACTGGTAACTACAAAAGAAGGAAAATACTATTCGTGAAATTTTAAATTCTATTTATATATTACTGCAATTATGAGTGATTGATTTTTTAAAAAGGATTTCTTTTACAGTCTTCTTATAACCACAGTTTTATCAAAAGTGCCATTTTCTGCGAATCTTGTTAAGGTTCAAATTGTATTTTGACTCCTTCAAATTTGAACTGTAGCCCTTGTTCTCCTTCTTCCTTCTCTTCATTCTCATCCTCTGTACTGCATTTCAACCAGTAACTCTCAATTTTTAAGCAGCTGTGAATCTGGTTAAGGTCCAAATTGAGTGTAACTCCTCCAAATTTCAACTCTAGTCCTAGTTCTTCTGCTTTGCATTTCAACCAGACACTTTCCAGTTTTAAGCAGGTTTGTTTCATGTTGACCTCACATTCCGCTATGTTTGTAGCATTGACGCCACACAGCACATTATCTACCTTCACATCATCATATTCATCAACAACAAGGAGCTCTGGAACGTAGTCCAAGTTCTCAGGGAAGCTTCCCCAGGCATCAGCGTATCCGAATCCCAGATGCTGGCCGAACAGGTTGGCAGCGTCGCTGTTAAAAGTGTGTCGACAAACAATGCCAGGGTGCACTTTTCCCGGGTCTTTTCTGTCCCGGAGATTTACAAAGAGGAGTCCCTCAGAATCGTCAGAAAGTTTTCCTGTTGTGTGATTGTACTTTTTCAGGTTCACTGAGTCGAATTCCCAGTCTGGGAGTTCTGGGTTACACTCCAAGTAAACACTCAACCTAATATCACAGCTGCTGTTTGCTCCCCAAGGTCTGAATTCACCTTCACAATACTCTATGTCGTTAGTCCTATCATCACACTTTAAACTTTCCGCCGCTATCTTTATGTCCTCTTTGTCGAAAATGTAGTATGGAATGTAAAACCCCATGTTCTCTGGGTATCTGCCCCAAGCCTTAGCGTAGCCGTGTCCAAGGAACTCGCAGAACATGTCTGCCGCGTGATCAGTAAAGTGGTCTTCACAGACAGTGCCAAAGACAGTGCCAACTGCCGACTGTACACCTAAATGCAGCACACCTGATAGACTGCTGCGGTCCATCTCTTCCGATTCGTTATCCCAGAACCAAAGATCTGCATGCAGTAGGTTCCACTTCCGGTGTGTACTGTAATCATAACATATCAAGTAAATAAAATATTTATCATAATTACTTTCGTAATCGCAACTGTAAGCACCATCATCGAATAATTGTAACTGTGAGAACTTCCAGTCCAGCGGGAAGTCTGGGAAGTATTTCCGAGCATCGTCAACTTCGTAGTCAGAGTTAGTACAGATCTCCCGATAAATAGGATTTATTCTGTTGTTGTTCGGAGTCCGACTACGGGACTTCACATTGAACATCTTTCCCTCTGATTCTGCCAGTAATAGACCACTCCGAACACCCTGTCCTTCAGATTCCGAGGAATTAGGTCTCAACAAATGCCATTTGTCAGGTTGTGTCTCCAACTTGGTACAGACCGGAGCAGCGTAAGCAAAGCTTAACACAACCAATATCACCGCTAGTACTTTGTGCATTGATACCTAATAATTGCACATGTTAAATATTTTATAAAAGCCCACTGTTTTTGGCAAAGTGTCGAAGAATCTAACAACACACCTCGAAAACTTGTCCTTTCTAAATAGATAACCGGCGTTAAAAATCCTAACGTTAAACAATACCGCTTTTTTAATGATTGAGGAAGACTGATTTGACCAGAAAGAGAGAGAGAGAGAGAAAGAGGGATAGAGAGCAGAACTAAATGATGAAGATGTCGTGGTTCTCCCACATCTGCTTTTTATAAGTAAGTTATCTTGGAATAAAGCTAGTGCAATGCACGTGCAGACGATGGGTAAGTTGCAGCAGCACGTGCGTACCATGGGTAGAGCATCTGAGTACAACAATAATAATAAGAGCGCTGCACCTGGGCTTCTATAGAACCTCCAGCTGACTACTCATCCTCTGTCTAGGAAAGAGTGGAACTACAGGAACTACAGGAACACGTGATATATTGTAGTCTACAATACAGCACGTGCTTCTTATTTTTTCAACGACCAGCTTTTAACCATAATTTAGAAGCACCTCGCTCTACTGATCCTTTTATTTTCTCACTACAGTTCATCTCAGTTGCTCCCAGTTCCCGAAGCTTTGTAAACTTCACGTGCTTTCTCGATTAAATTTTTACAAAAACTTGTAAGAAATTTATTTGAAAAACCAGTCAGCTGCTTACTCAGCCTTCGTTCACTTCAATATATCAACGAAAAGCGGCTCAAAATAATGAACGGTAATTTAAATTTTAAATTTTAATCTGGTGAAAATTATTAAATAGCGGGTTTTAAAAAACCGAAAAAGAGCGATGTAAAACGTAAAGTTTAACACGTGGTCAGTCACCTGTGCATCATCAATGCTCTCAATCTCAGAGAGACTGGTAAGGATTGTTTGCAGTGCATCCACTGCATCTGCTGGCTTTAGTTCGTGGCGGTACTCGGACGGCAACGTGTCCTGATCAATTATGTAATTAATTAATTATGCAATTAGTTAATTAATTATGTTATCTATTGTATAATAGATAATAGAGTAGCAGCACGTTAGGCAGTGAAGCCTTCGCCATTAGGAATAGCTAACCAAATGGTGACCAAAATCAAATAGTGACCAAATAGTGACCAAATAGCTAACCAAATAGTGACCAAATAGTGACCAAGATCAGAATTTTTCTTCCAAGTCAACAAAAACTGTAACCGAGTATCAACATTAGCTGCAGTAATGATATGATTTACATATTTTATGTTTAAAAAAATTGAACGCAGTAATGACATGATCTACATATTATTATGTAAACAGAATATTTAGTCACTCATCTAAGATTTGTCACACATGTACTAACAACCTGTAAGTTGGAGAATGTAGACTTGAGAAAGTCATAAGCGGACAGCAGGGTCCCACACAGTACAGTAGCTACATTCAGGATCATATCCTCTGAAACAGTCATAGCTATAGTATGTAGTAGTACATAATTAAATAGTACATAATTACACTAATTAAATAGTTCAACATATTTTACATTTAAGATAAGTCGGTGAAACTATACCACAGAAGAAAAAGCTGGTTTCTATATTTTTAGGCTGTATTTTAACAAACGTTTGACGAAACTTATTCCCTAAAATATAAAACATTAAAAAATGTAGTAAGGTCTACCCAATTAACGATTAACCACTAAATACCCTAATTAACCAATTATAACCTAATTATAACAATTAACCCTAATTACTCACTATAATCATGTATGCCCACGTCCACCAGCACACTCAACACTGGTAGATTGCTGTCCCAACACTGTGACAGTAAAGTGTGTGGGGGGTTGTCTATGTCTACCATCACCATGTGAACGGTGTACCGGATTTGTGCCATGTACATGTACTCAAACATGTCCTCTTTACCTGTGATTCGTTAATTGGTTGTGGATCGAGTAACTATGATAATATTATAGTAAATATATTGCCTAACAAGTTTTAATACAACAGGCAAATACGTTGATCTGATTTGTCCAGTACAAGGTAACCTTGGTCGTATTTGATGCTCAGATCTCAGATCACGTGGCGGATCATGTGGTGGGTAAACAATTTTCATATACAGTCCGTTCTTAATACTAGATCCATAGTTTGAATAAATATTCATCAAGTTCACAAAATGTATTCGGTTGAAATTGGTCCCTGAGATGGCATTTCCAGTGATCCCAGGGCCAAACTGTACTGTTATAACCGACAGTAGATAGTGCGCCTTTTACCAAGTAACACAACAATTATAAACCATGAGAAGACCAATCACACACCGAGAGTGTAGTCTTGATCAACTATATTAGTTGTCACTCATTAATTAATTATGTAATTTAAAATTATAAGCCGTGGGAGCAGCAATTAAACGGTACACTATAAGTATAGCTAAAAGCTATGTCTAGTATTGTTAGTAGTGATTGTGGCGTGTCCTGGTCAATTAGGTAATAAGTTCATTAATAATGCAATGAAATTAATTAATAATGTAACTAATTGTTTATTTCATGACATTAGAAATGAAACGGTGAAAGTAGTAGCGATGGTATTGACACACTGGCTCAGATAGGTCTATTGTTATTAGAGTGTGAGGAGGGAAACATCGTCATCCTGCCTTAAAACAACACAAACAGACTGGTCCAGAATTAACGTGACGTCATCCTGCCTTTAAAACAACACAAACATACTGGTCCAGAATTAACGTGACGTCATCCTGCCTTTAAAACAACACAAACAGAATGGTCCAGAATTAACGTGACGTCATCCTGCCTTAAAACAACACAAACAGACTGGTCCAGAATTAACGTGACGCCATCCTGCCTTAAAACAACACAAACAGACTGGTCCAGAATTAACGTGACGTCATCCTGCCTTTAAAACAACACAAACATACTGGTCCAGAATTAACGTGACGTCATCCTGCCTTTAAAACAACACAAACAGAATGGTCCAGAATTAACGTGACGTCATCCTGCCTTAAAACAACACAAACAGACTGGTCCAGAATTAACGTGACGTCATCCTGCCTTTAAAACAACACAAACATACTGGTCCAGAATTAACGTGACGTCATCCTGCCTTTAAAACAACACAAACATACTGGTCCAGAATTAACGTGACGTCATCCTGCCTTTAAAACAACACAAACAGAATGGTCCAGAATTAACGTGACGTCATCCTGCCTTTAAAACAACACAAACAGAATGGTCCAGAATTAACGTGACGTCATCCTGCCTTTAAAACAACACAAACATACTGGTCCAGAATTAACGTGACGTCATCCTGCCTTTAAAACAACACAAACAGACTGGTCCAGAATTAACGTGACGTCATCCTGCCTTTAAAACAACACAAACATACTGGTCCAGAATTAACGTGACGTCATCCTGCCTTTAAAACAACACAAACATACTGGTCCAGAATTAACGTGACGTCATCCTGCCTTAAAACAACACAAACATACTGGTCCAGAATTAACGTGACGCCATCCTGCCTTTAAAACAACACAAACAGACTGGTCCAGAATTAACGTGACGTCATCCTGCCTTTAAAACAACACAAACATACTGGTCCAGAATTAACGTGACGCCATCCTGCCTTAAAACAACACAAACAGACTGGTCCAGAATTAACGTGACGTCATCCTGCCTTTAAAACAACACAAACAGACTGGTCCAGAATTAACGTGACGTCATCCTGCCTTTAAAACAACACAAACAGAATGGTCCAGAATTAACGTGACGCCATCCTGCCTTAAAACAACACAAACAGACTGGTCCAGAATTAACGTGACGCCATCCTGCCTTTAAAACAACACAAACAGACTGGTCCAGAATTAACGTGACGTCATCCTGCCTTTAAAACAACACAAACAGACTGGTCCAGAATTAACGTGACGTCATCCTGCCTTTAAAACAACACAAACATACTGGTCCAGAATTAACGTGACGTCATCCTGCCTTAAAACAACACAAACAGACTGGTCCAGAATTAACGTGACGTCATCCTGCCTTAAAACAACACAAACAGACTGGTCCAGAATTAACGTGACGTCATCCTGCCTTAAAACAACACAAACAGACTGGTCCAGAATTAACGTGACGTCATCCTGCCTTAAAACAACACAAACAGACTGGTCCAGAATTAACGTGACGTCATCCTGCCTTAAAACAACACAAACAGACTGGTCCAGAATTAACGTGACGTCATCCTGCCTTAAAACAACACAAACAGACTGGTCCAGAATTAACGTGACGTCATCCTGCCTTAAAACAACACAAACAGACTGGTCCAGAATTAACGTGACGTCATCCTGCCTTAAAACAACACAAACAGACTGGTCCAGAATTAACGTGACGTCATCCTGCCTTAAAACAACACAAACAGACTGGTCCAGAATTAACGTGACGTCATCCTGCCTTCAAAACAACACAAACATACTGGTCCAGAATTAACGTGACGTCATCCTGCCTTTAAAACAACACAAACATACTGGTCCAGAATTAACGTGACGTCATCCTGCCTTTAAAACAACACAAACATACTGGTCCAGAATTAACGTGACGTCATCCTGCCTTTAAAACAACACAAACATACTGGTCCAGAATTAACGTGACGTCATCCTGCCCTTAAAACAACACAAACAGAATGGTCCAGAATTAACGTGACGTCATCCTGCCTTTAAAACAACACAAACAGACTGGTCCAGAATTAACGTGACGTCATCACGAGAGAGTTAGTAAGTTAACAGCTGCTTTTAAATAAAAGCGCTTTAAATAATGGTAATTTGGCCCAACCCGGGGTATTTGAGCTTTTCAACAAGAATTAAAACATGTTCTTAATATTATGTAGCCAGGTTGTGGACTGGCTGCACCTGGTTAAAGCACTTCCATCCCATTACATAATAATACTTAAATTATTTGTTATATAGTAGTGTTGAAAGTATTAAAACTAACATGTCTTCATGAATGTAGATAAGTATAACTGTGTGATAATATAATATAATACAACGTAACGTATTAATAGTAGTTAGTATGTAATATGTATAGTAGTAGAATACTATAATAGATTTTATATTAACACCGATAGTAACTACGTACTATCATTATCATACTGACAGCTCAATAATTACTGTACAATAATAGTTACTATTAATAGTTTTTAGTACTATTATAGTAATAATAAGTAGTTACTATCTATATTAATATAGATAGTAACTACTTATTATTACTATCAGTAACAGTTACAATTCGTATTACTGTCGTAATTATGACAGTACCAGTTGAGAGCATACTGGTCAGACTGGCACACTGCCAAATGGCATTCAGGATCCTGTGAGAGTTTCCTAGTCATCATATTATACAACCATTCTGCCAAATTTATACTCACTTATAGTTATACCTTGACTAAAATCCATCGCCATAAAGTGACTAATGGGCAGTTGTGTAAGATTAAAATTTGAAATGTTGAAAATATTACAAAATATTGTGTATACTGTATTATGACTTTATGACGCACGTCGCACATGTTTCTCAATCTTTAATATTTTTAAAATCACCGTAGATATGCATACTGCTCAGTGGGTATCGTATAGTTCGGAATATGTTCGGATTCCGAGTTCGGTGTTCGTTCCGACCGAATATTCGAATATATATTATATATTATACAGGGTGGGCCAAAAGTCAGTACTCATACGTTGGCCTTTATAGCTCAGTCACTGAGTGCCCAATTTAAATACTTCGTCAGGATTAATTGAATATATTCGGTACCGAATACTACTGAATACCAAATATTTGATATTTTGATTATCCGAGCTTGTACGTGATTATTCTAGCTTGTACGTGATTATCCGAGCTTGTACGTGATTATCCGAGCTTGTACGCCAGTACGTGGTTTCAAAATGTGAGTCACGACTGTCGATTAGTTTATTGTGGTTTATTCTAGAATATTTTGCTCTCTGTCTCAGTAGTAACTGGAGAATATTTGATTTGATTTTTCTGATGAATATCGAATATTATATTCTCCCATGAAGATCATAGTAGTAGTCAGTAAGATCTAGTAAGGTATTAACAGCACTCAATACGCTCACCAGAATTGCTAAAAGCCAATAAGGCTGTCATAGCCCTTCCTTGTATAACAGGAGTTGTAAACACTAAACTTTAAAACTTTCTGGATGTGGGGATTATAATTGCACTCATAATCTGTAATTTGGCGTCCCTTGTCTTTTAAACCACCTAGCTGGATAATTAGTTAAGGGTATGAAACTTACTACTAAGCTATAAGGGTACTTAGGACAGTTTTATATTTATGAGAAGGTTATTATTAAAGGCAGATCCCCGGACCCCTCGCTCCTCAATTATAGACACAGGGTGGTCACCACTCACCAGGGTCGTTCTCTTGTTATGATAATTCCTGGATTCTGTCAGCCCAGTAAAAATGGGTGGTAACAGTTGGTAGCGAGTTAGGGTTCTAGTTAGATGAGACCCCTCCAGAGTCCAGTCATCCAGGTCCCCTCATACGACACCATTAATCTTAGAGTCATCTGTAATCTGTATAGCAGATTATTATATCCTCTTGTAACTTGGGCTACTTGCTCATTGTTGCCCGATCACGCTGCCCTGATTATCTCTCCTCCTCGTGGGGACTGTACATTGCACAATGAAAGGAGAATCACTAACCTTCATCGTTCTGATCGTCTTGAAATAATAGCTCAGAGGAAACGTTTAGAATAACAATATAGCTATTAGCTGCATTCTCATGATACAACAGTTTTCACATTGTCACAAAGCATGTTCTAATGATGCTCGGGGTTCGAGTTATGCTTTTTAAGCGATGATCGTTCATTCGCCCTCCTGCGTCTCCTGGATTGCTCTTCTTTCTTTATTCGTGAAATTGTCCACTGAGACATCCATCGTAATAGTTTTAAACATCAACCACTGCACTGCACGATCACATCGTCCTTCTAATTACTATAATAATCATCCTCTAAAAAGTTATTCGGAAAGATTTGATCGGTGACTTTTTGCTCCTTTTTGCTGTGGAACCCCCACACTTAAATTCTAAACATACGCTTTTCCAACAAGTTCAATTTTTCTAACAAGTTCAATTTTTCTAGCAATTGAATTATGATAGTGCTACACTGTTTAACTGCTATACTCGTCCTGGAGGAAACTAACTGTGACCAAGGTAAGTCATTACTATCTGTCATACTGTCAGTACTGTCACAAGTGTTGCTTAAACTTGTTGCAAAGCATTTCAACATGAAAACCGATCAGACTTATCCGTGGACTATATCAGCTTCAGTCCCATTACAGAGATATGGAATATTGGGCTGGTGGGGAGGTGAAACCCATATTTTTTATATGAATCATATATTTGATTTGACACGTCACAGTGATTCTAACTTTTGCTTATTGTATCATCTGTTCAGAAGAAGTAATATACGAAAACATAGCAAGTAAAGGTGAGGTTGACGCTGAAAGTGAGTGGGGAAGTTACTCAGTAAAATACTTGATTGATGGAAGGTAACTATAGTTCACTGACTTTATTTGTAATATTCTGTATTATAAGTATTTACATGAGATTATTACAAACTCAGTGTTTCGAGCCGGACCTCAATATTCCGCCCAAGACACAGAGGCCCACCTGAACAATCTGAACACCCATTACAAACAAACTTTATTTTCAGTCCTGAAGGGGTTTGTTTCATCGCAAACGGAATTGACCGTACCGACCAATGGTGCAGGCTCACGTTTCCTGAGACTTACTACATAGAGAGGATATCTATATGGAACAGACGAGAAGAGACGAGCGCTCCCAGGATAGACGGAGTGCAGGTGCACATAGACCATGTTCTCCTAACCAGGATAGAGTACGTAGAGGGGAAGGAAGAGTACGGATACTCACTTCCTCAGAAGAAAGGCAAAGTGATAACGATCTGCTGCAGCAAGGTTAATCTGGCCATAGCTGAGTTGGAGGTCTACGGGTCAACTACTAAAGGTTAGTTTAGCGCGCGCCAGAGCATTACTAGTCAACTACTAAAGGTTAGTTTAGCGCACGCCAGAGTGTGCTACGGAGTGTTCCTCAATCCTCATAAATGGCCAAGACATGATGTTCTTGTGGAAGCAAGATGGTGAGAAAATATGGGCTTCTAGTTTGGTGAACTACCTCAACTCAGATATCATTTTTCAAGCGAGGCAGTGCGCCAGTACTGTGTGGGATTCTTATTTTATCTTTTGGTAAACCTGAAACATACCTATCATTGCCCACATTACACTTGAAGTATTATACATGGTGGTTTAGCAATTGCTTTATTTGCTCTGTCTTAAAGTGAAAGTGAAGTCCATCATTCAAATTTCCCAGCTCTTATTGTATACATTTTAATGAAAACGAGCATTATCCTGGCCATTTGGCGCCATAATATCAATAGTCAACATGTCATCAGTATTTTACATAATTGTACAAGTAAGGTGATTTGATAGTTTGTCGACAATATCGACCCTTCTTCTGAGTTTTATTTATAGGGAGTTAAGTTTTATTTGTTTTTATCCAGACTGCTGCTGACTATGGAATCATTCAATACAAAGTTTGATGAGAAGTGTGAAAAGCAAAAATCTAAATATTTACATGTTCTTAATATCAAAACCAAGTATTATTTTTAAGTTATTAGGCTAGAGTCGGTATTCGACATTAACCATATATATATATATACTCAAAATGTTTCAAGGTGCAGTTTTAAGGTGCAGTTTTAAGGTGCAGTTTTAAGGTGCAGTTTCAAGGTGCAGTTTCAAGGTGCAGTTTCAAGGTGCAGTTTCAAGGTGCAGTTTAAGGTACAATTTCAAGGTGCAGTTTCAAGGTGCAGTTTCAAGGTGCAGTTTCAAGGTGCAGTTTCAAGGTGCAGTTTCAAGTATGGAGTTGAGAATCAGGTATAAGAAGTTCACTTTTGAGAGGTTCGGGATGATCAAGGTCAGGATCAGTATTCACTATTCAGTGCCAGGCAAACGAGGATTCATGTTCAGAAACACCACCGGGTTTTGAAAGCTAATTTTAGGATCGGTGATCAGGATCAGGAACAGGAAAAATCTTTGGCTGGGCTCTGGGTTTGATTTAGTTCAGGTTCATAACTAGAACCCAGCAGCTTTCAACTTTAAATCATAGAGGAGCCTTAGGAATGACAGTTATCAACTGCAACATAAGAGAGACTCTCCGGCTTGAATCCTAAACATCTCTTTGGTTTTAGTAGAGCTTTTCGTTTACCAGGAACATCGTTCCGTCGAGCGGATGTAGCTGACTTCAGGGATATTACCAGAGTAAGGAGATCGTTGGTGGTAGCATCGTGTCCTAATCTGGAGAGAGCCACTTCTGCGTCATCAGCAGTATAACCGAGTTTGGTAGCGTACTGAATAAAAGAGTGCATCTTGTAGAATGTAGAGATAGTTTGCGGAGTAGCAGAGGAGGTTTAGAGTGAACTTTGTTGATGAGTTGTGAGGTTTTTGCAAGATTGGTGTACCGTAAACTATAGATAACAATTACAAGATATTATATCCTTTTATATCTGAGCCGAGGTTAACCTGGTTCCAGAAGATTCCATCGCAGGAGAGTCTGGTTACACAATTGATTGGATCGAATAGTCAGGATCAGAATATTTGTAATACTGTTATACTGCCTCATTGCCTGTAAATCACGTGACCTCTCGACCAATCAACCTCACCCATCGGTGTCACATGGAATCTGATTGCACGGGAATTACCCGATCACCTGATCAATAGGCAACCGGCAAGCTTGATAGACTGCCAGGGATAATTTTTGCAAATCCGTTAAAGAAACAGAAGTGCAGACGCCTTAAACCTCCTAAATTCCAAAGACTTGTGACCCTATTGTAACCCTTGTAACCCCCATTGATAATAAGTAAAGTTAATAACTACTCACAATAGTGGAGCCCATAAACAGGGCTATAGTTGAGGTTTACAAGAAGTGTAGTACAGTGTTCCAGAGAGTCCGGGTTCTTGGGACGACTTATCAGCTTAGCGTGATACAGTTGGAACTGAGAAGATTAGTCGTTAATTAATTAATTAATTAGAAGAATTAGAAGCTTAGCGTGGTACAGTTGGAACTGAGAGGATTAGTCGTTAATTAATTAATTAATTAATTAATTAGAAGCTTAGTGTGGTACAGTTGAAACTGAGAAGATTAGTCGTTAATTAATCAATTAATTAGAAGAATTAGAAGCTTAGCGTGGTACAGTTGAAACTGAGAGGATTAGTCGTTAATTAATTAGTTAATTAGAAGCTTAGCGTGGTACAGTTGGAACTGAGAGGATTAGTCGTTAATTAATTAGTTAATTAGAAGCTTAGCGTGATACAGTTGGAACTGAGAGGATTAGTCGTTAATTAATTAATTAGTTAATTAGAAGCTTAGCGTGGTACAGTTGGAACTGAGAGGATTAGTCGTCAATTAATTAATTAGATAATTATCAGCTTAGCGTGGTACAGTTGAAACTGAGAGGATTAGTCGTTAATTAATAAGTTAATTAGAAGCTTAGCGTGGTACAGTTGAAACTGAGAGGATTAATCATTAATTAATTGATTAGTTAATTAGAAGCTTAGCGTGGTACAGTTGAAACTGAGAGGATTAATCATTAATTAGTTAATTAGTTAATTAGAAGCTTAGCGTGGTACAGTTGGAACTGAGAGGATTAGTCGTTAATTAATTAATTAATTAATTAGAAGCTTAGCGTGGTACAGTTGGAACTGAGAGGATTAATTGTTTATCAATTAATTAGTTAATTAGAAGCTTAGCGTGGTACAGTTGGAACTGAGATGATTAGTCGTTAATTAATTAATTAGTTAATTATCAGCTTAGCGTGGTACAGTTGAAACTGAGAGGATTAATCATTAATTAGTTAATTAGTTAATTAGAAGCTTAGCGTGGTACAGTTGAAACTGAGAGGATTAATCATTAATTAATTAATTAGTTAATTAGTTTTCAGTGCAGTTATACACGCTTTTATTTCGTTGCTAATTTGTGCCTCTGTTATCAGCAGCGCTTATCATCTCAACAACTATCTCATACTCGCAGCTACAGCTTGTTTTACGGATACTATACACTGTGTATAACTGATCAACGATATGCCGACAGTAGCAGAACGTTTCAAATTTGACTTAGTAGAGACCGATGGACAAAAGTTTCTACTTGATACCGTGAAACAGTGTAAAGTCGATTGTGTTTAAGAACTAAATCATGAGAGCGTGAACAAAATTGGTAACAAGGGGGATTTAGCGGCAAAGTTTTTGCAAGCTATGCAGCTCATTGAGAGACAGCATAACATGATCATAAATCAGAGGGTACACGTTAGTCAGTATCAGTCCGGTATGATACAGCTGCAGGACCAAGTTATAAAACTACAGGAGCAACTATTATCTGCAAAAGAAGGACTTTCTAAGGCGATAGAGTTTAACGAACATCTCAAGACTGAGTTTTTTGAGGGTGTTCAGAAAGAAGTCAGTTCAGTTAAACAAAGTTTTAGCGATGTGGTGAAATCCGGTAGTATCGAGAACTCAGCTGCGATTTCTACAGAATCCATTAAATCAGTTGCCAAGCAAATTGCTTTGGAGGAGGAGTTGGGTAGGAACATCATGGTCTTTGGGCTATGCGAGGAGGTCAATGAGGAGATCAATACAAAAGTCGCTGAAGTATTGGAATCATTGGGAGAGAAACCCCGAGTTGAGGCTTGTAGAATCGGCAAGAAATCACCGTCAGCTGCAAGACCGGTTAAAGTTTCCTTTTCCAGTTCTTCGATTGTGCAACAAATACTGAAGAAGTCGAGTAAACTGTGTGGAACAGAGAGATTTAAGAGGGTGTTCCTAGCTCCAGATCGTACAGCAGAAGAGAGAGCTCAGCGTAAAGAACTTGTCCTAGAGCTAAAAAGAAGAGCTGGTATTGAGAAGGACAAAAAACTCTTCATTCGTGAAGGGAAGATTTGTAGCCTTGAGAGGCAAAAATGAGTTTCTAAATATTTTTCGTGTTGTGAGCAAATCAAAAAGTTTAGCTCTATGAGTATTTGTCTTCTGTGTGCTTAGTTTTTGTCGAAGGATCTAACCATTTTATTTCACTTATACAAAACTGTATAGTTTTCAAGGGATTAATCTGGTTTTAGGCGAATCTTGTTCAGAGATCGCTGTTTCATTACTCTTAGTCAGCTGGTGCAGCCTTTATACATACTTTTATATGTATATTTACAATTTTAAATTGCTGTTCAATATCTATTTTTAGTAAACATTAACTGGGGTAGTAAAACCCAGTTCCCAATCAATCAGAAGCTTAGCGTGGAACAGTTGAAACTGAGAGGATTAATCATTAATTAATTAATTAGTTAATTAGAAGCTTAGCGTGGTACAGTTGGAACTGAGAGGATTAGTCGTTAATTAATTAATTAATTAATTAGAAGCTTAGCGTGGTACAGTTGGAACTGAGAGGATTAGTCATTGATTAATTAATCAATTAATTATAAGCTTAGCGTGGTACAGTTGGAACTTAGAGGATTAGTCGTTAATTAATTAATTAAATAATTAGAAGCTTAGCGTGGTACAGTTGGAACTGAGAGGATTAATTGTTTATTAATTAATTAGTTAGAAGAATTATAAGCTTAGCGTGGTACAGTTGGAACTGAGAGGATTAATTGTTTATTAATTAATTAGTTAGAAGAATTAGAAGCTTAGCGTGATACAGTTGGAACTGAGAGGATTAATCATTAATTAGTTAATCAATTAGAAGAATTAGAAGCTTAGTGTGGTACAGCTGAAACTGAGACAAGAGGAAAAGGTGTTAGGACAAGAAGTAGCTTATTGTGTTAATTAATTAAGGGGCCGGGGCTGTAATCATGAAAATTCTCTCGACTTTATAGTTGTTTCTGATAGAGGGGAATGATATCTGTCAGTTGAAACTGAGACAAGAGGAGCAGGTTAGGTATTAAAACAAGAGGAAGCGTTAACTGATAGTGTTAACTAATTATCAGAGTTGTAAGTGTTTTGATTGGTGAGGAAGTAAAGTGACGTCCTGTGCGCTGTGACTGGTAAATTAATGTCTCGGGTAAAATTGCTTATTGCTCAACCTTCTTACCTCTCTTTGGTGAGGCGCATTATCGACTTATTTTACAAAAGGGACTAACCAATTATGAATTAGGTTACCAATTAGTTAATTGTCTAGTAAGGTGATCTGATGGAAGTTACCTGTATAGTGATGGGAACTGTACAGGACCGTATAAAGTTACACACATCTCCAGGGATATCCACACTGCGGGTTATTAGGTGTCAGTTAAGTAATTATATAATTATTTAATTTTAAACAATTCAATGCAAAATTTATTTTCTGATCATGAACATAATATTGAAGACCAGTTTAAATGAACTACCAGATTGAATGAATTACAGAATGATTATTAACATCTCTTTGGGCCGTAATAAAGGAAACATAAAGAAGGTTACGTCAGCATAATCCAACAATTCCCCAATTTAGCCCTTTAAAGCTGCACAATCTATTTGCGGTCCATGTATTTTTATATCCATTATATATTAACGACCAGTCTACAGATCATGTACTGATTTAACAGAGGCACATATTAGGTGCGGTAAAAAAATCGAAATTATGCGGTACCGCACCCGACTATAAAGGTAAAATGTGCGGTAAGGTGCGGTAAATTTTTACCAATTATGCGGCAAATGTGCGACGATTTTTTCCAAATTTGTGCGGGAATTGTGCGGTTTTCTTTTGCATTTTCTGAAGGACTTTGGAAATTCTAAACGTATAACCGCCGCTCTTATCAAAAATAGGTCTGTTTATGTGTTACTGAGGGTGTAGTTCTTTACTAAGACCATGATTGAACCTATATTGAGATTCAGTTATCTGAGAACAGTGACTTGATCTGGTAGAGATCAGGAGACAGTTATTTGAAGACGCCTCTTGATAGAGTCGATCAGATCCCATGCGTGATCGCAAATATGTGACCTCTTATGTTAAATTATTATTTCAGCAATTATTTCTATTTCGGTTCTTTATACGGGAGTTAAATTTTAAGTGACTTTGTTTTAAATTTTCATGATTCTTGAAATTCGAATTTTACTTACTCTAGATATGGTATTCATTCATGTATAGTCGAGACGATGGTGTTAGTGCCATCTCCGACAACTTTACGTTTAATTCCGTTTAATTCACGCTTGTTGGCATTGATCGTCAGTAATTGTAAACCATTTGATCCAAGATCCATTAAGCCCACTACAAAGCCAACGCTACAACGAATAGAGCTCATTACCCGATAAAAAGGGCTGCAGGTATGATCGAAGTACGGTAACGACTAGGGTTCCATAACGGCCTGGGTCACGGTCCCGAAAGGGCCTGGGTCACGGTCCCGAAAGGGCCTGGGTCATGGTCCCGAAAGGGCCTGGGTCACGTGGTAACCGGGTCACGTGGCCTAGGCATGAGTTCCAAAAGGGCCTGGGTCACGGTCCCGAAAGGGCCTGGGTCAGGGTCCCGAAAGGGCCTGGGTCACGTGGTAACTGGGTCACGTGGCCTAGGTATGAGTTCCAAAAGGGCCTGGGTCACGGTCCCGAAAGGGCCTGGGTCAGGGTCCCGAAAGGGCCTGGGTCACGTGGTAACTGGGTCACGTGGCCTAGGTATGAGTTCAAAAAAGGGCCTGGGTCACGGTCCCAAAAGGGCCTGAGTCACGGTCCTAAAAGGGCCTGAGTCACGGTCCTAAAAGGGCCCGACTTTTAACATATTTTGGTTTTTACACTCGAAAATCTTAACGCGAAAATTTCAAAATTACGCAGAAAATGCTAGATTATGCGGAAATATGCAGAAAATTACAAAATGTGCGGAAGTGTGCGGAAAACAATAAATTATGCGGAAATGTGCGGAAAACGGTAAATTGTGCGATCCCGCACCCATCGCACCTAATATGTGCCTGGCCTCTGGTACTGAAACAGTGCGGATATGTAACATTGTCCCTTACAGTCTAGTAAATCTATCAGCACCTAGCACTTAGCACGTAGCTTTATCTCTAAGGGGAGAGATTAGATTCTAGGATCATCAAAGGTTGTAACCGGTTTTCACGTGACTTATTAATAGTGTGATTAAAGTTCAAATTAATCTATCAGCACTTGGCGCTATCTTTTGAGTGTGCGATGAGATTGCCGGTTGTCACTTATATAGTGTGATTAAAGTTTAAATAATTAGCAGTTTAGTTAGTAGGAGTTATACTAAGTAAGTTTGGATTTCCAAGGCTAAAGATTGGAGAGTACTAGTAAACTGTTGAGGTGTAGTTAAAATATTTTTGAAGTTATCATCAGCATTCAGCAACATACCTCAATTATTTGATATGTATCAAAATATGTATAATATAGCATTGTAGAAAGTGTTAGAAGTAATACGTAGTAAGTTATGATATTATGGTAAAACATTGTTTATTATTGATTACGTATAGATCATAACTTAGGTTAAATTTTACTGATAAGCTCAACAGAAGTATTTGTAATTCCTACTGGCATTTCACAGACAGGATTGTAAAAACAATGAACGTTCAACATTGAATTATCTGGAATTATTCATTTGCTAGGCTTACTTATTTTACTTTTAAGACACGATACGAGGTGATGAATTTGTACACTGTACAGAGTGTAAACTGTACACATGGTATATATTTAAAATAAATATAAATAATAATTAACGTGTTTTCAGTTTCATTAGTCTCATATCTATTAAAGCTTTTTATATAAGTTACAACAAAGTCTTTATGTTATGTATCCTGGGTTTGGACAGGATATTACCCGTTTAAAATATTTCCGTCACGTTACATAATTCTCAATAAATGTAATAGATTTGTAGTGTTATAATTAGTTTATGTTATCAGGAACGCAAACTGAAATCAATGAATACAATATTCTAACAGAAGGACTCAGTTTATTTTGCACATGGTAATTGCAGTAAGAATGTCAGACATTTCCGGAGAACTAAAGCAGGCAGTACACCGCGGTACTACCTGTAGTCTACACTAGACTGCTGTTCCATGTAGTGCATGACTTGGTGGCTACACGTCATTGATTTCAATATCATACGACACAATGTAGATATTTACTATCTACACTATACGTGACGCGGGTGCACTGTGCAGTATAGTCTATACTGCACAGTGCACACACGTCACGCGCACAGTCGTTGGCATGATGAAGTTTATCACAATGAGGGCGAAACAATAGTGAGTAGAGGCAAGCTATATACCTGTACCTGTTTTACACTGTGCTAAGTTAAGATATTCATTATTATATTATGTGGAAAAGTGTGAACTGTGGAATAGTGTGAACTGTGGAATGTACGTGGTTTGTGGAATGTACGTGGTTATACAGACAATGCTGGACATTGTTCCGGTGTCTTCCAACTGCCAGACATTATAAGTTACGCGAACAGTTGTGAAAGCAAGAGAGGGAGGCTTGCGAAGAAATGGTGATGTTTAACCATTACATCTGCATCTGGAAGTATAATTCCTGTACTAATTTGTGATAAATTAACTAAAATAAAACATTAAGCAGATCCTGTAAAAAACGCACCGCACAGAGTATCGGTTACACAGATAAAGAGATATGCATATTGCACGATCACATTATATCTTAGCTTGTCCATCATGATATTCCACGTAATTACATTGAAGAAATGGACTGGTTAGTGGTAAATGTCTTAAAAATACTATTTGCTGAAACTCCAAAAGAAACAGAACTACCACCACCGGAGATACTGATATAATTATAATGCGATAATTTATTGGATTATTTACACCGCTACTTTGTAAAGTACATAGTTTCAAATTATTAGATTTTCCAAGCGGTTCCTTTGCCCTAAATTCGGACGTTTTTTCAGATTAATTGCCATGATTACAGCTAATTAAAACAAAGTTTTCAACTCTGTTTTATTTCAAAATTTGCTGAAAGACATCAACAAAGGAGATATTTTCATAATATGACTTATTCATAATTATATGAAAAGGGCGTGGCTCCTCCAGCCATATGCCATCAGACATGAAATATTTCAAGAATTATAAAACTGATAAGAAGTTACCTGAAAATAAACGCGTTCCTCAGCTTGATAACAGCTTTCTTCATGATAACCTTAAACGTGCTCGAAATCGCAGTGTTGTCCTGAAACAAAAACTTGCATTATAATTTCATAAATTTGACTATCAAATTACAACTTAAATTATCCACGTATAATACCAGATATTAATTTACATTTAAACGGGATTTGCCGTATAACCAACACCAGATATAACATAATCGGTTATGTAAACATTAGTATAAGTTTACACAAAGTTTACACATAGATATTATAAATATATCTCATGTCAATTAGTGACGATATTAGTCCAACAATTTTCTTGCAGGATTACATGCAGACCGGATCCACCGTTTTCTGACAAATAAAGGCAATTTTTGGAATTACGAATTCCTTAACCCGAATTTATTTTTTGAATCAAGAACTTATATCCCTGAAAACAAAATTTGTCAAAAGTGTTAAAAAACTTCAGATTTTTGAGTGGTCCAAGCAGTTCTGTCAGAAAACGGCAGATACACCTAAATACCAAAGATAGGCTGAATAGCAAGGTAGACAGATAAGAATAGCATTTAACCAATAATGTACGATGTGGAGCCATTAGTTTCATAATTAGTTAATTAGCTAATATAAGTTGCATTATTGCATTATCCCCTTCTTGCACTATAAGTAGCAAGCTGGTATGTATAATACATTTAATTAGCTTTGGTTGTAAATTTAAACGCCAGCTTGGGTAGTGTGCTTTACAAGAGCAATACGAGTGAAAATCTCTTTAAAAAGTTGGCAAACATGATAAAAGCTGGTTTAGTTTAAAACAGAATCTATCATACAAAATTAAGGGCTCTTTTATCGCCAGAACGCTTTTCAGGATCAAATTTTAATTTTCACTTACAGATTTGGGAGCGGACAAACTGGGTACTTACATTCTGTAATGATATTTTCATGGTTTCAATTTTAAAATACTCAAGATTCACAACTACAAGAAATTAAATAAACTTATTATCGAAGTACTATGTACTACTGAACTGCTTACCATCTGCGCGGCGCTGTCTAAACCATACACAAGCAGTCATTATGGAGTCTACACTGACCAGCGTGTATAATATTATACAATGATGAATGAACTACCAGTAGACTATACAATGTACACTGAACACTACTCATGGATAATTATCACGAAGTTGTTAGGAGATTCTATACAAAGAGTTCATGAACACCGCAAACTTGGAATAACTCCCCATAACTATTCTACATTATATTAATACAAACTAATACTAATAGTAATAAGATTATGTATTGACGGAGGCTGCATGAGGATGTATTAAACAATGATTTTGGGCCAGATAATATTTAATAGTACAATCTAAATATGACACAAAGCATAAGATTAGCAGTGTCTCACGTCTGCCCTGCTATTGTGGATACACCCGAAAGAATAGCCCCGCCCGGCTGCAATGACTTAAACTTCAGCTCGTGTTTAAACTGTTCGTGTTATTATCATAGGATCTACATATTATTATGCTATTTAAACATATTATAACATATTATAATGCTATAAGTTATAACACGAAAGAAACACAGAATGAATTTACCTGTATCCCCGGGCTGAGCTCCTGTGCAGTACAGTCCTGTTCATCTAACTGCAGTGACTCGCATATCACTGCTGCATTGGGAGGTCCTAATACTGTCGCTCTCACCTTGACAAGTATCAAGTTTTAAGTTTAACTAATTTGTTCATAGGTTCATTAATCATTAACTTGTTAATTGGTTGAATTATTGACTCTAATTTGTGAATAGCTTGCCTATTTGGTTTGCGAAACAGCTGAGCACAGTTCCCTTACCATGACCGGGATTGTGAATAATTAGAAGTTATTCAACGCTCGGTATCTTATCATATACATGCTAATTTCTAATAAAATCATTACTACCATAACAGTAAGATGTCAGCTTAGTTTAAGCCGATAATTAAGATTGCAGTTTATGTTCAAGAATATAATAACAATCATCGACTTGGTCTAACAAAACTGAAATATTGAATTCGAACAATAATCGCAACGACAATGGGAGCAGACCAAGAACTAAATCAGAATTTAATTAATTAATTAACCATTAGTACCTGATAGAATCCCTTCTCAAAGAGGTGAACATTAGTAAAGCGATTGAGCTCTAAGACTAGCGAATATCTGACTCGTAATTCGTCTAAACCCATTAAACCTCATCATTGTGTCATTCTTTGCTGAGGTGGGAATATTAGTTGTGTTATAATCATAGAATAAATGCTTTATATAGTAATTAGTAATGCACAATTTTAACTATTAAATTGAGTCAGACGACAAGTTTGGTCATGCAATTTACAGTAAATTCGACAGTTTTAACATGTTCTAAGTTCGAAGGGCGAAGACAAATTGTATTTGAATTCGCGAAGTTCAGATTGAGCATAATTTGTAATAAAAAACTGTATTTTTAAAATAAATATATTTGTAATTAACACGACAAATTTGCGATTTGCATATTACAAGTTCAATTAAAATTAGTCGCCATCACACTAGATCCTAAAAATAAAACCCGTTCATGATTCATAGTCCGTGAAAATCATGACGAAAGCTCTCTATCAAACAGTTGATAAATTAGTTAAAAGTTAAAACCGGGTAATAATAAATTACAGCTGATAAAAATGACTTCTTCTCAAAAACCTCACTTATTTCTTGCTCTGTTTTTGTTGTTAGCACGCTTGGTTTTGCCTGGTCTCTGGGGTTTACCACTTGGTTTGCCACTTGGCTTACCACCACCCATCCTCTTATCGTTCTTAGCACTGCGTTTTGGCTTGCTATGAATTCTTGAGCTGAATGTGGTAACGTCTTTAGCTGATTCTTGGGTATTTTTCTTGGCCATTTTCTTCTTCCCACCAAAACCATATTTAGAGTCCTTTGCTTTCCTCTTTTTGTTGATATCGTCCTTTCCTTTCTTGCCACTGCTCGTCTCTGGCTCGGTGTTCATTTCAAAATCATCTGCATCTGCCTGCTCAGCCTTTCCCTTTCTGATTTTCTTCACTTTTTCTATCATACCCTTTTTATCATCTGCCCTCTTTTTCAACACTTCTTGTTGCACTTTCTTTCCTAATCTCTTCATTTTCCTCATTTTCGTTACCTTCTCTGTTCGTTCCATGGTCAGTTGTTTACTTATCAGTTTCTCTTTCACTCTCTTCATGTGCACATCTGATTTTACCATCTCTGCAAAATAGTCCTGAAAAATGTGGCTCTCTTAGTAATTTAAAACATAACTGCTACAATTTGTGGGTATTTTATTAGTAAGTATGGTATCAATCAATTTATCATTGTGATGTACAATAAATGTCATGACAGTACCTCTGGTCGTTCTGTGGATATTCCCATGGATATGAGTCTTGCTATAGATTGCTGAGCACCAACCTGACTTTGCTTGTAAAAAAGCATTTCCTGAAAATAAGTTTATACTTGCATATGCTGTTGAGTTGACATGAAATCATAATTTTTATGAGCATAGTTTTTGGAGACTCGTTAAGACATTCTATGACTGATGCAGTTAAAATGTGTAATTTAAGAAAGATTACCTGCTTAAAGTTGTCATTGATAACAGCCTTCATATCCTCGATGGGCACTTTCAAATCGACAGTAACATCCAGATTTTCTATCCAGGGTAGCTGAAAATTATCATGATTTAATTTAGACAATTAAAGTTTGCCCAACAGAAAGACAGTGCAAACATGCTATACCTGTACCAATTTTAAATATAAACTAATAACCAAAAATTACCTTCTTTTGAATGGCTTCCAATCTTTCCTTCAGTTTTGGTACATTGTTGATGTGAGTCATTGTCTTCATACCTTCTTCACTGACTTTACCAGATTTCAGAGCACCTGATATCTGAAGTAGATAAACTTTTAGAGAAATAAACAGGCTGCATGAGTGTATGATCAGTTAAATAATTAAAATATTCCTGCAGTGTACAACAGTTGCAAGACTGTTATTAAGTTTTAAGATATAGATTCTGGTGGGGAGGTGCAGCATATTACTTTACATGTGACAGAAATTAACGAATCAGCTTCCAATATTGACCAATCTCACACCAGAATCAATGTCACATGTCAAAAAATATGCTGCACCTCCTTGCCAGGATCCACATCTAGTCTGTAAGGCACACCTTAAGATTGACTATATAAACTATGTGAATATGAATATTACCTCCATATCGTCAACTGATTCATCTCCACTTCCCTCTTCTTCTACTACTGTATCTTCCAACAGGGGGTTTTCAAGCACAATCATTGCTGATGTCGAAACGGTAAATAAATAATAGATCTATTAAGTGGATAAGAAATTATCACAGTTGGAGACACATAGAAAATCAGAAACATAGGTACCATTAAAAATAAAAAGCCCAAGTATGCTACCTATATCTATAAGGACAAGGTGCTTTCTGCACGGTGCCACATCTACAGGGTGGTTCATAGATCGTGTTGATATTTAGGCATATAAACTGAGTCATGATGTGAGGGGACAAGCTTGTTGGCAACTCGTTGCTTGGCAATTCGAGGATGTTTTCCCCTAGCTTTGCTGAAGGCAAAAACATTGTACAGAATAAGTAATCATGTTTTGTTATGTGGCCATACGTTGGATATGTGGTCAAACTATTCTTGTCAATAGAAATGCACTCTTTCGAAATAATAAACTCTACCAGCAACCAACCATGCTGGTCTATCTTAAGACATAAAATTGATTATAGCATCACTGCTTTCCTCTGTCCCTATCAAAACTTGCCATTATGACAGTGCTTTCCCTACTCATCTCCTTGCCACTTTACTTCCGTTCAGCCTCTGAACATCATCAACTTTAGTTTAGATGAGAAGTCTAAACACCCTTGTCGTGTATTGTTGACCCACAAAATCCACATGCCTTGCAACCTTATAACACAGTATTTGTGATGGTTTATGTTCCTTGTTCTTACCAAATATGGAGCCACTCAAGCCAATCGTCAGAGAATAGAAAGTTTTATCACATGTGTGCTCACAATCGATTGATGTGACCAAATTTTGTTCCATTTGATCTTTGTTGTTTTCAATGTACACGGGGCCATTCTTGAAGTCATTCTGGGTGTACCACCACTCCAAACAATGGGGAGAGTAATTTCGATCAAACATTACCTTAAGGTTCTCCATGACTCAGACGACATTCATTTTGACTTCGTGAGAACTCAACTAGATGAAATGAACCCAACAGTACTCTTCCATCTCCGAGACGTGCAGAAATTCTTAATATGGAAAGTAGAACATTTCAGCACTGAAGGTCAGACCTGTCACTTAACCCAGAGAAATCTAGAACAAGTTCTGTTACTACCCAAAAAGATTTATAAGTACACTAAAGGAATGATGCAGCAATTCACAGAGCTTCTTTGGCAAGAGAGCTTACAAAACCTACTACTGACAGAAGGATGGTCTGAAATTCCAAGAGTCTCCTGCAACCCCCTTCCTATCCCCTTTGGAGTGAGCCGCGAAGTGGAAGTATTAGTTATGAGTCTCATGTACAAGAACAATCTACTGAACTCGTTTCTCTTCAGAGTTGACAGAGCAGTGGCCTCTCCGCTATGCATCTGTGGCTCGGATGAGCAAACAGCACTGCACCTACTATCAAGTGGTGAGCTTGTGGACACGAATCTACAATGTCAAGCTGAACGAATCATCACCCTGTGTAACAGCAGTAGGTCCATGGTCGATCTAGCAGCTGAGCAGGGCTCCATCATACTGAACTGTTCAAGGGACGAAATGTTTATAAGTGTGTGTGTTGAAATTGTAGAAAGCGAGGGGCTACATCTTAAGCGAAAGATTAATCGTTCGAAAAGTTAAGGATTTATTAAAGCATCTAATTTTGCTAATCTTGCTACTACTATGATAAAGAATGAAATACCATGTATATTGAAGTGTAGTAAAGTGTTATTGGACTTTGCTTATTTGATAACAAACACCTTCAAATTAAATATTGTTTTAATAACAAGGGAATGAGTTTTTCTATTTGAGCTGTTTAGTTCAAAGAAAACTTTTATTTTGGAAAAAGTTTGTTTCAGTAACCATTGAGAACCAGTGGCCTTTTGTAACTGCATCTTTAACTGCACTTTCATTCATTCTGTATGTGCACGAAAATTTATTTCAATCAAAACCTCAGTTTCACTTTGAAACGTCAAGTGACTGGTAAAGTCAAATATTCTGTTCTATGAACATTTATTCTAGTATTTTGAAGTGTAGAAATTGTTAAGATCTTTAATTTTGTACTAAATTACTGATGTTTTATAACGTTTTAACGGGGTGTAATTTTGTTAGGTAGGTATTTAAAATTATTAGTCTTTTGGAAATTGAAGTTTTGATCTTTACTATTTATTGTTAATAAAATGCTCATTGCAGCCAGTTATTTTAAGATTTTCATCATCAATGATCTTTGTACCCAAATATTTGTCTTTATCGTCCCTAAATCTTAAGTTTGTTCTTCGTAATTTTATTTTAATGCAACCACTCAGATAGATTTTAAGCCAGGGCACATCAACAAGAAGCTTATTTTTATTAACAGGAAAAATACAAATTGAATTACAACGAACTACAAACGGACGGAAAAACGTGTGCAAAGTTTTTGAACTTAACTGCACGCCACCCTGAAGAACCCTTTCCTACTCGTGGTATGATAATTGAAAGAATTATGCTTCATTATCAGCTTACGTTCCACCAGCATTCGAAACAATTTAATGAAATTTTCAAGGCAACGCCTTTTAATATAATTTTTGTAGCGCGATGCGTTACTGTGCCGCGCCGCGCACTTGTCATACGTTGTATGACCCGCCGCGCACGAAGTGCGCGGCTCCCCTGTAGCGTCGAAGTGAAGCGACCGTGGGGGTGAAGCGACCGTGGGGGTCACCACGTGATACAACCTTGCACTTAATAAGGCTTCTCACAGCGACATCTGGCTAGATCGGTGAGATGCGCTACTGTGCCGCGCCGAGCTGCCATGAATTGACATCGTCAATTAACACATACCCATGTGTATACTGTATACGCTGTATACGCGTACTGCGGTCGCGCGCTACTGCAAGCGAGAGGGCTCTGGTTAGCTAGAGCAACTGAGCAGTTTATTTCGAATTACCCAAGATATAACGTGCGCCTTCAAATTTTAGCCGCTAAATATGATTACTCAACATTTCAAACCGTAATTTTAATTGTGGCAGTTTTTCATGCAGATGGATGACATTATTTACAACTTAACGCACAATTCCCCTGCAGGGCGCTCTTTTCATTTTGTATATTACAATCAACAATACCGGTGATTAATTGACCAACGATGTGAATCCTTTTTAACTCATAACGGCACAAAAGTGTATTGATACGACGCGAGCCCGAGATTTGCAAATGACAAAACATTATTTGATGCGCGGCGCGGCCCGGTAGTGCATTGTGCAACAAATGATTGCAAGCTAATTAATGAATAATGTTTATATTTGAATAAGTACGATTGATGATGCTTCTCAGCACATTTATTTCATGTCCCAGCGGCCGGCCCCGTAATATAAAGGATGATAATGCGATGATAATGCGATTTGCAATAAAACAACTACGTTTCAATATTTGTTTTTAAATGATAGTAAATAGCGCCTGTAGGATTAGCAATCAGTCCATTATACATTAACAATAATGTAACAATTAATGGCATTAAGCTTTTTTTCTTTTCATAAATAACCGAAATTGAATTTTATCAAATTAAAGATTGAACATTTTAATTCATATTTTATGTTTTAACCAATTATTAATGTTAATAATAACGTGCGCGGGTAAATTTGTTATTAATGGACAAAAAAGCCGATAGCTGTTTTTATATTACTAAGCTGCATTGTACGTAGCATATTTTACAAATAAAATTTAACTCACTTGAACAAAAATGAACAAACAATTTGTTTATCCATTATCAATGTTCTACAATTCAATTATTTAAAATAAATTTGAGAATTTAGTCATTTCCAAAATTTGCATTTTTCATGTAGGTAGGCATTAAGTTTATCCTCAAAAGTATAAGTTATGTCAAGAAAAAAACTAATTCTTAAAAGCTGTAACCGTATGTTTCAAATATTTTGCTTTGTTTTATTAATTACGTTGTGACGGGAGTCGAACGATATGCGCGCTGCTCCATTCGCGCTACGAATGCTTCATTGTTTTGCTTTAATTTGATCCTGCGCAAGCGTTTTCATTGTATCTGCGCACGAACCGTCAGGAAGCAAAGAGGAAAGCCAGGGCACATCCAATTGGCTTGTTTTGATCACGTGATGTAACTCTGCTCTTGCTGGTCCGCTGGGATTCTCTGCCTTTAGGAACGTTTTGAGTCTTAACTATAGTCTGCGGATGTAACGGGTTTAGGCACATTGAAACACTCATTGCTTGGTTTATCTTCGCCTTTGATCGTCTAAATCGATTGACGGATGTTTTTTCGCCGATATTGACCAGTTGAACTTGATTTTCGTCCGAAAATTGTCGACCCACTACATTGCTCCAATACATAAATTCCCGGACTGACTTAACAAAAAACAGTTGTGAGATGCCACATTTCATGGTTTTGGATATGTTAGGTTCTCGAGTAAGTTTGGTTTGTGACATAGTAACTGAACAGATCAACATATTATTTCTCTCCTGATCTTGTGTCACTGTGGAGAAAATCAGAGACAGTTACAAAGTTCCCATTTTCTAACATCAGATATTTTCTTTATATTTCCCTCTGGTGTGTCTAATGTTCGCATCTAGGAACATTACGCCCCTCTCTGCCACTACAGTTGCTGGAAATCATTGATGTAGCGGGATGTATTTCCGGATTTTATCTTCTTGACTATTAGCTAATGTTTGTACTTAACAGTGCTTGGTTAATGTTGGGTTATCGCCGGACCTTTTGTAGAGTAAGAACGACTAGTTAACTTCTCCTTTGATGTTCCAACGTTTATACACAAATTACAGATCAGTCCAATATTCTCGACCATTTATCTTGATCTACGGCCAAACAATGTTGAGCAGACTGATAAGTCCAATTGTAGTAGGATTGAAGGGGGTGGACACAACATGATCTCCCTTGGCATTCACTATTCCAACACCTCTAATAGCAATTAGGACTCATCGAAATAAACTGATGTACAGTTCGCGCTCAGCTGACTTTGTAAATTACTTCACACATTTTATGTTGTCCGAGCTGTCCGACAAATAGAAAGTTAAGGTTGTTCATAAAACAAGCCTCTTCTCTAGAACCGTTTTTGGACCATCAACGTTGGATTATTTTGGCGCATTTATCAAATTGAGTTCCTATTTTTTTGTAAATTCCAACACGACATTGCAAGCCATTCTTTGTTTGGATTACGCTAGTTTGTGTCAATTGTAAACAACTATAAAGACGTTATTGTTGCATTGACCGTTAAAGTTGAACCTGAAGTTAAAATTGAACCAAGTTACTTCGCCAAGAACTAGAAAGTAGGAACCCATTCCAACAAACCATGATATCTCTTCCCCTGTCTCTATGGTTGAAAGTTGGGCACTGATGGCCATGGTCTTAAAGAAAGGTATACACTATACATCCGTTCTATTTCATTTACTGACAAAATATTAATTTTGCCATTAGCTTCCAGTTAACTTAACGATTTTGGACACGTATCAATCACGTGTCAACAAACATTAACTTTACTACCTTTTAGTTTTACTCCAACCTCAGACTAGACACATAATATTATCCAGATATAGAAGGGTCTATGTTATTAATTTTAAAAGTAACCTATTTATTGTTAGTTTATTAAAAGAATAAAATGGATAAGAAAATTCCTTAGTTCATTTACGAAGAATCTGGTTGTAATTATAATACTTGCTGAATGCTATGTAACTTAGATGTGCTATAATTCTTAAAACTTTGCGTTTAGCCTCACACTAGTTTGTTACTAAAGTTGGCATTTGGCTTAAAAAAACATACAATTGCAAAGAACAGGTCATGGTCTTCGTACTGTTGTGACTTATGACTTGCTAATTTAAATGCTACAATGTTCATTCACTTTAAAATCAAAGTTCAATTACCTTTCAGCTGATCAATCAGCAATTGGCCATTAACTCGATGAGAGTGGTCCTTAATCTAGTTTATAATTACTGGTCGACAATCAAAATAGTTACAGCTAAACAGTTCTGCGCATGTTCTAGAACTGTCGTGCTAACTTAGTCTGAGAATTTATAATCTAAATTCATGATGACCGTGTACTGTGTATTCTAAACAAATTGGTTTTTAATATATTACATATTTTTCTTGAAATGTAGTAATACTAATTTAATATTTCTTCATCACTTATTTGTGAATATGCAATAAGAAATAAATCATTAATAGATAAATTAATAACAGATAAATCATTTAAATTTACTTATTTAAATTTATTTACCTATTAAATATTTAGCACAGCGTAAGAATGCAGTTAGCTATACTTCTAAAGTACCTAAAGTGATGAATGAGCCTCTTCTATGAGTAAACAAGAAAGTTTGGCGGATGTGCCCCCTCAGAAGCGGCAAAAGCTAGAGCCCTCCGAAAATGGCGGTAAGCACATTTTGAATAAAATTATTTGTTTTCATCATGAATGTCGTCACTGAATGATTTTAATCGTTTAAAGCTTTGAATTTTTGTTTAAATTCTGGAATTGTATATGTTTTTTAAATGAGTCATCAATCATAAAAATGGTGGTTAACTATTTTCTTTAGATTGGCTCACACTATTCAAATTATTATTATTTACTGTCTATAAAAGACGAAGCGACGTGAATTTCGTCCAAAATATAACAATTAATGTTACAATTGTGCTAGAATATTTAGTAATTGGGATCGATGTTAAAATAGTGGTAATTGCACTTTCGTTTTGCGGACACACGGGCACAAAAACCCTTGATTAAATTTCACGAATACTTTCATGCCATTATTTATACGGTCGCAAAACTTCGAATTCAACTTTATTTATAATAATCCATGTACATATATATATGAGTTGACTGCCAAAATGTCATAAAATCATAAATGGGATATATATATTTTATGCTTGTTCATGCAATTTTTCACATATAATAATCACGTTAATTCACACTTTCTCAAAACATTCATTCATAATTGCTTTTCAAATTGCTTTTCAAATTAAAGATAGCAACAGACAACAACAATACAGGAGATTAAGTTGAAGCTGCATTACGATTCGTGTTGAATCGATTTCAAATCCTTTCTTTGAATGCAAGCTGGAATGATCCAAAGTATATTGTGCTTAATGCCAAGTTCTTACAATTCAATACAATGATACTTAGTCCAGACACAGTTATTAGTTTTTCAATTACTACGCTTTGTCAAGTGTTCAATGACTTCTGATTCGCCCAAATTGTGACTCACGAATGTCCATCCAATCAACTGAACATTGAAAGTAGAAATGTTTAATATTGTCTAAGATCTAACGGCTTTCTTCTCTCTTACAGGTGCCGAGTACTACCCTGGATTGGGTGGATTGGACCCCCACAGCAATGGCAACGATCAGTTTAACGGGATGATGGGTCAGCAGCCCCCTAACATGGCATTCAACCAGAACATGATGCCAAACCAGCGCTTCTCTTCCGCACAGATGGATAGGGTGAGTTGAGTTGTTTGTTTAGTTAGTTTGGGGGTTTCGATTTGAAGGTGTAATAAACCAGGGCTGCCACGTACTAGGCCTATCTAAGTAGGATAATTTCGAGACGTACTATTATTTTATGAAGGTGGTTACAATTCTGAGTTTAATTTACGGTTTGGATTTTTTAAATTAGTCTGGTGGCAAAGACTAATTTGATTGTGCGATGTGCCCTTAATTATTATTGCTCAAAGACTCAAATAGGGTAGAGGTTAGGTTGTTTTCATAGTTAACTTGTTATTAAATTGTGGACGTCAAATAAATACAACATTTAAGGATGATAAATGATGTAGTGTTTTTAAAGCTAAGCATTACTAATCGGTAGTATTAATAGTATTTGCCGCAGGGGATGTACCAAACAGCTGGCCAGACGTCCACGGCCCCTTCCCAGCCCATCTACCAGAACCAGCCGGTGATGACCAGCGCCCAGCCAACCCCGACTCAGCCCATTATCGGAGGTGGACCCCAGTTCTCCGGACCCCAGTACCCACAGCACATGATCGCACCTCCCAATTACAACCCGTCCCACTATTCGGCGCAGCAGCGGATGCAGATGACACGACCCATGAATTATCCTCCTTATTCCAGTGCTATGCTTCCCCATCAACGTGAGTGTTTGTACTTGTAGTGAAATGAGACCTGGGGAAGATATATATTACTGTAGTACGGCCGCGAAAAGCTGGCAAAAATCTCGAAAATGCATTAGATTTACGCTAAGAGCTCTCAAGTTTGAAGCAAGCTTATCAAGGATGTGCTAGAATAGTTATCAGGATAGAACGTATCGTACGATAATAGTATATTGGCCTAACTTGTAACAAAAAAGGCAACAAAATCGGCCAAGTCAGTTAAAAAACTGATCGATGAATTTAACGTCCCTTTTCGACTAAGTGATAAAAATAGTTAAGGTTTTTTTTCAGTCCCTTGCACGAATTTTGCATCTTTTACTATTGTAATATAAACATACCAACAAAAACACTCTTCCATATAATATTGCATGTATATCGTATATTGTATATAATGTGAAATATACCGTATAGAATCCTGTGAATCGAAATTCCCAATATTCCAAACCAAGTGTAATATTTATCTCCAGAACAATATTGTTTATAACAGAAAAAAAAACTAGATGAGAAAAACATAATGTAACGGAATGTCGTGAACTGTAAAATCATTATATTTTTCTGAAATATTTCAATCGCAGTAATCGCGGCAGGCCATGCGATCAAAGGGAACAAGTTGATATCCAACGAAAGAGGTAAAAGTTGGCGAGAATAGTTGCAGTTTTATCTATTGATCACGATCGTTTGAATGATTCAAAAATCCTAAATTCTTCTTTTTGTCCAATCCTCGATGGACAGCAAATTCTTCTTCGCTGTATTGTGAGCATTGGGACCATTGTAGACATCCTTTTGGCATTCTTTAAAACCAGTTGAATTGCTTTTACTGTTTCTAGTCTACCCATGCTAGAACAAGTATACTATGATTTGTACCGGAGTATGATTCTGAATCCAGTAAACACTTGAAAATAGTAGAACCAATATGGTCCCTATAGTTGCAGTATTGTAGTTTAATGTAGATTGATCCTAGTTTCATCTCCTAGTCGAAATAGGGACCATAAAGTTCATTGATCAGTTCTTACCGACCCTGAAACTACCAGAATGGCATTCTTTTACAGCACAATTATTCCTTCATTTTAATGAACATCCGAACATTCTTACACAGATCACACTGTTTTTGCAGATCTCATTGTTCTCAGCATTAATTTTAACAGTGATTTCCCGCAGCCAATCAGACGATGGTAATGAACCCCCGACAGATGGGGGGACCGCCCACTGGTCCTCAGGATCAGATGGGCAACATCATGATCCCCAACCAGCTGCCCAACTTCAACCCGGTAAGTGTTATCTTAAATGTAACGTCTAGGAGTGTGTGTGTGGTATGTTTTTGGAGCTTTAATGTTCACGTTTTTGAGTAGCACATGCAGTCTTTTGTTGTCCTCTTCATATAATGGGGTTTGCAGATAATTGCAAAAATTCTTTGCCTAAAATAGCATCCATTTTTAGAGAACACCAGCTTTGGATCGGAGTTCATCCAGCGGGAGCACGACAGCTTTTTTTCAAGAACTCGTGCGTACTGCGTAATCAATGCTCGTCACCTCAATAAGGAATTGTTAGATTGTTGAATATCGAATATCGATACATTATGTAAATAAATAATCACTTTAAAGTTGAATCTAAATATGTCTTTCACAGAACCAGCAGATGTTTCACGGCCCAAACCCGGGTAACCCACGCTCCCAAGACGGGTCAGGTGACCACTGTCGCCTAATCCAACAGCAGCTTGTGTTGCTGCTCCACGCGCACAAGTGCCAGCAGCGTGAACAGACCAATGGTGAGACACAGCCGTGTAGGATACAGAACTGTAGTACGATGAAGGGAGTTCTGGCCCACATGACCCAGTGTAACCTGGGTCGTGCCTGCACTGTAAGTATTATTACCCGATTATTGGATTAATTACTTCGTATTAAATTCAGGAACTAATTCATTTCAAAACTTATGTAAAGTTAGCCATTTAAATGTTTTTGGCTGCATTTTCAAAAATTTCTATCAACTGATCATCTGTGTTGTACTGTTAGTTATTTTACTGTAAATCTATCATTTACGTTTCTTTACAGGTAAGCCACTGCGCGTCCTCTCGGCAGATAATCATGCACTGGCGGAACTGTCCTCGTCGTGACTGTCCAGTGTGTCACCCCTTGCGTGACACAAACAGTCGAGCACTGACCGATGGAATGCCCATGGCCCATAACAATCCCGGAAATCCACAGAATCACCAATTGCCCAATCCTGGATACCAAAACGATCCTAATGCTAGCAATGCTAATGCGTAAGTTTGAACTAATTTTTTTTAACAGTTGTAGTAGGATGCCTAAGTGCAGTTGTCTTTTTTTTCAGTTAATATATCTTTATGGCAACAAGAAATGACAACTTTGCTGCTGCACCTTTGTCTTATTAAGAAGCTGTTGGCAACACAATTAATATGAAAATTAGAAATATTGCAGACAAATAACCGACAAATACCCAGGATGAACCATCAGCAACAGCAGCAGCATCAGCAACAACAAGCGCAGCAGCATCAGCAACAACAACAACAGCAACAGCAGCAGCAACAGCAGCAGCAACAACAACAGCAGCAACAACAGCAGCAACAGCAACAACAGCAGCAGCCGTCCTGGGGAAGCCAACTCAGTGACGCGAAGCGTAAAAACGTTGTCATGAAACTGTAAGAAATATATTTAATCCATTAAGTTAAGACTTTCTAGAAAAAAAGCATTATCAGTATTTGCTTACCTCTTATAAAGTTATAATCTTGCTTGGATATATTTTATAATATCTTAGCATAATATTGGTAATCATATCTCCATACTGACAAGTTCTTTTTCCCCACAGGGTCCATGTGATTTGTCCGTCTACCAAGACAAACGAAGCAAACGCACACAGAGACAAACGATTTCACTCGCTCTACCAGTATGCAGAGGTTGGTGTTCTAATTGTTCTAATTGAAATATAACAATCTGTAGTCTGTCATTGTTATGTTTCATGAGCGTTTCATATTTGCGGCTGGTCTGACTAGGAAAGATTCATGGTTGACACTGTTTTATCCTTTTCAGCGGATAGAAAAGACAGTGTACATGTCGGTCAGATCTTTTGATGACTACCATAAAATGTTAGCGGAGAAGATTTGGAAGATTCAGAAACAGCTTGACGAACAGCGACAGGTATGACTTCCAGATTTTAAGACTTAGATGTTTCAAGTAAATTCGCTTTATAACACACTTATCTTTATTTAATTACTATTTTAGATGCAGCATCGATTTTAAACGAAGCACTCAAATCGCAACTAGTTACTTACACCTTGATTCCGGCAATCTTGCAAAATAATATGAGCTACGAAACTATAACCAAATGTTCAAATTGAACTGCCAACAAATATACTACTAAGATGTATGAGCCAAGTAGCCTCATCGCTGCTGCAGAAAATAGAACATACTTGCCTATCCATAGAAATGAAGAATATGCAGTAATACTTATATTTTAAACTTAAACGTTTCTCTCGGTAAAAATGGATGCCAGTCCATTTCACACGTGGCATTTTGTTAGGATGTTATGACTTTTATACTTCTAAACAGGAATACGCATTACACGTGACCTACCTATTACACGTGACCTACCTATTACACGTGACCTACCTATTACACGTGACCTACCTATGTCCTATTAAGAACCGTTCAATTGAGTGATCGAATTTTGTCCGCTGACTACTTCAATACTCGTGAGATAAATTAAACTGATCTATTAATTGATTAAAATTTGCTTCGTCAGAACCGGGATAGGATGAGGAACAGAGCACCAGATCAGAACGGAATGCCTCCTCAGTCTCCTCGACTTCCGAACACTGCCTCCCCCAGCGCCAGCAACAACAGCGATTCCAATTCAGGCAAGTTCAAGGATCTAAGTTATAAAGCCTCCCTTAGTTTTTGATAATTTCTTAGTATTATGTTATTGCAGTTCTGGACTTAACTGTATTTGCAAGTAAATACCTCATTATTTCAAAACGAGTAATCTTCAGCCGAATTTTGAGAAGAAAAAAAAAACAACATATTTATTAAAATTGCTCCCCAACCCACACGTTACAACTGAATTCATGCTTGTTGCAGGTCAAATTTCCCACCTGTTTTGATAGTAAATTATGCTCAGCGAAATATTGAAAAATGTTGTGGAGTTATTTGAATGAGCCCAGTTCTGGAGTTTTGGCATCATAGTTGGCAGGATAAATGTGTCCTTGTTACTTTTGACAAGACTCCCAACATTACGGTGGTGTAATGGATAATTAAGTAAGTGGTAGTTAAGAAAGTAAGTGGTAGTTATGATCAGTTTGGTTCCGCCTAACTTTAATGGAGGTAGCGTAGTTTGTAGTATGTCATTGAGGCTAGGAAGCTAAGTAGTGCAACAATAATGTAAATGCTAAAATAGTTAAAATAGAGGGACGAGTTGGAGTGAACGTTTCAGTTTCACCAGCGCAGCATAAATATTTGGAAATAATGTAATTTCGATTGTTAAATGCCGCCAGAGGGCAACGGTGCGGACACACACAAAAGGATGCTTCATACAAGGCGTCAAACCAGTTGCTATTTCAAAAACTTCGGGCAACTTCCACACTTACACTATGTTTCAGCAATTCAAGCAGAGTTGAAGCTATCAGTATTTTACAGACGGATATTGATTAAATGTATGGCAGTTTAGGTCCGTTGAAAAATGTTAAAATAGTCTGTTTTTGGATACAATAAAACACAATCGATAGCTGCTGTCAAAGCGGCTTTGTAGCAAAAAACCTTAAATAATTTGGATTATTCATGGTATGATAATGTCTTAAAATGTAACACTCACACTTCACATTTTACCTCTTTCGTTTATTCGTATCCCCTTGTGCATTCTGGTTTAAGTTCAGTGCTTTTCAGTAACAGTCAGATAATATTATGTTAAAAGTTAATCTCCCTTCACTTTAACCAAAATATTGTGCTGCACAATTTGTGCACAATTGCAGGATTTCTAATTTGCTAGGTGGCATCTTGTCAGGAGACTTCTCCTTGACGACAGTTAATCTGCTCGAAAGAATCATTGCTGACATTGTCACTGGTTAATTTACATCGTCCCAACCGAATATCATATCATTTCTAGCCAGATCTTCCTTGTTATAAAAATTCTGAAATACATTTTTCAAGTTTGCCGCCTTGAATCTTAGTGTTACACAGCTGTATCGAAATTTTCAGTGGCCTCAGTTTTGAAATTCTAAAAAGACAGTTATTGTTAGACGCGGCTATTTGAGACATCACTGAGTAAAGACTCTTTACAAAGTTCTAGGAGTAGGAGACTCCTAGTTTTTTGTTTCATCTTTGTGGGTCTCATTCAGTGTGTACACAATACGATATGTAGCGTTTACATCCAGACTGGTCTCTGATCTGCGACATGGATATTCCATTGAATAAACACACGTTCTTTGAACCCGAAAAATGACCAGTGAACCAATTTTCACACGTGGAGTTCTTCACTCCTTGGAAAGCCTATTTGACTCTAGCTTTAGCCTCTATCTCTGATTTACTGGTCGATAATTTTTATAAATTTTATAACTTCCAATATGACAAGTTATCATTCCCGGGTACACGCTCGCCAAATCCGGCTAAAAACATTCCAAATCACAATATCAATCATAACTGGGTAAAGAAATATAGATCCCAGATCACGAAGTCGAGAAAACTTCGAAGCTGCAGCTGCGGGGTCTACTGTGCGTCTGTTCCTGAAAACTATGACTTTCGTTGATTTGTCGATCTGGGCTCCGATGAGTTTCATTTTTGATGAAACTCTGAAAGTCTATCGACCAAGTATAAAGTGAACCTAGATCTGTATCTTGAACTTAGATTTCATTGAAAAATGTACCAAACTGTTAAATTCTATCCGCCACGGTTCAACAAAACGTCGCTCTTCTTAATCTTGACCCTGCCAGATATTCGTTAGGTCTACATTTTACGCGCGCGCGTAAAGAAACCACACAATTTAGGCATCGGCGGTAACCTAATATAGATTTTCTGAAGCTCTCTCTCTGTACTCTCTAGCTCTCACTCTTGGCTCGACTGTGTTTAACACGAACGCGAACGGTTAGAATAATCCCAATATTTCAGCTGACCAAGTGATGCCAAGTCCCAAGATAAAACAGGAGAAGACAGATTCCCCAGATCCGACGACAAATTCCGTCCCAGTACATCCGAACCCAGTGGTTAGCTCGCCAAATCTCACTTTTCTTAAATTTATGACTTGAGACCACACATTTAGCTTCGATTTGATGTGATAATAACTCCGTGAAACACAATGCGTAAAACAAAATCTTCTTTTCAGACTCCAAAACAAGAAGTTGTGGACACTCCAATGGTGAAGGTAGAGAAAACCTCGCCGGGTGGGAAGGAAAGTCCGGAGCCGCAAACTTCTCCCAAGAACGGTCCTATCAACAAAAAAGGTAAAAAATACTATTGGACGAGTTTGATCCTCTAATAAGGTCAGAAAGAACTGAAATGAATAGTTTTGACGACGAAAAAACATTCTATAACTGTCAGTCATTGCATATCGCCAAATTATATGGCAAACCAAATTGGAAGGTTTAAAACAAAGGAGAGACAAGGAGAAAAATGCCGATTAGACGTAGTCAAAATCAGTTGTTGCATCTCATGATCTACAATCAGGGGTCGACCGGGATCGGAATTTTGTCCTGGCCGGGACCGGGCCGGGAATCGAGATGACCCTCATCCCGGCCGGGACCGGGACCGGGATCAGCTTAATTCCGGCCGGGACCGGGATTTTCACGATATTTCTATGTTGAAATGGAACATTTTAAGCAACCTTCGTATAAAAGGTCCATTATTATATCTTCGGATGAAGATGAGCCTGAAATCTAATCAATCCTTCGAGTTTCGATTTTCATTTCGATTAGTTCGATTCTTAACAGTCGTTTCATTTGTCCAAATCAAAGTAATAAAATATGAATTTGAAGCTAAATTGGATTAAAAAGATCAAAATTCTGCATTAAAAATCCCGGCTAATATCCCGGCCAAAACGGTTATCCCGGCCGGGACCGGGACAAAAATGCCAAATCCCGGCTTTGCCGGGATCCCGGTCGAGCTCTGTCTACAATATCCACCTCACAATCATTGAGTTAAATTTGAATATGAGAAATAATATTTCCACTAGAATTCCACCAAGATTACATCTTCCATCAAAAGCAAAGCTGGCATTTATTTTAAGGGTTTTAGTTTCAACCTATCTACAACTATGTCCTATTGATATTACTTTTCTTGCTTCTGTAGATTTCTACGATTATTTCACAAACATATTTGCCAGTTTTCACAAGAGACGAGCTGTACACCGAGCTGCTGCCAATTCTGGAAACCTTGTATAACATGGACGAAGGGGTTTGGTTCAGGGAGCCAGTGGACCCCGAAAAGGAGCTGATACCAGACTACTTTGATGTTATTAAGAATCCTATGGATTTTGGAACGATCAAATCCAAGCTAAGCGATGGTGGACACTATTCTAATCCTTGGCATGTAAGTTATTTGTCAGGTTTTGACTGATAATAAGACAATTGAAAGGATCTCTTATAATCAATAAGAATTCTTTCTCTCGTAGTTCTTTCTCTGATAATGCCTGCCCTTAAAATGCTAGTGGTATTTATCAGATTATACTGGAATTGGTAAGAGAGGTTGTCAGATGTACGAGGTTCTTAACGCAAGTTAAGATAAATGACTCGTTTAACCAACTAAGCAAAGGCGGGCAATTTGCAAGAGGGATGAAGATATTCGAAAGTAGGGGGTGAAGAGCCAATTTAGTGTTTTACCGGAGGCAAAACTCGATACGAACGCCAGAAAAGCTTTCTGAATTCATAAATCTAGCAACATAGAAAATCGTGGTCCACAAAATTATGAACAACAATTATATTATGATTTGGTACACCGAAGCAGTTAAGTACTAAGTATAAATTTCAGCAAATTTCTCGGAATCATACGAATAAAGGGAATTGGAATACACTGTAAAATAATTCTTTTGAATAAGCTAAATCGAAATCCGGTCAATTCGATAAATTACCGGAAGCAATGAGATCAATCCAAGTCTAGACATTAATGGTTCTAGATAAATTGTGTCAAATTTGACCAAGAGAGCTAAAAATTTGCCTACTATTAGTATAGTTATTGTTTGACATCTGCTATTTTTAAATAAACTTTTGCATTTCACTAAATTTTAGAATATGGAGCTGAAATTAGGACTAGTGCAGTAGAATTAAAGCTCTTGTATGTTAGCAATATCGGCTGGCAGAGTTTTGAGATAAATTACCAATAGTGGGCTTAGTAAATGTTAGTGGTTATCGTATGCTTAAATAATTGAAAATATCAAATTAAAAAAACATGTTTCATCTTCAGTTTATAGACGATGTCAATCTAATGCTGAAAAACGCGTTCACCTACAACCGCAAAAATACTCGAATCTACAAACATGCTGCGAGGTTAAAAGACGTTTTCAAGGCGAAGATCGGCGCTCCCATGAAAAAGTTGGGATACTGCTGTGGCAAAAATGTGAGTGATTATATGGTGATAGTTAAACTCTAAAAGTGTTCTTATCCATCTGTTATGTAGTTGTGATTTGAAGAAACCATATCCCCAAAAATCTTTCGTCTTGACGCCACGAAAGTGCATCTTAAACTGAAACCATTCCCAACCAATTAGTAATTAATTAGGAATTTAAGCCTAAATTGATCATTTAATTAACCACACCCCAGTATGTGTACTACCCTCTGGTTCTCTACTGTAACGGTTACGGCGGTGCACTCTGCCCCTGGTCCATTGCTCGAGATGCGGAGTACTTGGAGTACATCTGTCCTAACACCAAATCTCCGTGAGTATAGCCCAGTAAAATGCGATTTTCCCCCTTTTTTTTTCATTTCTTTTTTATAATCTTATTTCTTTTTTATCAAGACAACTTAAGTTTAAAATAATCAAACAATTAAATAATGATATTATTTGTCTCCAGATACCACTACTGTCAGCGGTGTTTTAACGAACATAAGACTGACTACATTCCCCTGCCGGACGAGAGTGGCAGCACCCTCAACACAGAGAAGATCTCCAAATCTCAGTTCACAAAGCTTTGCAATGACAAGATCACCGAGGAGGAGTAAGTTTTAGGGCCGTGATTACTGGCCACGTGATTACCACGTGAATAATGCTCAAAATCACGCAGTATAGTTTAATTTGGGCTGTCAAATGAAATATTAGATGCGAAACTTTAGAATTTAGATTTGCTGTCGATAATATAATATATTTTTTCTTAAATATCTCGAAATTTTGCCGCGAAAAATACAGAACTTTGTTTATTAATGAGCTCAGCTCCTGGAATAGCTTGTCTGGGTTCCCCTTGTACCCCCTCACCGCCTTAAGTAAGTTAAAATATTCTTAACTAACACAGTTACACTTAGTCTTAAGTAAAAAGCGTGTTCCCTCCCACTGCGGAGGTTATGTAGTTATTGTTCGATAGTGCCGACTTGTAATGACTAATTTCTCAGGAAATGCGAATGTAAGGTGTGTGGTAGGATATGGCATAAAGTGTGTGCACTATATCTCGAAACAATATATCCTGATGGTTTTACTTGTCCTAACTGTAGACAGAGCCAAGAGGGCAAGAAGGAGCATCGCTTCGTCGCTAAAAGTAAGTGTTTTATATTTGGTTACCTGAGCCCCCATTCCCAATATTAAAAAGTAGCCGTAAAATCTTTGATTAGCGGTTATTTACGATACATGATAAAAATGTCAAATCACATGACTACTGACTTGTACAGTACATATTCAATATTCATTCACAAACAAAGGTAAATTTCCTTATGCCTGTTCATATTCCCTCTCTCTAGCTCTGAGAAAGAAAGAGACAGATCAATGCACAGATAGTCATATCTCCAGTTTCAATCCTGTCTACAGTTACACAACATGTACATATTGTGTTGTTGACAGAGAGCAGCTCTCCTCTTGCAGAGAGCTACGTGATATACACCATTATTACACATATAAAGTAACATATACACTTACACAGTACACACCAGTCACCACGTGACATATTGGGTGTATTATACCTGATATCTCGTGTAGTGTGTGTGTGCCTGATACGGCCTGGTTCTTGAACATCAGCCATACAATGACTTGAAATAATGGTATTCTAATCCGCTGCTCAAATGCTAACATACCCGCTTTAATGGCACTTTCAAGTTAGTTTCTAAACTAGGACCGATGTGAATGATGATAAATGTCCAGTGGGCTATAAGATATATAATAACGTAATATAGCTTAGTGGATTTAAACCTAATAAAGAAATCGTACCCGGGTCAATTTGGCACGAGAGATCACTGTGTGTGTGTACTTTACACCCTACTGTACACTTTATAGCATGTATACTGTATAGTATACTGTATAGTCGTCTACTGTGTATAGCTGGGTACCGTGTCCGGTGTATAGCGGGACACTGAACGTTTATACCTGGCATTAACTTCAGATATAATTCCACAAATATTCTTCTGATTTTCTTCAGATAATCAGTAGTCTGCAACTCACACCGATATCATTCTGTAGTCAGCGCGTCCTGTTAGTGTTCGACATGAAATACGCATTAATATGTTGCGAAGAGACAAAGTTGACGCCAAAATTATTCTGAAATTCAGTACAATGTCGAGCGCGTGTAGGTTGCGTGTACCATACACACGAACGCGTGTGATGAAGGTGTAAAATGTTGGTACATTGTTACGGCGGAATGCCCTTGCCGTTCAAGACAATGTATAAAATGTGTATGGATATTGGATATCATGATATGCAATTAGTTTGTAATGATATGTGATTATGTGTTATGGTATGTACAGCTCGGTACGTAAATATGTAATATATGTAAGTGTAATGTGTATAGTGTAGGTTAACACGTGTCATGTTGAGAGGGGCTGGATAATGACAAGTTGGTTACAAAATGTTACACTATCTGTGTGTTACACACGCTGTTACACGCGCTGTTACACGCGGGTCAATCGTGGACGGAATTCGGTTGAGTTTGTAATGGGCTATCGTACACTTTTCATGTAACATTGAGTGCGTAGTGTTTAGAAATACATGGGTAACACGGCGAGAATCCGTCTCAAAGTTTGCCAAGCGAGTTGTGTGTGGGTTATAATTATAACACATACAACACTTTGCTTCAATGTTAGTTTCAGGGCTGAAGCGGACACTTTTTGCGGTGAAGTTCGGGTGTAATGATAGGTATCAGGTCATCTTACATGTATTGAGTTTATAGTGTAAAGAGCTACATCCAGGGTAATGTGTCTTATGTAGTATACACAAACACTAGACGGATTGTTTGAAGGGCGCGGGCGTACTCTCGCTCTCTCTCTGGGCATTTGTATGTGTACTTCATGGTATTACTTGAGGTGTATACATTTATACAATACACATTGTAAAATGGAAGTATTATGTGTTGTCATGTACATTTGTATATATACATTCGCATTCTTCGCTATGTTTTCATTGAAATACGCGTACATTTAAGTATCCAATACATTTTTATGTATACTTTTCTCCAAAAAGGAGCAGAGGCGATTCTAGTCGATGAATTTGTTCCAAAGACGCGTGCGTGTGGATTGGGTGTCAAATTACACCCACAGTGAAGCAAGAAGGGTGTAACACAAGTAATGTACCATGGTACACTGTATGTACATTTTACAAAAAGAGTGTAACAAGTTATGTACCATGGTAAGCTGTATATAAATTTTACAAGATGGGTGTAACACAAGTAATGTACCAAATAACGGAGTAGTTCGCTGTTTATTAGTCTCATGATTGAAATACTGATATCTGGATATTATCCGGTTGGAAGAGACAAGGACAAGTGAAACAAGGAAGTTAGGAGTAAGGGCAAATTTTCGGCGTCAACGCCATCTTCAGGCTAAAATTGTTATAAATGTTAGTATATAATAAATGCTTCTATACTAGTTAAAATGCTAAATTAAAATTACACACACTGAATACAGGTTACATCAAATGGTATTGTACATTACATTGAAAATAGTGATGTACACACGTTTTACACTCTGTCCAAGTACATAATATCTACTGAACAGCAGGGTCGTGTGCTATTTGTTTAAATTTGTCTTTGAATATGTTGTAAAAGAAATCCCTTAAGCTTCTCGCACTCTTCTTTGTTATTGATACTAGGTTTAAATAAATTAATGTAGTAAGCTTCTGTCACTTTACGTTTAATGGTCAACAACGGTTACCAAGACCCACGACGTATAAACAAAACAGGACGACTTCACCCTCTCTCACCTACAACACGTCATAACCCTTCATCATCAAACATACAAGATACCGACCACGTAACATGCACTCTACCATTCATCAACGAGCCATTTTCCAAAGAAGTCACTCAATTTGCCCTCTCACACAACTTACCGGTCAAATTCATATTCACACCAGGTAAGAAACTCTCAGAGATCTTATGTTCATCACGACCACACGACAAACCACACTGCACCATACCAAACTGTATCATATGTCCACTCATCACAACAAATCACGACTGCAAACCAAAATGTGTCATATACAAAGTTACATGTAAATTATGTCAAGAGCTATATATAGGGGAAACGAGTAGAACAGCACACGATAGATTTTCAGAGCATCGAAGAGCAGTCAACAGGCCTTTAACCTATCCTGATAATGCGTTGGCTGCTCATTATTCAGAGTTTCACGATAACATAGAACCAGATATTTCCTTCGATATTTTAGAAATTAACTTATATAGCACCATTAAACGTAAAGTGACAGAAGCTTACTACATTAATTTATTTAAACCTAGTATCAATAACAAAGAAGAGTGCGAGAAGCTTAAGGGATTTCTTTTACAACATATTCAAAGACAAATTTAAACAAATAGCACACGACCCTGCTGTTCAGTAGATATTATGTACTTGGACAGAGTGTAAAACGTGTGTACATCACTATTTTCAATGTAATGTACGGGGGGGGGGGGGGGGGGGGGGGGGGGGGGGCCAATGGCATAAATGGAGAAAATGGAGAATTACTCATAGGTTTTTCCATTTTCTCCATAGAAATAGTCTCCATTTTATGCCATTTTATGCCATTTTATGCCATTGAAAACCTGAAAAATTTAGAATTTCGAGAAAAATTATTTTAAAAAAAGATATTTTCGGCCAATAATGAACAGGGTAACATGAAACATGGAGAAAAGTGGTTTTTAGAAAAACTTTGAAAAATTTTGAAAAATGTTGACTTAGAAAATGTTCGGTCCGAGTCATTTTCGATACGTACCTCCCGTATCGAGAGCTCCCGATTCCGAGCTTGTGTTGCAAAGGGGAGGCCTGCCTTCCGAGATCGCATTACCTCGAGTCCAAAATTGTGTATCGAGGGGAAGGTGTGGACTTCGAAAAACCGAAAAAATATTTTCGGCAAATAATGAACAGGGTAGCATGAAACGTGGAGAAAAGCGGTTTTCAGAAATTTGAAAAATTTTCAGAAATTTGAAAAATTTCGGCTTATAATGAACAAGGTAGCATGAAACGTGGAGAAAAGTGTTTTTCAGAAAAACTTTGAAAAATTTTGACTTAAAAAATTACCCCTCGGGTACACAATTTTGGACTCGAGGCTTCCCCCTGGTAATGCGATCTCGGAAGGCAGGCCTCCCCCTCAGTGCGAGCTTGTTTCGACTTTCGAGGATGTAGGTCTCACTTCTCAGTGCCTATTACTCCCCTATTACTCACTCCTGCTGTAGCCTGTAGAAATAACTTTACACTAGGCTTGAGTAATTATGAGTTTGCCTGAAGTGTGCCTCTACTAACCTAGTATAAACATCTAGTAGCCTACTATGAGCTTTCACAAGCTTGTTACGCCCCTAGTAAGCGTAAATAAACATGTTAGGATGTCCAATTTAGGTGTTAAATGGTGTTAAAGATGAAATTTCGAAGACAAAATTCATGGCATAAAATGGAGAAAATGGAGAATTACTCATGGGTTTTTCCATTTTCTCCATAGAAAAAGTCTCCATTTTATGCCATTTTATGCCATTTTATGCCATTGGCCCCCCCCCCCCCCCCCTAATGTACAATACCATTTGATGTAACCTGTATTCAGTGTGTGTAATTTTAATTTAGCATTTTAACTAGTATAGAAGCATTTATTATATACTAACATTTATAACAATTTTAGCCTGAAGATGGCGTTGACGCCGAAAATTTGCCCTTACTCCTAACTTCCTTGTTTCACTTGTCCTTGTCTCTTCCAACCGGATAATATCCAGATATCAGTACAAGTAATGTACCATAGTACTCTGTACATAAATTTTACAAGATGGGTGTAACACAGGTAATAGGGTCCGGACTCTACGGCGTAAGACTCTACGGCGTGAGACTCTACGGTGGGTTAGGGTTAGGGTTAGGTTAAAGTCTTACGCCGTAGAGTCCCGGACCCGTTACCTAATTAAGGTTGTGATTCGAGTTTCATGGTGAAATTCAGGGTATGTTTAAAGAACTGGGTGAGATAACAGTCTGTGTTTTAAGTAAAATTAACATGACGCACGTATTTCCCACTGAACCGCAACAGATTTTCACCCAAAGGCCAAAACACACTCTGGGCCACATAAAATTGTGAAATTGTGAAACTATCTAAAATGTGAAACTATCTAGCTAACTAGCTAACTTCAGACATCATTGTTAATGTAATTAATATGAAAGACGTGGAACCTGATAGTCTCTATAAAACAAACAATTATTGACATTATTTTCCCCGTTTACGTTGATCCCCTGGTAATTTAACACACTGTTACATTACCGAAGATTGTGACGAACTATTTAACCTATATGTACCAGTCGCGAGATCAAGCGGGAGCCTAGACCAACATTGGTCATGTTCTCGGATATTTTCCCGAGTAATGGCTGACTACTCCGTTTTTGTAGTAGTCGGTGATTGGTCAGTCTTTGGTATCACGTGTGTGGTCACGTGTACACACGTTCAGGGGTATATTACACTGCCCTGGAATAATCCCTCAGTGTAAGAGTGTACATTTGCATATCACATAAGGCCCAAGGGTTATTATATACAGATATACCGGCTGGTGTACATTGTCTCTGACCCGTATAAGAAAGGTTGTTAGATCATTGGTTGGGCACTGTTTTCTAAGTTTAAGAAGATTGGTATAGAAAATAGAAATTTCAACAGTTCACGAACTTATCATTTTGGATATTATAAGATTTATGGCATTTTAAAACTTACAATCGTATTCTATACTAAAAGTTGGTACGTTCGATCCCCAGTCATGTGAGAACCACAATTATGTAAGAATGGGGGTACAGGTGGTCTATCATATTAATCGCTTGAGATTTCTGTTTGCATCTCTCATGAACAATTTATTTTGTTAACTGACATGCTTATTAATTAACAAATTAGTTAATTGATTATCTAATAAAGTACTAAACACTAAAAACCCCCCACTTCAGAACTACCCCACTCGAAGCTAGCCAAGCACGTGGAGGATCGTGTAGCTAACTACATGAAGACATGTGACATGGGCGGGAACGTTGGAGAGGTGGTGATTCGAGTCCTTAGCTCTTTCGACAAGTTTGTCGAGGTCAAACCCCTCTTCAGGGCTAGGTAAGCTTATTTTTGCTTTTACTTAAGTTTAGGTATAGTTATTTGTAAACTCCCTCTTGCTAGTTTAACTTTTGCTTTCGGGTTGATCCTCTCTTCAGAAATGTATGTTGTAATTTTAACACTACTATATAACAAATAATTTGGAGAAACGATGTAACAGAATCGATATATTTTAATGTTGCCATGGGGTGGCAAGTCCCTATACATCGTGGTCCGATAGTTTCATCGCGTCTTAATATAACACTGTAAATCTAACTCTTCGATAGTTTTAATAAACATCTCCAAGAGCTAATCAGTCCTGCGTGAAAGACTACTAAACTTTCTAAAAATGTATACAAGCTGTAATTCACTAAATCAGTCATACTCAACGGCCACCATTTAAGGCTAACTCGTATGCATATTGCATGCTTATACTTTTGCTTTCGGTCAGCAATACTTGTTCTTGGCAATTTCAGTAATTTTATTAGATTCCAATCTCATTTGAGTCACTTCGCGAAGGCCCGTCTCTTTAGTTCGTTGTCTCATATTTTAGTAGGTCCTCCTGTTTTGCCATAAACTGCCTTGTATCTTATTGTCGTTGTTTATATATTGCATCTCAAAGGAAAACTTAATTTTCAAAATGATTGACACGAAGGTTACACATAAGGGCTTTTAAACAGTTATATAAAAATAAAATAATCATATTCAAAACAATCATATTCAAAATAATATTGGCTCATAATCCAAAATTGGCGCAAATAACTTTCTTCAGTCTTCATTAACTTCTCACTCATCACTTAAAATAAGATCAAAGATCAGCGTGCCTTATTCACATAACAATAAAATGAAACATCTCTATTGCTACGTAGTACCTAACGAAGAGTACCCTTGACCTCATGATCCGAGCCTTGTTATATCATTTCCGTGTACGTACGTGGTTTACAGAGTACGAGGTTTAGAGATTTAAGCTTTTAGTGTGTTAACTGTTAGGGTGCGCCGTGAGAGCCGCATTATTCATAGTTGTAAAGAACAATCGCGATGAAGAGGTTCTCCCTTTTTTGGGTGACCTTTTTCAAGATTTCGTTTTGGAAGAATCTTTACCGAGTTCAGAAATATAAACTTAAAAACTCATTAGTGATATTATATGGATCATTGGAACGTTTTTTCTTATTTAAAGATTAAATAATTTGAACTGATCCCATGCAATCCTTGCGGCTACATTTTCTCAATATCCGTTATTCCAGGTATCCAGACGCAACTGCCAAGTTACCTTACCGAGCTAAAGCTTTGTTTGCTTTCCAGAGGATCGATGGTGTTGATGTTTGTTTCTTTGGGTTGCATATCCAGGTATGTCCAGTAATCGCTTCTTCGAGACAACTGTCTTTAATGTTTTTGTTCACAAATGGGAAAGAGATTATCGTTTTTTGTCTGAGAAACTCCAACATGTGAATAGAAAATATTGCAATCTCCATCATTTATTATCCTGAACATTTGATTTAATTTTGAGATTTTGACCGCTATTATTTTCCAGGAGTACAGCTCCGATTGTCCTGCACCCAACACCCGACGAGTTTACATCTCCTACCTGGACAGTGTCAACTACTTCAAACCCAGCAGATTCCGAACCAGTGTAAGAACCTGATTAGCTTGTTAATTTATCAATTAGTAACCAATTACATAATCTCATATCACATTACGTTCTTATAAACCTCATAATTTCATAACTCAAAGGGTTTTCCCAAAACGGCGAGTCCCCTAGTAAATCAAATCTTTAAAATACGTTCAGAACCTGAAACTCGATTTACACTTAAGTGGAGCAGGGACACTTATCTTAAAACACTGTTATTGGATCCTTCTTTCTACCATTTTATTCGGTTACTGAGCCCTCGCTTTAGCCAACTTATTCAATTTCTTACTCAGTTCCATCTTCGTTTGAACCTCACCTTGCACCCAGCCCTTGAACTAGACTTGACCTGAACCCGTTTTCCCGCCAGGTTTACCACGAGATTATACTGGGTTACCTGGGTTACGTGAAGCAGCGAGGTTATGTTTATGCCCATATTTGGGCATGTCCACCACACGAGGGAGACGATTACATATTTCATTGTCACCCCGAAGCTCAGAAGACTCCAAAACCGAAGAGACTACAAGAGTGGTATAAGACAATTCTAGATAAGGGGAAAGGTGAAGGCATCGTTTTTGAATACAAGGTAATCTTACAAACTCAATCGTATGGTAGCCTTGATTTAGTTTCACCTGTATAAAACTCGATTCCTAGATTAACTTAGGCATTAAAATGAGCTCATTATTTTAAAATTCATTTTAAATCATAAAAGCATTGTTAATTTAACTCCACACTTTCCGATATTGAACTTTCTTAGTTTCTTTATCACGTATTTATCACGTACTTTATCACGTACTTTATCATGTACAACAACTCCCAGAACATATTCGCGATGTGCAACGACGAAGATCTGAGGAGTGCTGTGGATACGTACTATTTTGACGGTGATTTCTGGCCCCAACAACTGGAGGACTCTATAAAGGAGCTGGAGAGAGAGGAACAGGAGCAGAGACAGCTTGAGGAGCAGGAGGTGAGTGTAGAATTATGTGGAGTTTATAGAGGGTTCATGTTAGAATTTATGGTTAGCGTCCTAACAATGTGCTACATTGAGTGGAACTTGGTATTTAGAAATTATGTTACAGTGAATATAACTTGAGGTTGAAACAAGAACTTGCAAGCCTGTATTGTTTAGATAAGCAGGAAAAAATAATGTCCGGGAATTTTTTTAAAACGCCTAAGGTTCATAACTAGGTCTCTAGAAATAACTGTTAATATAAGAGCACTAGTCACTAGTGCAGTAAAATAAAGTTTGGAATTAATATTTATACATTAAATTTGGAGAATTAGGATGGAAAACTGAGTATGAGTTATATTAAGAGGGATATTTATAGTTCATATCATGGTCGTTTGTAGTTTGGTAGGAGTAATAGACGAGTTTAGTTTTCTTTCACTCTATGATAATGCAGTTCTTTATCATCATTAAAGATTGATTCCCGTGCTAAAATTATACCGTAACATTTACTACATACGTCTAACAACATGATAATTTCAGATGCAGGAAGCAGAGGAGCCTAACGAAGAGGACGCCTCCGCTACGGACGGCAAGAAAAACTCTTCAAAAGCAAAAGGTACCGTTTTATTACGTCGTATTTCTGCGGTACTGTGTGCCATGGGGAATTTGAGTGGTGACTTTATTCTGTATATATAATTGTCATGATGAAGGGAATAGTATCTATAGTAATGTAGTATTTATTATATACATTTCATTGCATAAGTAATGGTAGTTTTAAATCCTTTGTCGACTATTGTGACCAAGCAAAATTATGATTTTACAGGTCAGAAGAAAGCCAACAGCAAGAGCAAGAAAAATCAGATCAAGAGAAATGCTGCGAAGAAAATACCAACAAACTCTTTTGGGGATGCTCTTTTTGACAAAACCTATCAAATTATGGAGAAGCACAAGGAGGTAAGTTATTTGGCACTGTACGATAGTACTAAAAATCTTATGTTTCTCTCGTGAGCTGCTAATGCTATAATAATGGATGACCTCAGACCTAAGAAAAGCCCGCCAAAATTCTGAATTCCATATGAAAGTGAGAGCTGGTACGTGTCTAACCTTTTACTGGGATTCTTACCTCAACCCTTGGTCCTGGTCCTGACCCCTACTTTATCCCAACCCTGATCCCAATTTTTCTACACTGTAGAACGTTTTTGTCGTATTTCAAATTGACGTTTTGCCGCTTAATAACATTACAGCTTTACTTTACTACAATTTTTGGCATACTTCCCTGTCCAAAGTTGAACATCTCCAAACTCCTGTGAAGTAATGGAGTTTGTTCCAAAAATTTCTGCAAACGCTACATTCTTGCCGACTTAGGGAATTTCTCTGTGTTGTCATTAATATGACATCAGGAAATACATTTTCTATTGCTGAGAATCTATTTAGTGTGAATCTATTTAGCGTTATAAAAGTTTGTGAACAATCGTAAAAACACGGCCTGCAGCTGTTAAAGATCAGAAATTTCAATTTCCCCCTTCGTTCAAATTTGTGTCTGCAGGCCAACAGCGGAGTCAACATCAAGGTCTACAGGAGGTCTACTTAAATTCGCTTATTTCTGTTGCAAAGACTAAGTTGTCACCGCGCGCGCATGGCGCGCAACAATCACGTGACCAAATACGATGTCACGTTACCCTCTCCTAACGCTCTGACCAGTTTACCGCTTGCTTATCATGGCCTAAAATTCTCAGCCAACTTACCAGAACTGTACCTTATTCTGATTAATTAATTTTCTTTTAAGACATCTGACAATAACTCTACTTTTCCCTCAGGCATTTTTCGCGGTTTATCTTCACGATCCTAAGACCGTTTGCACACTACCACCCATACAAGATCCAGATCCGCTGATCAACTGCGAGATTATGGACGGTAGAGACAACTTCCTCACACAAGCCAAGGAACTCCGACTTGAATTCAGGTTAATAAATAACTGCTTGTCAATGAAAAAGTGGTCCATATGACGTATGCATTGTGCAATGTAACATCTATCTAGGTCCTAGGACCTTCTTGTGACTTTTGGATACTTTTGTCTCTACTATACTATAAATCCTCAGCATTGTTAGTTTCAGAAGCCAATAGTTTGACGTTCATTGTACTCATTAAATCTCTCGTTGTAACACTCAATATAATAGCTAATTGTAACTTTTCTCTGCAGTACGTTACGAAGATCTAAGTTCTCCACATTGTATCTCGTTTGTGAGTTGCACAATCGTGGCTCTGGAAAGTTTATCTACAACTGCAACAACTGCTCTAAAAACGTTGAAACGAGGTAAAGTGTTTTCCATTCGGCTTCTTTGCGATTTTATGAACGATGCTCAACTGCCAAGCATATCCCAACTGTAAGCTTCGACTTTTTTCGTGTGGCATAAACCGATCCGAGGCAGACAGGCTAGGAGCACACGTAACTTTTTTATTAGTCACTTTGCTGATAGAGAGAATTTGTTTATCGTGTTCTCGCGAGGCTTTCTTCACTATCATAACACAAGAAAGCCTCTAAAATGGGACCATATCCGTATTATTCAGAAGGCTTTACTCCTGTTTCTGACAAAAAGTCTTCTCATGACTTACACTGTGTAATATTAGTATAATTATATAATTAATTATATAATTACTAGGTACCATTGCTCTGAATGCACAGACTTTGATCTTTGTATACCTTGCTGGGAAAAGATAGGTCATCAGCATACCATGAAGAAACTCGGCCTCGGAATAATGATTGACCAACCGTCTATAAAACAAGAAGGTAAGTTTATATTTTATATGTCCATTTGTGTGCTGCTTGAATTTTTAATTTCATTGTATAACGTTTGTGATAGTACCTTACAAGACATATTTATGTGGATCATAATTATGGGGATCGGAATTATGGGGGAACGAAAATATGGGGATTTTTTTTCAGAAATCCCCAAATTTCGTACCCCAAATTAAATTGTCGCATTTTCACGCTAAATTATTTCAGAGAAATCAAAATCAGTTTTTGATGGAATTTTTTTAAATCGTGAAAAACTAAATTAATTAAAAATCATTCTCTTCTTTAAATCGTCTTCATCCGATGAAGTTCATCGTCGTCTCTTTCACCTTGAGTCTGCTCACCGGTGTAGTCCCAGGTGTATGCCTCCCTCAACAGGGGTTTGAGCTTGTCAATTAAGTCTCCCCTACTCTTGAATGTGAGACTAAGTTTGACTTCTAACCCTCCAGAGGGTATCGGCGATTTTTATACTAAGTAACTTTCTATTTACCTGAGAAATGCGTATCCTTGTTTCACAAAACACGTAAAACAACTTATTTGACAAATTCACCTCAAATTAGCCCTATTGAAGCCAATTACATACAAATTAATGTGTGGGATTTTGGAATGGCGGCCACAATTTTGGTAGTACGAAAATATGGGGATTTTTTCCAAAAATCCCCAAATTTCGTACCATATAAATATGTCTCGTAAGGTAATCATATTCATTTATTATTTGTTAACTTCATTTTTATGATTGAGAGTTGAGAAAAAATGTATTTACTTACACGCAGTTTCAACAGAGGGAACGAACAATCCTGTCGACGCAAAACGCATCAAGAAAGAAAGTATCCAACGTTGCATACAGTCTCTGGTTCACGCATGTCGATGTAAAGATGAAGATTGTCATCTACCATCATGTGCTAAAATGAAGAAAGTTGTACAGCACACACGGACATGCAAGAAAAAGAAGAACGGTGGATGTCCAATCTGCAAGCAACTCATTGCTCTTTGCTGTTACCACTCCAAACACTGTGATGATGACCAATGTCCAGTGCCCTTCTGCCCCAGCATCAAGCAGAGGTATATTATTTTCCACTATTTGTTAACATGTCCTCCAGACTGAGAAAAGAGTTGTGCTTCCTCGTATTTCTTTCACGTTAACATATCATTGTTATTGTAACAAACAAATAATAATATAATACATGTAATGGCCCCTACCACAGAATCACAAGCGTAACAGTAAATATTTTCAGGCTTAAGGTTCAGTCTCGCATTGTGAATCGCTCCCGGATGCATGAGATGAGGCGAAGGTGCCAGATCATGACAGGTGGAGCAGACAGTGCCCCGGCTCCTCAACAGCCGCCCCAATTGGGTGCACCGCCCCAGCCACAGATTCAGCCACCTAAATCAGCTGCCGAGCAAGCAGCCAAGCAGGCAGTGGAAGTGGCTAAGAAACAAACTCTGTACAACAACAGTGGACCAATTGTAAAACAAGAAGCTGGCAAAAATGCTCCTATAGGTATGATTATTTCTCACCCAATAACGATCTCTACATGACCAATTGTGACTTGTGAGCTAGGATCACCAAATCCATAATTACGAAATATCTCCTACAATTTTATTTCTGCGGTTTGGAAGAACCTAAATCTATTTCTCTTTTTTTTAAGGTGCGCATCAAAACTCTGGGCAGCAGATATACTCTGGTCCTGGAGGCAAGGCAAACATTCCTCAACAGCAGATGATAAACCCTCGCATGATGAACCCTCGCATGATAAACCCAAACATGGCACCTACAATGAACATGGGAATGAGCAACATGTCGCCCCAGCAAATGCCCCAAGCTCCAGGAATACCACCTCAGCAGCTTGCCAACCAGGCGGCGATGCAGCAACAGATGACAACCAATGCGGGGTCAGTGCCTCCCAACACGAGACCTCCAACCACCCAAATGGTGAGGAGGCAAGGAAAGCCAAGCCAGCACTTTTCCCAACAAGGTCCTGTGATGAGTAGTCAACAGATAATGAGACACGTTGCTCCCAACATACCTAACCAGGGCAACCCTACCCGACCACAGGTATAAACTCTCGTATTAATTACACGTCCAAGTAATTACTCAGGTCGAAACTAACGTCTGAAACTTAATTTTATTTGTATAAGTTTTGAAAAGGAGACTTGATTGTAATGTTCAGTGATCAAGACATTATTTCTCTCAAAACACAACATTTTCCCCGATCCATATTGTATTTACTTGTGACTAACAATCATGTTTAGCAGAGTGGTATGACAAACAGCGGTGGACGTTGGATACCTGGCCCATATCAGAACATGCCCGGAAACTACCCGTCAGGGGTGTCGATGGGACCTGGCAACATTCAAAAGAACTTCCCTGGCATGATGTATCCTCCCGGAAACATGATTCCACAGGTGAGATTTTTTCACATATTCCCAGTTATCAAGATATTATCCAAGGCTGCCATACACACACTCCACTGACCACTCCCTTGTACTATCATCCGATTGTCTCATTCATCTGCCCTGCAAAGTATCCTCTCACTCTCATGGTCGACCAGCATTAACCAGGCTGCCTCTTCACAATATAATGCTCTTAAGTTCAAAAAATTCACTTGCCGATTCCACTCTGTATCTTCAACCATGTCTCCACAACTGCACAACCTGTAAAACCTCGCCACACTCCACTATTCAGCATGGCATGTAAACACTCAAAACCACCCAACACTTGTCCGCCACCATCCAGCACTTGACCACTCAGCACTGCACTTACAAAACCATGACAGAGTTTCTCTCTCTGAGCCGGCTCCTCGTTTCAGCCCGGCTATCCCGGTCCATCTCCGATGCCAGCCCAGCAGCTCTACCCTACCTCTGGCCAAGTGATGGTCCCAGCTCATCCCAACAACATGATGCCACACCCCAACGTCGTCCCTAATCGTCCCACTGTCCCAGCAGGACAGTATATGTATCCTCCCAGAAATCCCACTACTGGAAGGGTAAGATCATAATTGTCGTATATTTATATATATATTTTTGTTTGTTTGTTTCGTGGTTTTCTTGAAATTTGTGTTTATTTTGTATAAAGCGTTTCTACAGGAAATTGTTATTGAAGACTATAAGTTCCTTACATTTTGGAGAAAAACTTTATTTTTAATTCAGTTATTCCCCCAGGGTCGCGGAACTACAAACAAGAAACAGTCTCGACAGCGTAACTCTCCGCGAGCCAACCCCGCACATTCCCCAGCTCATTCTCCAGTCATTGTAAGTTTTATACAAGTGAGCCGAGCGAGCTAAGTTCACTGCTCTTTATATAATACGTATTTTGTTGAAAATTATTACGTTTTTTCAGAACTGCGGCTTGGCGGAATCAGGAATGATGACTTGAACCGTTGTTCATCGAAAGAACAACAGATACTAGGTTCCCAGTGTTAGTCTCCGATCGTCATTCGTCATCAATAAACCTAGTCAACTGTTCACATGATCCTTGCTCAGGTTTCACCGAAGCACCACTCGCCCTTGCCCAATTTGTCACCCCACCAGATGTCTGCCCAACCCGCACACCCTCCCCCTCCTATCGAAGCCATGGAGGCTCAAAACAACTCAAATATCTACAACGATGCTTCTGAAAGGGTATGTTTTCTAAAAGTGATTTTTAATGTGCTTTTCCTAAAGTTTTAGTTTTATTTTTATCTTTCAATCCTGTTTTGATATATTGGAAATTTGACTGAGCTTGATTGTTTTCAACTTTTTAATTTGTGTTTGCATCATAACCTAATTCATACTTACATTATTTTATTTTATTTTCACCCAAATTTCAGATGACGGAAAGAGAACGTCAACAGGAGAGCACGTTGGTCGAGTTTGTTGAGAACCTCTGAGCCGCGCACACGTGTCACTTATCACGTGACCTCTCTTCTTGTAACCAAGAGTGCAGCTCTTCAGATCCTGAGTTCAGCTCCTTGGAGTAGACAGCCGCGCCAACTTGACAGTGGAAGTGTGAAACCCGCCCTGGCACGTTGTCCGGGTCAAATGAAACGAAAAGACTGCAATCTTTGTTCGGTATCGACTATCGATATTAAATAACTCCCATTAGTAATTAATTTCATGATTAATTACCTTATGATACGTGGGCATGGGATAAAGTGTGAAATAATCGGTCGACTACGACGTTGCTCTTGCGATCGGTTTATAGTGTTATGATTGTCCTGCTTTGAATTTCCTTGGACGATATATGTTTCTTTATGTAGTGGTCACTTTTATATTATATAGGCGTGCCGCTTACAGCTTTGACTCCTTTTTGATCGCGATGGGCAATAACTTTTGAGCCCGAAGCGTTTTGTTACTTTTTATGATTTATGCTTGGGTTGCTCTATACTTCTCACATTATCAGATAGGCTATGTGGTTCATGATGAAATGGATGCCCAAATTCTACGGACTATAAAATACTCTGTGATCATGTATGTAAAAACATATAAAACAGGTTATAACAGCTGAACATGGGCTGAATATAATTACGAATGTTTCGGAGAAAACATACAAGAATTACATTTTCTGTGTAGTGGCGCTATAATATCACTTAGTTATCGATCGAAATTTACCACATTAGGCTGATTTGGAACTTTTTGGCCGTATTAATTTAAAAGGGTGAGTCAAAAGTTTTGAATGTTCGGGCTGGTGCCCAATAGCTTGCCATCTGAACAGAAAATTGAATACCATGAGTGACACAGGGACCAAACTTTGGCGTCACTTATTTGGCCCCGCACATACTCTTTAAAACTCTACTAACTCTAGGTTTATGTCTCTAAAGCCCAGAGGCGGCTCGTGGGAGCTGGCTGGCAGTTTTGTTGGGGGTCCAATCGATGGACTGGGGGGGAGGGGGGCTTGGGAGCCGGCTCAAGCTGATCCCTCCAAACTACCGATTACATTACACACAGGGCCTTGTAAATGTAATGTGTAACACTTTACAGGCGACAGCAAACAAAAACAAAAACTTATAACATGGGTGAAACAGGACACCACACGTGTACGATCTCAGCCGCGCAGTATCACAACAGTCAATAGTTCAAAGGGTCCTGGACCCCCAAATCGAGGCAAATCATAATAGATTACCTGTAGTGGGATGCGCACGATGTGCTTTGTAACGTTTACAATTAACTATGTGTTAAAACTGCGCGGCTGAGTAGTCCAGAGGTAGGATTGGACTCCCTACAACACAAAATTTCACGAAGATCATGCGTGCGCTTACATTAAAACGTATGATAGTAAACGAAGACCTTTATATTGCGATTTGTTATTTCCTAACACTATTACTAATTACTATTTCTATTTTAAGCACCAGCCACCAGATAATAATTTAAAGGCGTCCACGGACGCCTGGACGCCCTCAATAGCCGCCTCTGCTAAAGCCCATGTTCAGCTCACCATTCTGTTTTGATAATTATCATTATGTTAAGATTTGTTGGTTGACTAATACTAATAATGTAATAGGGTGTACAAAGATTTGTGCCGTTCCGAATTCTGTAACCATGTTAAAGCATTGTATTTCCCGTTCAAAAGATTTCATTTGATATGTAAGATTTCCACAGTTTTTGCGCATCACATTAATAGAAAATTACGAAATTGTTCAATTGAGTCATATTATACTGAATGGATATTTTAATTAAATAACACTCTTATAATATATGATTTAATTCTATTTTACTTGGAAGCACGGCTATCAGCTTTGTTTGGAATCTTTCTATACTTTTAAGATCGTTCTTGTGATAACATGTGACACAGATTTCACCCGATCTACTGAAGTGAGTTTCCAGCGCACAGAACTTTTACCTTTCGAAGTATTACCTGAAGACGCTGCGCACCTTGGAATCGTAATGTAAAGTCATCGTACACTTTTAACATTCGATTTGAGAGAGCTGTGCACTTTCAGCACTATGTACTTTAAGTTCACTGAGATCTGCTAAGACATTACACCCGAGTAACACTGCGCAATGTGTAAAAGCGCTGTGTTAAGCAAAAGAGCGCTGTGTAAAGTGTAAAAGCGCTGTGCGCTGGGGAACACCACATTGGATCGCGCTCTCTCTCTGTGTCACAAGTTAGAACAGTGCTTGTGATACCATGTGTTGTTGAAGACGTATATATTTGTAAAATAGACCAATTCAGATTTTTTAACATATTCTATATATGAAACTGTGTTCAACATATTATATATACGGTGCAACGATCTAATAATTTATATATAATTAAATATTGTTATGCCAATCATGCCATGTCATTTAACTGGTGGTATTACTTTTGAAACATCTTACTTTCGTAGTCCACAATTGTCCATACGTACTCAAGAATCTGCTCGCCTTAATGAAATATCTTACACTGCAATTAATAATCATGTGATTAACCAAGCCACCGTGCATGGTGCAGCACGAGAAGGTCGAGCTGTATGTGGGCCTCCTGTGCATAGCAAGTTTGTAAAAAGGACGAAAAATGGATAATTTCTCGCTTAAAATGCCTGTAACTTCTAAAATATCAAATATTTTGAAATAATTTTTTCCCGATCCATGACTCAAAGTGCCGAAGGCACAAAAGAGTCAAGGACAAGGGGTAGCGAACGAGGTTCTTTTTGTATATGGTAGCTTGCGACCGTGCGTACCTGCCCTCGCCCCCAGTTATCGCCCACGTTTCTGCCTGCGCAAAGTTATTTTGCGCGATAATCTGAATTAAATTTAAACAATTGTTGGCGCGCGGTGCTGGACTGTCCAAGTACATTGTTAATTTCACCATGCACGCATCCCGCTAGGGACTAATTGTATGATAGCATATTATTATTATTTTGAGTTAGTATTACTATTTTGTACAGATCCGTGTCAGGTTGCATAAACAATAAACATGGTTACATAGCAATATAACATGGTTACATAGAAATATAAATATACACGATTTTCAAATTCAATATGGAATTATATTAACTGGGCGGAGCTCGGCCTGTCACTCCGCCATATCTGCATTCTTGTAAACAGTAAAGACTGGGGTCCCAAGGTGGTATGGAATATGATAAAATACGCCATCACGGATCGGGAAATTGAGTGGCCATCCACATTCCACAAAAGAAAAGCGCCCGCATTTCTTGTTTACAGCATCGTAAGGGGTCGTTCACATATTGCGTAATCATTTTTTTGGAACATTTTTACCCCCCCCCCCCCCCCCCCCCCGTAATCAGTTTTACACATAGCTATTGTGTCAAAATTACACTAGCGTAATCATTCGGAAACACCCCCCCCCCCCTCAGCTGATTACGTAATATGCGAACGACCCCTAAGCTTGGTCAGACGCATCTTTTGGTACCAAAATTGTAATTTCGAAGGACAATATTTTCAGCGAAAATTGCTGCACGGTAAAATTATTTTATTCACATTTCTAGACAACCTTTGGTACCAAATTTATTGCTACACGTTGTATACCTCTCGTGCACGCGAAGCGTGCACTCCGGCCGCCGGCCGGCGAGAGAGCCTTTTGCGGCCGGCCGGCCGCGCGCGCTTCGCGCGCGCTCAAAAGGGGTTACAGCGTGTGTCAACAAATTTATCAAAATCGGAGAAAAAAAATCCTGTGCCAACTCATAGCGCATTAAGTATACTGCCTCTAAGTCTAATGCTTGTTATCGAGTATAATAGACGCGACAGGTTTATTATACTTTTGCATTTCAACTGCGATAGTTTGTAGTTAAGTCTTTTTCATAAGTTGTATGACCCGCCGCGCACGAGTGCGCGGCTCCCCCTGTATCGTAGAAACTCTTACCTGAGGACCCCAGGCTATTATGTTCATTAACATAGCCTGGTGAGACTGAACCCTCTAATACGCGCAGGTCTCTCGGACGGGCGCGTTTTTGCGCGTGGAATGCTGAGCGCGCAAAATATATGTTTTGTAATGATAATCGCATATCGGTGGACCTTTTAAAAGCAGTATGTGACAGAGTGGCAACAAGCCGACAAGCGACATGTTGTTGTTACTAGTGCGGTAGCGTTGTGATACTTTATGAAGTTTCTCATTTGTTTTGGTCAATTTGCAATTGCAATTGCAATCCCGAACTTTGACGGATCAAAGGTTTCATGATGGTATAACTAGTATTACTATTACTGAATTGTTAATGATCACACGACAACTCGCCTAGCATTCCACACCAAAAACGCGACCAATGTCATTCCACCATATTATATATCAATCGTGTTAAAGAACACAAAAGCCGGAGGTCTAAAGGTTAATACAATCAAGTGGAAAAAGGTGGTAGACATATCATAGAATTTATGTCAACTTTCATATTTTAATCATTTTATTACATAATTTAATGATCATATTCTAATAATTTTATTACATAATTTAAAGAGAACGGTTAATAATGGAGTCATTCGTAAACTATTGACAAATAGCTATTCACGAGAGTGCTCAGTTCACAGTTGTCAGTGCTATAGCCAGTACCATTACCAAATACACAAATCACTCAGAATATTTTCAGCTTTAACTTACCCGGGGACCCCGGGCTTTGTGTTCTCAAACACAGTAGTTATATTAATATTAGATTTTAGTAAATATGCTTGATTCATGACTGATACGTGTATGAAAACCTAAAACGGGGTCCCCAGGTACTCAATCGATTAGATATGTAAAAGATTCCGATACGAGGGATTATCATACCTCATGCTAGCTATGCATTTTCGTATGATACAGAATGACATTAACTGCGGAGCACCGTACTGAGTTTCTACAACAAGGTCTACACTAAACTGAAACAGTAAACATGTGAAGATGATTGATCACTCAGTACTCGACCAACTGCACGTAGCATACTTTAACACGTACTACTTCAAGTAGTCCTTAGAGACTATTAAAAATCTAAACCCAAATTAGAGTGTAGAACGTATGTTGAAAACCATTACCCGTACGACTACGACAAATTATGTACCAACATCCTTATTTGGTCATTATAAAGAGGTTCATAAAAGGAAAACATATCCAAATAATTTTTTATCAATTAAGATAATTTTACGTTCATAAGGCTCAAAGAGTTTGTTGGCCTATTCTTGCTGCAAGGAGAGCTCTTCGCTCTAGAGGTAGGTCTTTATCAAACAAGGATTGTGGGACGAGCTTTTCAGTCAGGTCCATGTTTGCCTCTTCAGGACTGCCGTGGTGATGGCTGATACTATGTCCACACTCTTGTACCTTTGAAGACTCTGTAACAAACGGGTGTCGGCGGAGGCTGTAGATTCAAGGAAAGGAGCGCTGAACCAAGCTCTCAAATAAACGAAGACAACAAAGTGAGCCATCTTCTGCACGTTTCTCTTCTTCGTACAGTGAATTGGTATCTAGTGAAGAAAAGCCATCTTCATAATGTAGAATGTAGATGGACTTAGCCATCCATCTGGCATGGTGGTCAGCTCCAGGTCTTTGTATCTGGAAGACGTATCCTTTCTTCATATCTATGCTTTCTCTATGGATTAGTTTAGCAAGCTCTAGGAATTCCTTGTAATGTTCTGGGCTGGTTGTTGAGTTGACGGATGTGATTAATAAAGGATAGAATATCTCCTACGTCGTTCCTTTAGCGCGTAGGGATATCGGGAAGGACGATGTTCTGCAGATCGATTCCCAGGAGGTCTTCATGATCTTGAAGAGGGTTACTTCGAGTGATATTGTGTCACCGAACAGTTGCTTGGAGGCAGATCCTCTTACAAGCTCCGCCTCCAGGACGTGATGTCTGCAGGCCATCCAGAGGATCTGTCGATTGAGGACCTGCTGAAGAGAAGTACATGCTCTTTTGTGAACTCCAGTATTGGATGATGTCGTATCAAATCCAACGGCTATTATTTTATCTGCTAGGTCCGGTCGTCGAGAATCTTCTTCACTTTGTCTGCTTCGTCCTAGTCCTTTTAGACTGGAGAGTAACTAGTCGTACAGATTGCGAGTATCTTGTTCTCCTCCTCTTGTACTAGGACCATAGCCAGTCTGTTTACTTTACTAAACCCTCCGAGGTCTGTTTTCGTCAAAATTTATCTGTCTGACATCAGAGGTAAAGTCTCTTTTTATCTTTGCTGCTTACTCTGATCGGACTGTGACAACGTTCAGTGGACTTTGAGAGGGAAAACTGCTTCATATCCCCGTGTCTCCACTGAGCAGTGAGATGCAGTGTCTCCTCAAACCGTCACTGAGGGAAAGAAAATAAGCTACTACGTGTGAAAATGAGGAGAAAATGTTCAACTTCTATCATGAAATTACCAAATTAACAAATCTGATTCATTTCTAATCAAAGATGAATATGCAAGGCGGCTTTTAGTTTTAACAACCAGGGTTTAAGCCAGGAAGGATAGTTTTATTTTAAAATAATGTATACCTGATTTTTAGAGATACAACTGCAGCCAAGACTGATATCAAGACGATTGAACTCCGCAAATTTCTGGCCAGAAATAGATCATCTTTCATTATTGTAGATCACCTCCTGAAAAATAGGTGTGCGTTTAGAAATCTATTTAGAATTTATAAGCTAAGTCTTATAATATTCCAGTTACGTGGGATGAGTTGCATGGGTACAAATTGTCGGAAAAGTGATTGATTACGTAATATAAAGTGGTTATGTAATATACAAACAAACATAAACACAAATTCATGGGATAAGTGCGTGGCTGTATTAATTGACGTTGAATGATCCATGTTACGTGTCATATGGAATGTGGTATCTTGAAAATTCCCAACACGTTTGGGATGTAAAATAAACTGTGTCCTTAACAGTGAACATTCTTTTTAAATTTTTGACGGAAATTACCAGTAAGTGAAGAAAAAATAAAACATTGTAACCCAAATATCAACTACCGTCTTCAACCGGCGAAGTTTTCTTTCTCTTAGTAGGGGTGAGCGATTGAAGGGGTGATAGAGGTGGTAGCGTAACTAAGTCTAAAGGGTCGATCAGGAGGTGACCGGGACATGATTTTAGGCCTGACCGGGACCGGGACCGGGACCGGGATACAAAATGTGACTTGACCGGGACCGGGACCGGGACTGAGATTATCAATTTACCGTGACCGGGACCAATAATTTCTGGGATTTCTATCTTACCGGGACCGGGACCGGGACCAACAATCCAATTTTACCGGGATGACCGGGATGACCGGGACCAAAACTGGTATTCTCATATTGAAAGCTGCAACTTTCATTTACATTATAATTGAACAATTTGAATAAGTAATAACTAGAATATTAAATTAGAAAAAACTTTTAAAAAACCGTCAATATGGGGCATGGGCCTAATGTACTACACCAATAATGTTCATGTACTGATTACTCAAGTTCACCCTCATTCCTCATTCCTCAATCAATGATCCCTCAAATTATTCAACAGTTTCATTCTCCAATTCCAATTGACAATTGGGCGTAGCCCGAGTTGAAAACTTGATGTTAGTTTGCACTTATGAGTTATGTAACGATATTAGTTACCTAAACTTGTTTAGCAATTTTAAACATTGTGTTATTTTGCTCAGAAGTTGTTTAAAGATGAAATTCACAATGAATGAAAGTAAAAACTTAAAATCACAGTGAATGAAATTATGTGAAAGATCCCGGTCAAAATCCCGGCAAATTTGAGTGATTGACCGGGACCGGGACCGGGACCGGGACCAAGAATCCTGAATTAACCGGGACGGGACCGGGACCGGGATCATAAATCAGCATTTGACCGGGACCGGGGGGGGGGGGGGGGGGGGGGGGGGTGATGCAACGTCAATTAATGTCAATTAATGTCAATTAATGTCAATTAATGTCAATGTCAGTTTTGCAAAATTTTGGAATACTGACATTAATTGACACGATATTTTTCGACCAGAGATTATGTAGTTCTACCATATTTTTAGCACTTTAGAACGTTTATATCATCAATTTATTCACTACTTTCACATATGGAAATGTGAAATGTGAAAAATTCAGATCATTAAACAATAAAACTAAAATAAAACGGTTTTCCGAAATTTAATTTTCTTAAATGGGCGTGGCCATCCAAGGGCGTGGTTCTCAACATCATCAGAACTTAAAACCCACATTAAACGAAATGCCTTCATGACATTTATATTTGAATAACGAATCTTAAACAGCTAACATTACTCCTTCATGCTAAAAAAGCCGATTCTAGATATTTTACCTGTATAAGAAACCAATAAAATATGGGCGTGGCCGGTGGGGACCGAAGATGGAAGAGTTGGAAGCTAAATTTTTTTTGGTGGTCTTTGAACCTCAGGATCAACAGATAAGAACATAATCATAATTATTCAAGGACATTTTGTTTTTTTTTTAACCGGTCTAACTTACATAGACGTGAATATCTATCGAATAATGATAATCTCAAATTTCAAGACAAATTAATGTCAATTAATGTCAATTAATGTCAATTAATGTCAATTAATGTCAATGTCAATTTGGGGTTTTTATGGAATACTGACATTAATTGACGTTGCATCACCCCCAGACCGGGACCGCGACCGGGATGAAAAATGTGACTTGACCCGGTTGACCGGGACCGGGACCGGGATAGCTCAAAATTGCCAATCCCGGTACCGGGATTCCCGGTCACCTCCTGGGGTCGATCACTTTACCGTCTGTACGCGACAATTCACGTAACGTACTTAAATAATAGTTATTGACACGGTATTGTGTCGAATGATTTAGGGACAGTTCACATATTACGTAATTAGGTTATCACTATTGGCCAATTCTTACACCTCCCCACCCCCACTACGTTATCAATTTTACAGATAGTATAGCTATTGTTATGTGTCATAATAACACTAGCGTAATCTAAATCATTTGATGATTTGAAACCCCCGCCCTGCCCCATCGGCTGATCGGCACGCCCGAGAGCGCGGTAAAATATAGAAATATATGCTGAAGTGAGTGTGGTTTATATAAAACTTTCGGATACATTTTATGAATGAATTTGTGCGTGACTATAAAATTATGGCATGACTAGAGCCGCGCACACGTGCCAGCTACCACACATTTGAAACTTATTCTTACAATAACACTAATTACAGTGGAATGTGTAATGTCAAATGGGAGCGGTGTGAACAGAGCTGAGTGTAGCCGTGTGTACGGAGGAGCTGTATTAAGTGTCATCTAAGAAGATAATATGCCATTATTCCGTTTTATTAATATTACAGTATTTGGCGACTGGCTGGCCGATGGTGCTGTGTATCTTTTGGAAGGACAATACAAGGTCAGCAATATAAAGTATATCCCCGGGTCAAAATCGGAAAAAATTAGAATATTTATATTCTTCGTTAAGATTTACATGATGAACTATATTTTTCGCTTAGATTCGCAAGATAAGCCTGTTTTAGGACTAGTACATGGATTTACATCCAAATTGGTCAAAAATTGGCTGAGTTATGAGCTTTAAAAAATATGCCCACATTTGGGCATACGATTTTGCCCAAATTTGCTTTTGCCTAAATTCGATCAAACTTCAATATTTTTTAATGAGACTAACTCTATGTGAAAGATATACCTCAGTGTTTGTTGAATATAGTGATTACTAAGTAAAAAGACCTCTATGAAAAAAATTGGGAAAATTGCACATAATATTATCTCGGTTCGGAATACTAGCCAAAATTATGACTTTATTAAAATTGAAATAACTCTATCAGTTTTCAATATTTTTGCAAGAACTTTTTGGAATCGATTAAGAATTGCATTTCAAGCTTATTGTGCCGGCAAAAATTGTTGATGTAGGCCTCCAAGGAGATATCCGGGTCAAAATCGGAAAAAATCCTATATTTTAATATACTTTAATATGGTTGCCCCCCCCCCCCCCCCCCCCCCAATGTTTGAGTGACACACTAACTATGCAGTTTTACCTGTTTAGAGGGGTTTTCAAAGAAAGTTTTAGTTCCCAAAGTCCGTCTCAAATACCAAAAGCAAAACTACCAGTACCATTAGCTTTAAACCTGGGATATCACTAATTTTACAAATAATAACATAATATCGAGTATGGAGGCCGGAGGGGTTAGAGGATGGTATTAAACTAAAAGTATAACAGCTAGGCTGTAATAATATCCAAGATTGTCAGAAAATATCGTCTAATCAAGCCAGAAAAGTTTGGTAACTTATCGACTATCGAGTAATCGCACGTACGACAGGTTTCTCGTTTATCTCACCAAAAACTTCAGCAGCTTTTTTTCTCATCGTCAGATTCACTTATTCCATACGTAATGACCCTCCTGCTTCTATATCGTCCTCTTCAGCTTCTGTCTTTACTGCTCTCTCCGCGGCCATCTGTAAATGGGGGGTTGTAAAAAGATAAAAAATGTAGTATACAGTTTTCAGCCAATCAGAAGACAGAATGAATCAAACGGTTTTTCTTTCCAAACTGATCGCTTGTTCAGGTTAGACGATACGAAATTTCAGTGGCCTTTTACTCCCAAGTTATAGACATATTTCATTAAAAACACTGTTTGTGGCTCTCGCAAGCTGATCTGTAAATTTTATAGCAAACTTAATATTGTGATAGTGAATATTTTACCTTGAGCGGGCCCGTCACAGTTGACAAAAAGAAGTATCTCGACCGGTGACCGACAACTAGGAACCTCTCATTTCGGCCTCCCACAGGTATCACATCACATGGCCCAATCAGTGACGTATCATTTGTGATGTGATCCATATTATAACCATCCTAACAGCCGGACAACCAAGAACCTGGGTAGGGTTTACATGTCAGTTCAGTAAGTAGCTGTGTATTATGAAGTATATTAAGAAGTGTTTGAGCTCTCGGTATGTGTTCACATTACGGACGTGAGCCGGGTCCGAACGATGTGAGCCGGGTCCGAAAGGGGCTGGTTCTCGTATCCAAGGATGTGAGCCGAGCATGCAATGGGAGTGATACGAGACATAAAATCACAAGTGCGGGAGTTGATCAGCTGTTAATATACAACCGCACTTCTGGTATATATACTGAAACGTGAACATGAAGAGTATCGGTTTCAATTCAACATGCCTGCTTTCTCCAAATTCATCGAAGGACAGAGAGGATCTCAACAGCTGGTGGACACGGACGGTTACATCTACTCCAGAAAGAAGGCTAAAGATACAGCCATCCACTCTGCTTGGCGATGCCGGAAGCACAACCCTCCTACCAAGTGTCCCAATCATGCCTACCTCAACCTGTCAGATAACGCTTTATCCCTTGGCTCCAAACTCCACAACCACCCTGCTGACAACATTGCACCACAGAAGCGTGAAGTCCTCTCCTCACTGAAGCGGAAAGCTGCTGAACAGCCCTTGTCGGTGACCCAGAACCTCCTCTCTGAAGTCCTAGCAGATTCAACTGATTCGATCGACTGGGTGTTGGAAAAAACCCCTTCTAAGAAAAGGATTAGAAGGAAAACTTCCAATGACCAGTTGTTCCAGATCTGTTACAAATACTCTGATTGCTCTAGCAAGGTTGACTATCTGTTTGAGATTGCCAAATACTTTGGCCATGAGATTGATATTGAGTAATGTATTCTGTATGTAATTATTATGTTGGGTTTGAACTATCATTATCTTGAAAAAAATCTTTGTCTTAATTAATGAGTGCAGAAATATATACAGCACAGCTGTGAAATCGGTGGACACCTGAAAGTTTAAAGTATCTCCAGAGGTTCCTAGTTGTCGGGGATATGTCATGATTGGTTCCTAGTTGTCGGAACTGATTGGATTTCCCAAGCTTGCATGTTAATTAGTTAACTAGGTAAAATTGAAAGGTTCCTAGTTGTCCGTCAGCCATCTCGACGAGGGAGCTGGGAGAGATAGAACTTAGCTAAAATGATAGGGAAAGGGTTAAACAAAGTTTTGAAAACATTAAAAACGAAATAGCGTAATCTAAATCATTTGATGATTTGAAACCCCCGCCCTGCCCCATCGGCTGATCGGCACGCCCGAGAGCGCGGTAAAATATAGAAATATATGCTGAAGTGAGTGTGGTTTATATAAAACTTTCGGATACATTTTATGAATGAATTTGTGCGTGACTATAAAATTATGGCATGACTAGAGCCGCGCACACGTGCCAGTTACCACACATTTGAAACTTATTCTTACAATAACACTAATTACAGTGGAATGTGTAATGTCAAATGGGAGCGGTGTGAACAGAGCTGAGTGTAGCCGTGTGTACGGAGGAGCTGTATTAAGTGTCATCTAAGAAGATAATATGCCATTATTCCGTTTTATTAATATTACAGTATTTGGCGACTGGCTGGCCGATGGTGCTGTGTATCTTTTGGAAGGACAATACAAGGTCAGCAATATAAAGTATATCCCCGGGTCAAAATCGGAAAAAATTAGAATATTTATATTCTTCGTTAAGATTTACATGATGAACTATATTTTTCGCTTAGATTCGCAAGATAAGCCTGTTTTAGGACTAGTACATGGATTTACATCCAAATTGGTCAAAAATTGGCTGAGTTATGAGCTTTAAAAAATATGCCCACATTTGGGCATACGATTTTGCCCAAATTTGCTTTTGCCTAAATTCGATCAAACTTCAATATTTTTTAATGAGACTAACTCTATGTGAAAGATATACCTCAGTGTTTGTTGAATATAGTGATTACTAAGTAAAAAGACCTCTATGAAAAAAATTGGGAAAATTGCACATAATATTATCTCGGTTCGGAATACTAGCCAAAATTATGACTTTATTAAAATTGAAATAACTCTATCAGTTTTCAATATTTTTGCAAGAACTTTTTGGAATCGATTAAGAATTGCATTTCAAGCTTATTGTGCCGGCAAAAATTGTTGATGTAGGCCTCCAAGGAGATATCCGGGTCAAAATCGGAAAAAATCCTATATTTTAATATACTTTAATATGGTTGCCCCCCCCCCCCCCCCCAATGTTTGAGTGACACACTAACTATGCAGTTTTACCTGTTTAGAGGGGTTTTCAAAGAAAGTTTTAGTTCCCAAAGTCCGTCTCAAATACCAAAAGCAAAACTACCAGTACCATTAGCTTTAAACCTGGGATATCACTAATTTTACAAATAATAACATAATATCGAGTATGGAGGCCGGAGGGGTTAGAGGATGGTATTAAACTAAAAGTATAACAGCTAGGCTGTAATAATATCCAAGATTGTCAGAAAATATCGTCTAATCAAGCCAGAAAAGTTTGGTAACTTATCGACTATCGAGTAATCGCACGTACGACAGGTTTCTCGTTTATCTCACCAAAAACTTCAGCAGCTTTTTTTCTCATCGTCAGATTCACTTATTCCATACGTAATGACCCTCCTGCTTCTATATCGTCCTCTTCAGCTTCTGTCTTTACTGCTCTCTCCGCGGCCATCTGTAAATGGGGGGTTGTAAAAAGATAAAAAATGTAGTATACAGTTTTCAGCCAATCAGAAGACAGAATGAATCAAACGGTTTTTCTTTCCAAACTGATCGCTTGTTCAGGTTAGACGATACGAAATTTCAGTGGCCTTTTACTCCCAAGTTATAGACATATTTCATTAAAAACACTGTTTGTGGCTCTCGCAAGCTGATCTGTAAATTTTATAGCAAACTTAATATTGTGATAGTGAATATTTTACCTTGAGCGGGCCCGTCACAGTTGACAAAAAGAAGTATCTCGACCGGTGACCGACAACTAGGAACCTCTCATTTCGGCCTCCCACAGGTATCACATCACATGGCCCAATCAGTGACGTATCATTTGTGATGTGATCCATATTATAACCATCCTAACAGCCGGACAACCAAGAACCTGGGTAGGGTTTACATGTCAGTTCAGTAAGTAGCTGTGTATTATGAAGTATATTAAGAAGTGTTTGAGCTCTCGGTATGTGTTCACATTACGGACGTGAGCCGGGTCCGAACGATGTGAGCCGGGTCCGAAAGGGGCTGGTTCTCGTATCCAAGGATGTGAGCCGAGCATGCAATGGGAGTGATACGAGACATAAAATCACAAGTGCGGGAGTTGATCAGCTGTTAATATACAACCGCACTTCTGGTATATATACTGAAACGTGAACATGAAGAGTATCGGTTTCAATTCAACATGCCTGCTTTCTCCAAATTCATCGAAGGACAGAGAGGATCTCAACAGCTGGTGGACACGGACGGTTACATCTACTCCAGAAAGAAGGCTAAAGATACAGCCATCCACTCTGCTTGGCGATGCCGGAAGCACAACCCTCCTACCAAGTGTCCCAATCATGCCTACCTCAACCTGTCAGATAACGCTTTATCCCTTGGCTCCAAACTCCACAACCACCCTGCTGACAACATTGCACCACAGAAGCGTGAAGTCCTCTCCTCACTGAAGCGGAAAGCTGCTGAACAGCCCTTGTCGGTGACCCAGAACCTCCTCTCTGAAGTCCTAGCAGATTCAACTGATTCGATCGACTGGGTGTTGGAAAAAACCCCTTCTAAGAAAAGGATTAGAAGGAAAACTTCCAATGACCAGTTGTTCCAGATCTGTTACAAATACTCTGATTGCTCTAGCAAGGTTGACTATCTGTTTGAGATTGCCAAATACTTTGGCCATGAGATTGATATTGAGTAATGTATTCTGTATGTAATTATTATGTTGGGTTTGAACTATCATTATCTTGAAAAAAATCTTTGTCTTAATTAATGAGTGCAGAAATATATACAGCACAGCTGTGAAATCGGTGGACACCTGAAAGTTTAAAGTATCTCCAGAGGTTCCTAGTTGTCGGGGATATGTCATGATTGGTTCCTAGTTGTCGGAACTGATTGGATTTCCCAAGCTTGCATGTTAATTAGTTAACTAGGTAAAATTGAAAGGTTCCTAGTTGTCCGTCAGCCATCTCGACGAGGGAGCTGGGAGAGATAGAACTTAGCTAAAATGATAGGGAAAGGGTTAAACAAAGTTTTGAAAACATTAAAAACGAAATAAGCAGCATTAATAACAAACATGATGAGCCATAATCAGAGTAACACACCACGTAACCAATTGCCATGGTTACGCGCAAGTTGAAGTAACACAGTTACGATAGATATTGATATAATTTCATAAATATAGCCGAAAAGACAGACAAGTAAGTATTTTAGTTGAGGTTATGATATGTTAAAGAGTAAAAGGTTTTGCAATTCAGCTGGCTGCCAAAATCAGCGGTCAATCCAAAGATAGATTTTAGTGACGATCGTATAATAAACTATATCGTCACTAAAATCTCATTATATGTAACTACTGACAGTTCTGCCCGACAGTTCCGCCCAATCTAGATCAATTGCTTCCATGGGATGATGCGACGAATCAAAACAAAGTTTTAAAAACAACCTTTCGTTGGTTGTACGTAAATCCGGACCTCTGTCAAGGAGCTGGTCGGATCCACACTTGCCGGTGAGGAACAATTACTGAAAACTGTCATGATATTTCACTTTCACTGCTTTTTACTAAAAAATGGCTTAATTTGCATGATTTTAATCCCATCCACCCTATTCTTACTAGTAACATAGATTACTATTGAAAATATAGGTAGAGTGAATGGGTTCAGCCACAGACCTCAAATTACATTGCCCGTATGCATGGAAACGAGTCATCTTTAAGCAATTCTAAGTAGTTTTGTATGTATCATCGCGTCTGGATCTGTCAGCATTGATTTACTTTAGCATATTATGACGTTTATACTTGTCCGGCTAAACACGGCTTTGTATAGATACGATAGGAAGTCTGTCTCATTAGGAAGAACTAATAAGAATTATTAAGAACTCATGCAGACAATTTTTAGAAGTGCAGCAACGTGTGTCAAGGTGTGCTACAAATAGAAATTATCATTGTCAGGTATATTACAGCAGCTTCCTGTCTTTTAGCTTTATTTTCTAAGAATTGCTACGATGTTGCTAGGGGACCACTATGGCGTTACAATGGTGTTGCTGTGGCGTTGCTAAGGTACCCTTCAGCTCTGTTCAGACCATAAGTTGCTTTTAAAAGGTCAAATAAATATACTCATGGGTTTACTTTTAGGAAGTTTCTGGAGTCAAAGAAATAACAACACAGATTTTGGCTGAATTTGCTTGAACTTATTCAAAACAATTCATTTCGGCGTCCGGACTCTACGGCTTGAGACACTCTTAAATGCACTCGCTGTTTACATTTGAAAGTTTGCATGATATTAACGACCCAGGAATATCTATAATGTATAGTACAGTATGACTATCGTTTTCAGATAAGTTCAACCCGCTATGTGTTCAAATCAGTGTTTCATTTCATCGGCTGTATCATAGGTCAAGATAAATATTTCTTGATGAGATAAAAGCTTACTTTCGAAGAACATTTCCTGTAACCATGGGCACCCTAATTTGATATGGAATTCTATCTATTTTGATCGAAAATATGAAACAAATATTTCCCGCCGTAGAGTCCTAGTCTCTACTGCGCCGCCGTAGAGTCTTACGTCGTTGAGTCTCACACCCTATAAGAGTACCGGTAACCGGTACCATCGTTTAGATGGATACAGGCACCCTGGGGATCTCCAAATAATATGTAGATGGCTGAAATCATTGGATGATGATTAATCACTCTACACTCGACTGTCACGTGACTTTTGAAACCTGTTCTCTAGGTGGCCATGAATAACCCTATAATATGATTCCAACCCTAATCCAACCCAATCTCTAACAAAAGCATATGCCAAAACCCTAACCCTTTAGAACGAGATATTTGAACAATTTCATTATATAATGGACATATCACGTGATCAAGACAGCTATTCGCCAATATCTCGCCAGGGGAGCATTTTAATGTCATGAGGGGTGATTCGGAATCAGCGTTCCAACTGTCGGGGGGCTTTTTAGAAAAATCTTAAAGGTTGACTGTAGAGTGATTTAGCACGCTCGGCAACCATTCACCCTACATATATTGTCAATAATAATAAACATTCATCAGTAGTTATAGGGTGTTAGAGATCATAATGATACAAATTAAACCATTTTTTGATTAAACAAAGCAAAAAACGGCCCTTCGTAAACAGGCGGGGAAGTGAGTGATTTGAACAAAGTTACCGTACCATAAGTCGAAAACTAAAAGTGATGGCAAATCCTCGAAAGAGGTGTTTGATCACCAAACACTGTGCAGATATTTGGAAAATATATTATTATTATCTGTATCAGGTATTCTTATAAACCAGAGGGCAATGAGATCTGGCGTCTCTTGATTCACTATAGCGGTTTTCGACTAATAGTTACTGTTAACAATGTAGGGTCAGTGAATAATAAGTCTTAAATTCTTAAAAATTGATCGGGAAATTAAATATTTATCTTAGATTACATAACATTTTCGTAGACTAAAATATTTTAAAGATACCTTAGTATTACTGCATACTGTAAATTGATTAAAATGTCCTCGCCTACTAGTTTGCCTGGGAAACAGGCTGGGACTGTCATCGAACTGCGGGCGAAACGGCCGTTTTCGTGGAGTGAAAATACTAAAACATGCCGTGAAATGGTACAAAAACTAAGGTTTTTGTTTTCTGTTTCGACCCAGCCGTCTATAAGCTCGTTGACAGTCTCAGCTATTTTTTGTATCACGTGAAAGTTGCATCCTGGGAATTGGATTTTGAACGTGGACGGGACAGATTATCCCGGTATGGACCGGTTTGGTTTCCTTAGTGATTTAGGGTTTAGGAATTTTCTAGTTATTTGTCGAAATAGAAGATTAGAAAAGATATCTTTGGATTTCTGTACATGACTACTTTCACTATTGATTTTTTGCAAACCTCGAAATTAAAAGCCTATTAGTTGTTCTGTAGATCTAATGATTCCAAGTTTACTCCCGTTTAATTCTCCACATGAACTAGTGAGTTAATTGGTTCATAGTTATGAATCGTCAAATACTCGTGAAATATCCGTGTAGTGGAGCATTTGGACAGGGCCATTTACTTTGTACTCAGGTCACAACAGAGATATTTTAGAGGTTCATCGGCTCACTCTTGAGTGTCGTTCATGTAGAATCATTTTATAGACCAGCTTGTGTTTTGGTCAAATCTATGAATCTGAGTGCACGTATTTCCATAATACTCTCGAGACCTTTAATTCGAGGGGATTTCCCTCCCACTCTAATGTAGCCGTCCAGCTCGTAATAACAAACTCATGACGAAACATTAGCTAATAATGGAATTAAATAAATTAGCAAACACCTAGACCCCTAGACGATCAGCCAAGCAGCCAGGGCTGCGCTACAACAAAGAACAACGAAGGACCACTAAATAACTGAAGTAATGTGCACGCCAGTAAACGATATCCCTCACCTTCTTCCTGGGTCAGGGGTCTGTTGCCATAGCAACGAGGGAAGAAGAGCGGCAGCGGTTAGGGTGGGTTTTGCAATGGTTAATGATTTTACCGAAGTTTGCTAAAAACGTCGGTGAATAGTATTCTATGTCATAAACAGCCAATG